TCCCGGTTGTTGGTGTCAGCGTTCTACTGCTTGGTGGATTCTACTGGCTCTGCTGGACGAAAATTTGGCCGAAGCTTGGAGGATACAAGATCGTCAGTGAACGCTATGAAGATGCTGAGGGTAATGAGCATGTGAAGTATGTGAAGGTATACACTAAGCACGATTGAGCAAGCTGGTCCTCGATGCATATCATACCGATACATTTGGCCGTGGTCGCGGCGTCCTTCTGTAGATATTGTAATAGCCGTGCATGCATCGGTGTGAACTTGCTTTCATCGTATGCGTGATTCATTCTTCTGCGTGCGTTCCCTCGGTACATTGGTGCCTGCGATCAAATATTTCGTTGAACTTTCCAGGAATATTGCTAAGGAGCGCAGACAATGGCTTGATCGCGAAGGTCTTCGACAGAAAAGCCAAAAGTAGGTGTGCTGTATGTAACAGACGTTTTGCGACGGCGCCAAGACATTCCAGCCCCTGCGGTGGAGCTGGTGACGCACAGACCTCGGAACGCGTGACGCGACAGTGCTGCCAACTCTACACGATTGACTCGCAGACATCAGCTTCACATTTCACCCTACGCCCAAAGCTAGACGACATACCTGCACTGATGCCATTCTGCTCAAGCGAACATCATCGTTGCAACGCATCGATGGCACGAGACGCCGATTCCCTGTCGTGTAGTTCCGTTCGTGTCCGTGGCGCATCCTCGACGGGTAAAGGCTAGGCCTCCAATACGCCAAAGACCCCATTTCGCTCTATTTCGCTCTAATAGCTCAGGCAGCACGAAGTTGCCTGCGCTAGCGCACCAAAAACTTGGCGGTCCTGCGACATGATCATCAATCTTCATTTGTATAAAGCGATGAGAATTCACGCCCCATCCCGGCGCGGCATCAACACGGAGTTCATGAGATCACAGCTCTTGACTCGCTCAACGACAACAATGACTGAGACTTCTGGCAAAGCCATGAACGAATATCCTGGATTCGGACTACCTCTTCGCAATTGGGAATGGAGCAACTACGGCTTCTATCCGATCGGCTCCCACCACAATGCCTATGGAAGCGAATCAGAGATCATCCCTGTGCGAGAGCTTGCCGTGATGGATGTTTTGGAAAAGCTCACCGACAAGCCCGACTGGCATAAGAAGGTCTTTGACGATGAAATTGTTGCCAAGTGGCGTAAAGAGGCCCTCGCCATTCCTGACGGACACTTTTGGCACCTGGCTACCGCTGCGAAGAGACAGCATTGGACCCACGACGATGACCGGCTCGAGCTTCACAACGATAGTCAGTCTTGCATACTCGAAAATATCCTGGATGAAGCTACATTCGATACTGTACGTTACTCTTGCTTCCAAATAGTCTTCATTACTAACGCTATGTGGTGTGTTCAAGAGCTTCGCAGCAAAGCAAAGTATTTCGAACAATCGGGCATCATTCCTTCTCTCGACGCAAGCGCTTCCGTAGCCAAGTCTGACACGCTCGTTACAGGCGAGCTACACGCCAAGCTTCGCCAAGCTTTTGACAAGCTCAAGTTAGACCACACTGCATCTCCTGATTGGCATCCCAACTCGAATAATATGGTGCAAGATCTGGTACATCCATCTATGTACCCTTTGGTATATGGGCGCAGTTCTGGCTTTCGTGAGGAGCAGGTTGGTGTGACGGACGCTGTAGAGCGCTGGGCTGGTAAGGGCGAGGTCGTCCCTCAGCAGGGGCTCGAAACGACCACAGCGCAAAACCGACATAGTTATAGCGTTGGAGGCAGCGACATCCCGCCGGAGTACTGGTCGAATCAGTACCAATGGCTGCCGGCCAATGTGGCTTTTCAGGATGATGGGTCTGTCAAATTTACCAGCTACATCAACAATCTTCACCCTACGAGATATTCCGACATATATCGTACCATCGAAAAGCTGGTCGAGACATCCATACCCATGTGGGATCAGTGTTTGAGGTTTGCAGTCGGCTACCACAAGTTTGAAGGGGCCGGTCGTATGGAAACTCGCACCGGTAAACCTGAGAATCCCGAGTAAGTCACGGTAATGTCTTAGAGATTTACGGCTGCTGATACTTCGCTTGCGTAGTGACGAGAACGAAGAGAATTGGACGCCCCACAAGGAAGACTGTGCTGATGTAGAAGCCAGCGAATCAGACCTAGAGGAAGAAGGGTACGAGGATTACTACGATAACGATGAGGACCGCCAAGAAGGACTGCTGGAAGCCAAGTGGAAGTTTGTCCGCAAACCTCGTATACATCCCATTCCCTTCAACGACATATCCTACGCACCACAACCAGGCAAGCGTCTTGCCGATAAATTTCGCGATTCGGGACTTCAGATCATTGTCAAGATGGCCTCGATTGAACTCACGCCTGAGAAGCCGGACTTTCCTCTGGGCGGATGGCACATCGAGGGGCAGATGAACGAAAACATCTGCGCAACTGCGCTGTACTACCTGGACAGCGATAACATCACTGACAACAGCCTCTCATTCCGCATGCAGACGTCTGCTTACCTGCAGGATGACCAGGGTTTCGACGTTGGACAAGACCGTTATCACTGGATGGAGCACGTGTACGGTACTGGCTTTGGATGTGGGAATTCGCCATGTCTGCAGAATTATGGGAACGTACAAACGCGCGAAGGTCGGCTGCTGGCTTTCCCCAATGTCTTGTAAGTCGGTCAAAATTCTGCCCTGACACGGCCTTTGGCTAACGTATACTAGTCAACATCGTGTTTCTCCGTTTAGTCTCATCGATCCTACAAAGGCCGGGCATCGTCGCTTTATCGCACTTTGGCTTGTCGATCCTACGAAGCGCATCATCTCTACGGCGAATATTCCGCCTCAACAGATGGACTGGTACCTCGACTCGTTACTTGGATCAAGCGACAAGACGCGTCAAGAAGCGCTATCCAAACTTCCCCCAGACCTCATCAACCTGCTAGCCGAGAAGGGACTCGCAAGTCCTTCTGTCACTACGGAAGGTCGACTGCCTGAAGAGCTCATGAACTATGTGCGCGAATATTTCGAAGAAGCCAAGCACTCCCTTCCTATGGGGTTGCAAGAGGCAAGTGAGCATCGTAAAAAGCTTATGCAGGAAAGGGGTGCATTTGTCCAGACCGCAGAGAAAGGATGGCGGAGGGCGACCTACAGCTTTTGTGAGCATTGAGTCGCGGGTAGGCATTGTTGAGAAGTCGATCATTGACAACCTGCGAGAGGAATGGAGTGGATTGGCAATGTAAAATATCAGCTCTGGAGTAGCAAACCGGTCTTTGAGCGATCACGCTGACATTGGACTACTACTACCCACAGCTTCCCTGCCTAAAATCTATTAGGACGGTAACTCTGCGAGACTCCTTCACGCCGCAACAACATCCTATTCATCGTCGCTTCGACGCTTCATTGCTAGGCGCCATGCTCCGAAGCGTCAAAGGCACCTTGCCTTCCGTGTCGTTCCAATGCAACTCATACACGCCGTTCTCAGCCTTCATGCCGTAGAATGAAGTGGCAACCGTACCATCTTCATCATACAACATAACTGTGGAACCGTAGAAAGCGAAGCCCAGGGTTTGAGTCGTAGTGTTGCCAGTGCCGTTGTTGGATGGGAGAAAGCCCACGCGCCCGTCGGTCGATGATGACGAAGGAACGAATAGAGCTGCGTTCGACCATGTGGGTTTACCAGTAGCGGTGGTAGTGTTGGGGTTTCCAATGAAGTGCTTGTTGACATCGATTGTGACTATGTCTGTTAGTGGGATGGACTTGGGTGCGCCATAGCTCAAAGAAGCCAAACTTACAGGTTACGACAGCAGCATCAGTGCTGTTGGAAAGAGCTGGCTCTCCGACGTATGCAAGACCATCGGCATAAAAGAGTGGAAAGCCACCAATGTCTTCGCTGTACGCATACAACTGGAAAGGCGTGGAAGCGACATCGCGCTTGCGGGCACCCAAGACCGCGAGCGGGAGCAGAGCCAGCAGTGCGCTGCGCATGGCGATATGCATGATTAAAGAGTGTACGTTGAAGAATATTAAACGAGCGTCAGAAATGCAGCAAGCATGTAGAAAGTGGTTGCAACAGCTAACAATGAACAGTCCGAATGTCCTTATTACACTCGATACATCGGCTGAGTCAGTCTCCATCTCTACAGTCTCCTGAGCGACTCAGATGCATTACGACGTCTCCACGTGTATTCATGACGCCTCGAGTGGAAACCGTATCTCTTGGTATACTACATTGGGACGTCTCCGAAGGGCTACAAGGACCCGCTCTCGTACAGTGTAAACTGCGCTATCGAGGGTTACATGCTGCCTGAATTCACTTGTTTCAATGCCCAGGCGGAACGTAACCTCAGCCACTCAAAGCACAGATGCGACACGTAGTGCGAGTCGGAGCGGGTCTTATTTTTGGCACTGCCAAGCTCAAGCTAGAGAATGCTTGTTGTCCCCACTGTCGCGTATTCCTCTAGGTACCGATCGAACCGTTTGGACGCGGATTCTACCCGTTTCCGAGTGGATATTTGAAGAGTTTGTCTAATCCAGTTGATGTACCGCACTCCACTGAGTACTTGGTACAACCCAGCAACAACGGCGCGCCGACCTGTCACCATCAACGGCCCTTCTGCGGCGCTTCCTTCCTCCGATTCTCGAGTCAGCAAACTCCGACCATGCGTGAAGATTTTCCCAACACCCGATAATGCATTGGAAATAACACCGATCGAGCGGGGGCTCACCTGATGCACCGGTAGACTTCGCGCATACTACTCAGTAACCCCACGCCGTTTATAGATGCACGATACCGCTAGCAGATCGCCGAGCAGCAGGCCTACTTGCGCCAAGTAACGCCCTAAGGGGCCTCCGAAGTTTGGTGTAGGGATCAAGGTAGTCTTGACCCACGATAAACGATGAGACTATCTACGGAGCATCACGAAAGAAGAGCACGAGCGACGATTTCGATATTATCATGACGTCGTTGAATCGTTGGAGACTGCACAGGTGATGCCCCTAATAGATCTCTCAGATAAGACAGACTATGAATGTAGGATGCGAGGGCGACATAAAGGGAACGAAGGGTTGAGCCATGCAGCATCATCAGCTTGTCTTTACATTCGTTTGACTGAGCTCAGATCACTCTTTGGGAGCTTCTTTCTAGAGTCTTTCGTATCTTGTCACTCGCTTTAGAACTCACTTTCACTCGTTACGCGGTCATTGCTCGTTATCTCTACGTATCATTTTCCTCCGAGTACCAAACGCCTTTCAGACATTTGCATCATGTTGTTACGAGGCGCTTTCGGTCTTGCAGCCTTGACTGGCTTTGCGGCCTCTTCGCCTTTCGTTTCGAACTTGAGTAAGTTGCACCTCATTCTCATGCAGAAGCAACGTCGCCTAAACTATTTTCAGTGCCGAGAAGAGCATGCGATGGCAACACTGCTTCCACCCGCTCGGAGTGGTGCGATCACTCCATCGATACCGACGCGTCCATCGAGATTCCAGACACTGGCGTGACCCGCGAGTACTGGCTCGAACTCACCGATGTTGTTGTAGCGCCTGATGGCGTATCCAGGACGGCGATGGCCATCAATGGCTCCATACCAGGACCGACGCTCATCGCAGACTGGGGCGACATGGTCGTTGTTCATGTGACCAACTCCCTTACGTCATCGAACAACGGCACCAGCATACACTTCCACGGTCTTTGGCAGAAGAACACAAACGATCAGGATGGTGTGAGCTCCATCACCCAATGCCCAACCGCACCAGGCGAGTCAATGACTTACACCTGGAGGGCTACCCAGCACGGGTCGACTTGGTATCACTCGCATTTCGCGCTTCAGGCGTGGCAGGGCGTTTTTGGTGGCATCGTCATCAATGGACCTGCAACGGCGAATTACGACGAGGACTTGGGTATGCTTTTCCTCAACGACTGGGACCACCAGACGGTTGATGAGCTCTACCTGTCCGCCGAAATGGATGGCCCGCCAGTTCTCGACAATGGCTTGATTAACGGTACCAATACCTTTGGAGACGGCGGCCATCGTTACAACGTCTCCTTCACAGCTGGAACTTCTTACCGTATTCGCCTCGTCAATGCCGCTGTCGACACTCACTGGAAATTCATGATCGACAACCACACCATGACCGTCATTGCATCCGATCTAGTACCCATCGAGCCCTATGAAGCTACTGTTGTCAGCATCGGCATGGGTCAGCGATACGACGTCATCGTAACAGCTGATCAGGGAGACGTGGTTGAAAATTTCTGGATGCGCGCTATTCCGCAGTCCGCATGCTCTGAGAACGACAACGAAGACGACATCCGCGGTATAGTCTACTACGGTGGCTCGGCTGGAACGCCGGCCACCTCCGCATACGACTACGAAGACAGCTGCTCCGACGAGACCGAGAACCTTGTGCCGCACATCCCAAAGACTGTCGGGGCAACATCGTCCACAGCCGATGAGCCTGTATCTGTCGGCCGCAACGACGAGAACATGTTCAAATGGGCTCTCAACAGCACCTCCATGGTCGTATACTGGGACGATCCTACGCTCATGCAAGTTATGCGAGAAGAAAGGACGTTCGAGGCCTCCAATGCCGTCTTCCACCTACCGCGCGAGAACGAATTCGTCTACGTAGTCATCAGCACCAACATCGGAGTACCTCATCCAATTCACTTGCACGGCCATGACTTCTTCGTCATCGCCCAGGGTACGGGAGAATACACCGATGACATTGCTCTCAAGCTTGATAACCCGCCGCGCCGCGACACCGCTATGCTGCCAGCATCGGGCTACCTTGTCATCGCCTTCGAGACAGACAATCCCGGAGCGTGGCTGATGCACTGCCATATTGTTAGTGTTCCCCTCTTCATTCACGCTCGTAACACTTTACTAATATCCATACAGGGCTGGCACACATCTGAGGGCTTTGCCATGCAGTTCGTCGAGCAGTACGATAAGATCGCAGGAATAACCGACAAGGATGCATTGGAGAGCCAGTGCGATAGTTGGAAGGCTCATAGCGGCTCTGTTGGTATCCTGCAAGATGACTCTGGTGTATGAGGCGCGGAGACTCTTTGTCACGTGACTCCCTGGAAGACTTGGGCTCACTCTGCTCGCTAGTTCAGCGCCTTGGCTATCATAATACGCATCAGCATTCACTCTTGAAGTACAACTGTGCGTGCGATTGATGGCGCTTTTGAAACCCGCTTCACTTCCATTCTTCATCATCGCCTTCGCCATCATTGGACGCGAGGTTGGCCCCCGCTTCAACGCCGACACGGTGTCATGATCTCTTGTAAGCGGATACCAGATGCCGACGGTGTTCGCGCTTGTAGTTCTGTTTCATCTAATCGAGGCATTCGATCTACAGCGGGAAGCGCGTACCTGCAATATCTTGTGGCACAGCTCTCCAACATACGTCATCCGTCATCAGCCAAACTTCGTCGCCTCAGCCCCGCGCTGCCGTCTTACCAATATCCTCCTTATCACGAACCAACCCTAAGCTCTTACGCGACCCGCCGCTAAGCAGCATCTTTCGTGTCGCCTCTTGAATCATTGCGCGACGTCATCCTTCACACATGCTACACCATCATGGCGACCCCTACGAACAAGTACGTAGACATGCGTCCCAACTCTGGTCATCCCATGTTTTATACTTTTTCCTTCGATTTTGCCTCTTTGTCACTTATTAGAATGCTGGGGCCGCTGTACTACCACCAAACACCACTCATGCTGCATCACCTTGCCGACGACATCATGGCCTCGTCTTGGAATCTGGCCCACTCTCTGAACTACTGCCTGCTACGTGGAGAGTTGCGGTATCACAAGTTTTCGCCCCGATGAGCGAGGTTTCCACAGGCTGGTCAAACTGCTGTACGGACATATGTGCCGCCTCCTGGAACTGGTACAGCTGGTGGTGTGTTTGATGGCTGATCGGCCTTCAATGAAGCCTTGCATGGTTTCGAGCTGCATCGGATGTAAACTCCATGGCATTTCAAAAGTGAATAGTTGCACGACAGGCGTTTCGGTTCGAGACAGTACACCCTGGTAAACTCACGCCGCTCAACAGCATGAGAGGGCGCTGGTTGCATCATTACGCAAATTTGTACCCAAACGCCAAGTTCTCTGGGCCTGAAAGCACATCTGACTCAGGTATAAAAAGATACGACAATCTTCAGTATGGCTGAACTTCATCTCCATTACTTGCACCAATTGCTCCATCATTCACACACAAGTTGAACTTCGCATTTTACCTTTTGCCTTACTTTTCCGAACCGATTCTTGCATAACTACAAATGCGCTTTCTTTATCTTAGCCTCCTGCTCTGTGTTGCGCAAGCATTTATCCCGACGTTTCTAGCTGACCCTGCAACTAGAGACCCTAAGAATAATCCTGCGCTTGAGCGAAGGGAAATCGTCCCTCCTGTCGAGCAACAAACCGACACCTCAACAACTCCCGCACTGACCAGTGACCACTTGCCGCGACATGAGCTGCAAGACCGGGATATCACTGCGGTTCATAAGAACATAGGCGAGAGTGATAGCCATGAACCTCCTGGGAATGGGCAAGGACACACCATCGCCCGTCGGGATGCCGTCACTTACATCGCTGTGGTCAAGTATGGTTATGAAATTGAGAAGTTCCGAGACTTCTTGAAAACCAAAGCGGAAGACGGCAATGACATCTACCAGATCGGACCGGATGACAAGATCCTCGGGTACGGGAATGTTACTTTGACTCCGAGTTCGAAAGCCGACGTAGAGAATTATGAAGGCACTCTCGGTCTGCTGGAGGATCTTCCCGTGACATTTCATCGAGCCGTGCAAACGAAAAGCGCGTCTTTCGAAGTTCACCCGAGCGCCGACTCATACGAGAACAGCGGCAAACTCTCACGCAGAGCCTAGAAATGGAAGGCCCAATATCCCGCGGACGACGCTTTGGTGATGGATAGTGAGTATGAGTAAGTCGGATGTGGTGTCACATGTCTTCTTGAACTAATCAAAGGGCACTGTTTAGTGGTGGCCCCACGACGCTCGACTTCGTGTACCCTAAGAACCCCGGTGAGGGCATATATGTCTACGTGATCGAATGGGGCATTCATATCAAGGTCAAGAATGTAAGTAACCCTGTCTTCACAACCGTCGCATCGCTAAATCCACGTTGCAGCCTGACGGTGAGCGAGAATTCAAAACAGACAACGACCGTGTCCTACAAACTACGAGGTCTTTCCAACGGCATGCGAGTCCAGATACAGACGACAATACTATCAAACCATCTCACGGAACCCAGGTTGCTTCAAAAGCTGTGGGCAAGAAGTACGGACTCGCGAAAGAGGTATGTCGTCAACGCTGCATAGCGTTTCCGATTCATACTCCTGCGTCCATCTCATCCTCTCCTGAAGACAGGGCAGCATCTGCTCAGCCAGCCGACTATTCTACGCAACTCTGAGAAGATCCGTGTGTTCAAGAACATAGCTAATGTTGTGCCCAACTTTCTAGGCGACACTGGTGTCGACAAAGGTCATGCCCATAAGCGGAGATTGGGAAAATGCAATGTGGCTGATTTTGGAAGACATCAAAAAGAACGACCGTGCGGCGAGGAGCGTTGTTACCACATCCATGGCTCTTGGTAAAGACATGACCGCCGAGGAAGCGAAGGACAATGAACAAACCCAGAAGCTGTACGGAAACGACCTCCGTGAACTATCGAATCTTGGTGTTCCATTTGTGGCAAGTGCTGGAAACGACGCAAAGGACCCTAAGCGGAAGCTGGTGGATCAAATTCCTATGTTGCTTTCAGGTGATGATATTCCTCTCATTATTGTTGGCGCTTCGGACTACGATGGCAAGCAAGCCGACTCCTCGCAAGCCGGTCCACTCGTCACAATTCATGCGCCGGGTGTTGACGTTGAGTGCCAAACGAAGGTGGATGAAGAAAGTGCATTTGTAAAAGGCGCTTCGATAGGTAAGCAAATGTCCTCCTAAACCTTGACTACTGTGTACTTCGAACTGACATGCGACTTCGGCACAGCTGCACCTCAGGTTGCAGGCCTCATAGCCACGTACTTGTCCTACGCGACTAAGCCTTCGGACGACACCAAAACTGGTGTCGAGCGCGTCAAGGCCATCCGAGATTATCTTACCAGCGAGAAATCGAGCTGGGTCCGGGATAGGGACAATCCCAACAGCGGTATCCGTGTGATTTGGAACGGGGCAGACGCGGCCGCCCACGGGGATGATGGTGACGACGACAGCCCGAACGACTCCGATCCACCTCCATCAAGCCCTGTGCCTTCGCCAACACCGTCTCGCAAGAACAAAACACTTTCTATTATTTTCCGAAAGTACGAGGAGCAAGTATACCGCGAGAACTCCTGGTTGTTCTTCAAGGGCGATTATGGCACGTCCTCAGTGTGTCGACCTGACATGGAAGCTACGAGAACCGTACTAGTAGGAGGCGACGGCTATGTGGTAGACAATCCACCCTGGCCTGGGGGTACGTACGAGATGGACGACCTCATCGACGGCGTTAATTGCGACTACCTCAACGATGGAACCACTCCTGGATCTCTTTGGTGTCAAGATTGGGATGCAGAATCCGAGGGCCCTTTGCCTAAGGACCTAGAGATTCAGTGCAAAGAGGAGGAAGTGAGATCGCGGAGTGGAGCTGAGGTCTGTCCGCCTGGGCCGCTCATGTTCATTGAACATCATGCTGTCGTTACGTGTGACTGGTAGCTTTCGCATGGGACAAGGTTGAGGGATACCAGGCAGCTTTTCAGGGTATTTCCCTCGCTAATCTATATGATGTTTGGTTCTGGTTTGTCCTTCTCTTTAATCGATCGTTACGCTCGCTCGCTTTTGTTTGCGATATCTATTAGCTCTATGTTCTTCATGAATACAACGCGTACGTCAGAGCGTTGCTTGTATGCCTATAAATCCACAAAACCGGGGCATCTGCTTCCTACTAACATACAACTTTGAAATGAAAAGTATGAAGCGGCACGAAGAATTCTTCATCATGCTGTCAATGGAACCCACTGGGCAGCTTCGGACGCGTCGTTGCTTCGTTCAGCGCGGTGTTATGAGAAGGTGACGCGTCGGCACAGGTCTCAGAGCTAGCTCCACAGAACGCCCGTGCAATCTCCATAGTAAATCCGTGGTACATCCGCCCATCAATGCGACCACGATTGTCATTCTTCAGTGAGATGTAAATCAGCACCCTTGATGATCAGGCAGCCACGGAGGAAGTTGAGAAGACGACTATCGGAGGGTCTGCGCTGCTTCATGAGAGAAATGTCCCCAATATGCAGACGGCATACATCATATCGCACAATGACAGTATGTTAGGCCAACAACGATTGGTAACACGCCGGAGCAGTGTTTGAGGTCTACGAAGGAAGGACTGGTGATGGGCCCTGAGAACGCATTTGGCGGTCCGCGGCCCGTGAAAAGACGGAGACAACGTGAGTGAGTCATGCAGCTCGCAACAAACCATCAGCGGTGGGTCATGAGAGCGATAGGGGCGATTGAGTAAAAACTTTGTTCATTCGTCTTTTTTTGCTGCTATAGCCAACCTGGAAGGATGTACGTTCGGAGATCAAACCCTCAAACTCGCTACGTTTTGCGCCAAGAATTCATGTGTGTCACCCCTGAAGTCATCGTCGAGGTAGCTGTTCCTATTCGCTCCAAAGTTGATCAGCTTCTTGCCCTCACTCCACTTCGGCCAGTCCATCAGACTATTACCCTCATTGGGGTCCAAGTTGTAGATAAAGGAGTAATAGTAGCCTCTAATAGTCTTCGCGGCATTGTTGGGCAAGATGCCGTTGAAGACTTGCAAGATGTCGGAGCCATGGAACGTTCCTAGAATGGGTGTACCAAAATCGTATGTTGCAAGATAGGACCAGGATGGTACCTCGGGGGCGACTTGACCGGTGACTTCCAAAAAGAGACGACGGGTAAGGGTGAAGGTAACGTCACCAAGAATGGCTGAGACGCGCTTGAACTGCGGGTAGAAGTTGTTGAGTAGACCAGTGCGGAAGGGCGAGCCATCTTCCGTGATAGTCTGATAACTGCCCACAAGTTGCTCAACTTGCGCTGGTGAAGCGTTCTGGAAGAAGATGGTTGAGAGATAGGTCGTTACTTCTTTGGTCGTAGTAAGGTTCGAAGTGAAGAGACCAAAAAGAGTCCCCTCATCCTCTTGGTCGCCAACAATGAAGGGTACCTTGGCGTACTTTCCAGCTTTGACAAGGGCATCGGGAGATGCAGAGAGGGCGCTTCCATCAGGACGGGGAAGATAGGAAAGATTGACAGTGAAATACCCCAGGATACCAGGGACAGTATTAGCGGCATTGAGGAACTTTGTGTACGGCACTGTGCGAAGACACGCCAAAGTATCGGCAGAGCTTGCGCATCCAGCTGCTTCAACGACCTGCGAGAGTTTAGTATCGTGTTATGCGGCGGGGAGTAGGATTCATAATATACCCTGTCGTAAATAGCTTGACCTTTGGGACAGTCAACGGGATCAGCTGGAACTATCGAACCAGAGTTCATGATCCCAGCTCTGAACAGCGGCTTGCCGTTGTAGCTGTTATCGCCGTCGTAAAGCATCATCTGATCCAGCACGGAAATAGCACCTGCAGACTCTCCCCAGATCGTGACCTTCTCAGGATCCCCACCGAATGCGGCAATGTTATCAGCAACCCATTGCAAGCCCAACCTTTGATCTAGCAGGCCTAGGTTAGCGGAGCCATCAGCCAATACCTCTTTTCCGGGCATGAAGCCAAATCCGCCCACGCGATAGTTGACCGCAACAAATACGATGGGCTTTCCTTGAGCGACTGATTCGGCTACAAGGCTTGTTCCATCGTACATTGCAGTAGATCCAAGTTCGAACCCGCCACCAAAGATCCAGAACAGTACTGGAAGTTTGTCGCCAGCCTTCGTGCCAGCTGGGCGCTGTACATTGATAGTAAGGCAGTCCTCTCCAGCATTTGTGATTGTCTGAAGAAGTGGTAGGTTGAGGATAGTTCCTAGGACGTTGGTGGGAATATTCCTCTCATCTATGCTGAAGAAGAACTGTGGGCATGCTTTTGGAATGCCGGTTCCATCAACCTTTCCGAGAGAGGAAGTTATGGGCTGAGGTGGTTTCAGTCGTAGCTGGTCGATCGGAGGCTGTGCGTATGGTATGCCTTTGAAGGACTCAACACCCAACACGTTGATGCCAGCAACCGTGGCTTGAGGCGAGGGAGCAACGACTGTGGGGTTTGCTCGTTTTTCAAGGGGTGCTGGGACTGCGAGAGCCAAAGGAAGGAATGAAAGAAGTATTGCAAGCTTCATAGTGAGTAGTTGTGCGTTCGACTCGTAGCAGTGGAATCAAACAAAGTTTTTGCTTCTGGTGACTGCATCTACCATCGCTGTGCAACGCACGATACTTAACCCGCCCGGTCGAACAGATGTCACAAGCCAGAGACTACTCTTCACAACGAACCTCGGACAATGTCGAAAACTACTGCGTCCGGACGAAGAGTGATTTGGAAAGATTCAACGTGAGCTCGAAGGCCGCCGTGGCTGCAGATACACCCATGCTTCAATAGCATCCTCCCGTAATTTTGGGTTGCAGATCGCTCTCATTTTGATGGAAGTGGGGTCTGGCAGCCTTGTGAGAGTGACACGGTGCATGAAGAACATCGAGCGCTGACCTATCCGAACTCGCAGTTCAGAGCGTCAGCCAGGGGAAAGAGCCACAATAGGCTTGGATCGTTGGTGGATAGCTTCCGGCGCGTATTGTCTAGGCAGCTGGTCATGAGGTGTCGGCGCATCTAGCGGACGAGTAGTAATCCAGAGTTTATGGTTTTGCGCCACACCAGTCTTTACAAAAGCCGTTCTCGGAATGTTCTCTGTTTGCGCCTCCTACATGACGCGGTTGAACTGGATACACCGGCTATGAGATGTGCATTGCAAGGACGTACAACGTAGGATATCGACGCCAAGAGTGGCATTGACTGCCGGACCGCAGACGGATGCATTCTCCCGGTCTGTGGGTGTACCGACTGAATCGCCATCGTCGTTGACATGTCCGGGGACCAGCCATAAACCGTTGGCTTGTGTTCTGATGACGGAGATGCTACCTTTCCAGGTGTAACTGCTTCGCCCCGCGTGGACAAAATGCGGGGTATCCACGATGGGTCTCCCCACGATCTCGGCGAATCCATCGCTCGATATATTGGTCTTCAATTACTTGCGAACAAGGCTGACGCCTCGGTAGTAGAGAGGCGCCACAAACTTACGCAAACTCAAATTGCATGTGAGAGGACTTTTGGAGATTTCAAGAACTCAGCGCACCGCGCCAATACCTAGGTGCATTCCAATGGCTGGAGGTGGAGCCGGTAACGGTAGTTGATGCTAGCGGAGCGTATTCATCCGTATCGAAAGCTTTGACGCATATTGTTGAACGGATAATGGAAGGTACCGTTTGATTGGTATAGGCGCGCTCGCTGGGCTCGTGTGAGAAAGGCCAGAAAGGCTGTTATGACGTTACCGCACGTCCCACAAACTCAGTAGGGTCGCGTGCAAAGAAAGAGGGAGGCACTGTCAAATTTCTCAACAGCGAGAGGACGCGTGCTGGTAGTCGCATTCCTGTACGAAGCTCAGCTGCGAAGGAGTGCCCCATGTCTCCATCGCAGCTGGTGACAGGGCAGTGCACGATTACTAAGCGTTGTCTCCGATTTGATCCCGGCTTAGTCCCGAAGGAACGCTCGTACTGCAATTTCGGTCACGACTGTCAGATCTTGCTCTAAGGGATCTGAACTTGTCACCAAAGCGATTCAAATATGTCAGTACTGATTTATAGTCGCATATAAATCGCCGGTAAGCACCGCAAAAAATCTACTGGGGCTGATCCCATCATTCTGGCCTCATCTTCGCCATCTCTGGCACCCCAACTCATCCACGAGATGGCATAGGATACGTTGATCCCAGGCTACTACGATGGAACACACCTGTTGTTGATGTCTGAGGCAAAGATATCGCGTCAAGGATAAGCGCTGCCTCTGTTTTGTCTACCCGCGGAAGCGACACATAGACCTTCGCTACGGGCGCAAACAGCCTCTTGCTGGACAACTTCTTGGCACATCTCTAGCGATACTTCTGTGTCAATTCGAACTACATTCAAGGTTTGAGGTCAAACAAAGCGAAGTAATGGTCCCACGAAGGGGATGATATAACCAGCGCTTACATGCATCCGATATTACGCAGTGGTAGGTGTCACTGTGCGTGCTTACGTGCGTAACCAATTTCCCGGTCGCCGGGGGCCTGAAGGATAGATTCAGACACCCCTAGCGGATTCTTCTGCGCGAATGTCTCGGCCGCAACATCTCCAATGTCGTATTTCAATATCGAGGTTGAGCCCATCCGCTATAACAGCCGATGTGTTGGTTTTACCGAGTGGGTCTCCTTGTTCACTTTGTGTCTTGCCCCATTGATCGCTGTAAGTTTAACATGGGCTATGCTCCTGCATGAAGATAAAGTACTGATCAAAGTCGTGCTTTAGCATATCGTATCTGGTACACCTACAATATCGCATCTGACAGATCGACGCCCTAGATGGTACGATCGGCTATGCAGCTACAACCCTACATCTATAATCTGGAGATACGCTGCGATAGCCGATCGGCGCATTCGCGCTGTCCAGTGGAGTCGTCATGACTTAGCAGCCACCAACGCGATATTCTGGACCTCGAACGGATGGAATGGCGGGGAAGAGATGGTTACTGCCTGTGCTCCGCACTGCTTACGTTTGCCAGAGCACACCCACGTTGAAATCGCCTCGTTGACAACGTTAAAGACCGTCATCACAACACTCCAGGGCGTATCGGCACTCTATTTACTTATTGGGGCCATGTCCGGAGCCGCACTTCCCGGCGTCGCTATTGGATTCGGGATCGACGCGGTCTTCTTCCCGTTGGCCATTCTCGGTCTGCTGCGATTATGCGCTGCAATGTGGCTAACAGAGGACTTTGTATACCAGCGAGACGGTTTACGGAACATCACCCCAACTGAGACAATCGTGCAGACGCACCGGACTCTCTTGCCTAAGGATAATGGTATGGAACTCGATCGACAACCGACAGCATTGGAACCGCTCATAACATCGCCATTCGAAACAGCTGGATTCAAATCTCCCGCACAATCCTGGAAAAGCCATCTCTTTCGCATCTTCTTCCTTCTTCTCCTTGGAGGCGTTTGGACATTAGCTCTTCTTATCATTACCCCGGTGTTGGGAGGCACGCTCTTCTTCACAACGACTACCTTTGTACTCGGGTTGTTCTACTTCGTTTTCATCACCGTTTCCCTGATACTGTACACCTTCTACTTCATTCGCGGTCAAACGACGACTACGATTTTGCCCTGTATCTCCAGCACATGGTACCGGATGTATACTCTGCTGCTTATGGGTCTTATGGTAGTTCTCATTGTCATTGCAAGTATAGAAACGAATAAGAGTCCCACCGGGTTGTACACTAGTGCGGACTTGGGAACAGATTTGGCATGTGCAGACTCAAGCCAGTGGTGGCAATTGCCGCCTTCCAGTCGGTGGATAGGAGTTGCGACAGACAAAGAACTGGATGAAAGGTGGCTTATACGGAATCAGACCAGCCTCGTTGTGAAGGGTCCTCAAGAAACGGAGTTCTGGTTGTATAACTTCACTGGCTTCTGCACAGGACATGTCAACGATATGTAAGGTGCTGAATCTGTGGTACACTTGGGGAAGCATTTTGTACCTAGGTATTATCAGAAAGCTTTGGACTGTATCTGGACTGACCAAGGCCACCTAAGTAAAATTTGAGCAACGCGATTAGTTCATGCGTATGCACCCATTTGAAGTACCTAGGGGTAGCCAAACAAACTTACTCACGAAAACAACAACCAGGCTCGAGCTCGGGTATCAAGACCAGAATAATTCGTAGACAAGCCCCCACCTGAGTTGAGCACGGAGTCTCTTCTTCGTTGCGCATCGGTCCTAGGGGAGTTTGCTGGTGACAAGCCGAAACGGGTTAGTGTCGTGACGTAATAGCAGCTCGGCCCAAACATTCTCGCACGTCGGCGCGCACTGCGCAGATATACGGCAGCCATTACGGTGCTTTTGACCAGCAGCAACTTGTCGCGCAAATACATGCATGCCTATGATTTATTAGTTTGCTTGAAGTAGCGCGAGGTTCTACTGTCCCATCAAAGCTTCTCAGATCAGCGATTGATCAACTCTGACGCTAACTCATCACCCCACGTATACATACTCAGCCATCAGGAGCCATGCCGAACCCTACAGATATTCCGTCCTTTGCCGCGTCGCAGCTCACGCTTCTCGATGCCGAGCTTCAAGCCGAGCTCTCCGAAACAAACGCGCTTCTCTCGTCACACACGCCTACCGCCCTCTCACGCGCCGGTCTCGCGATCCTGAACCTTAATATATCTTCTATACGGACAGGGCTGGGCGGCAAGACCGTGGTCGAGCTGGGATTAGATTCGGCAGTCGTGGCTAAAGGCGAGAAGCCGGACATCCCAGAACACGGCATACGTGTGGGCGATATAGTCGCGGTTCAAGACCAGCCCAGCGGGAGCGCGAAGAAGACGGAAAAGAAGGAGCTGGAGAAGAAGGGCGCCTCGGGCGTTGTTTTGAGGGTGCGCAGGGAGAATGTGGAAATAGTGCTAGACAAAGAGGACGCAGATGTGCCAACTGGCGGCAAGCTATGGATGTTAGTCTTCATATTGTGGAAGGCTATGTTGGGTACAGTGAGGCTGATATATGTACTAGAGTCAAATTGGCGAACGACGTCACCTACAAGAGGTACGTCTTTGCCGAATGCATGGTTTGCATTTCTACCTGAACTTATACATGATAGGATGAACCAAACGATGAATAGGCTACAAAAGCTCGGAGACCAAGAGTACACACCCTTCATGCGCGTGCTCTTTGGACAGGCATCGCCTACTCCCCTGCCTTCAGACCTGAACGACCCATCAAATCCTCTCCACAAGCTCGAGTGGAACGATCCATCTCTCAACGATAGCCAACAAGAGGCCATCAGATTTGCGCTAGCCTCACGAGAGGTTGCGCTGATTCATGGCCCCCCAGGCACAGGCAAGACGCACACTCTGATTGAGCTTATTCTCCAATTACTCAAGCAGAAACTTCGCCTGCTGGTATGCGGACCATCGAACATATCTGTAGATAATATTGTCGAGCGTCTAGCCTCTCACAAGGTCCCCATGGTGCGCCTCGGGCATCCAGCACGCCTGTTACCATCTGTTTTGAACCACTCGCTCGACGTGCTCACACGCACGTCAGAAGCAGCCGCCTTAGTTCAGGACGTTCGTAAAGAAATGGATGACAAACAATCTTCTATCCGTAAGACACGCAACGCCAAAGAGCGCCGTCAGATCTACACTGAGCTGAAAGAACTCCGACAAGAGTACAGAGAGCGAGAGAAGGGATGTGTAAACAATCTAGTAACTGGCAGTAAGGTCGTTCTTGCGACGCTGCATGGCGCTGGTGGCTTCCATCTAAAAGGTCAGGAGTTCGACGTCGTCATCGTAGATGAGGCCAGTCAGGCTTTGGAGGCACAATGCTGGGTGCCTCTATTGTGGGTTAAGGCAAGTAAGCTGGTGTTGGCAGGCGACCACCTCCAATTACCACCCACTATCAAGTCTCTCAACTCGAAACAAACGAAAGCGGTCAAGAAGGAAGCCAATAAGAGTACTGATAGCGCGGAGAACCTCGCTGGCAAGCTGATCACCGGCATGACACTCGAAACGACTCTTTTCGACAGGCTGCTTTCTCTGCATGGCCCGTCGATCAAGCGGATGCTAACGACGCAGTATCGCATGCATGAGAAGATAATGCGGTTTCCATCGGACGAACTATACGATTCGAAACTTGTAGCAGCAGACTTTGTCAAGGACCGTCTACTGCGGGACATGAAGTACGATGTCGAAGAAACTGAAGATACACAAGAGCCGCTGGTTTTCTGGGACACTCAAGGCGGTGACTTCTCGGAGAAGATCGAGGACGAGGGTGTGATAGGCAAGGGCGGGAAAGGCATGAGTCTTGGCGATAGCAAATCTAATGAAGCAGAAGCGGCGTTGGTAAAGATGCACGTCGCGAATCTGATCAAAGCCGGCGTTAAAGCGGAAGACATCGCAGTTGTTACGCCATACAATGCACAGGTACGCGTCTCTCCACTCTGCTCATCATGCGTGTGCAATGCGCGTCAACTCTATATTGTGGAGTTGAACGTTGACAATGGTAGCTCGCATTGCTTGCTGGAATGCTCAAAGAGGCGTATCCTGGTATCGAACTAGGGTCTGTGGATGGCTTCCAAGGCCGCGAGAAGGAGGCTGTCATTGTCAGCACGGTACGCAGCAACCCAGAGCATGAGGTCGGCTTCTTGGGCGAGAAGAGACGGCTCAATGGTACGTCAGCTCCTACTCCCCCGACTCGCCGCAATATCTACGCATGAACACGTGGCTGCAGGTGCTAATGAAGGGCGCAGTTGCAATGACACGCCCAAAGCGACATCTTTGTGTGATCGGAGACTCAGACACAATAAGCAAGTACGTACACTCTTCATTCCCAATTCATGTCCCCAGCATCACTGGCCTTCCTTGTTTGTCACACAACCGATCCCTCTTCGTCATCGCGGAGTCACGGACTTCGGTCATACCCGAGAACGTGGGCGTCGGGATGTGGTCTTTGCGAACGAGCAAATCTGAAACCCGCGTAACTCGAAACTGCCGTGACACGCCCCCTTGCTTTGTCACACGGGAACCCTTCGTCACCCACACTGAGACCAGTCCCTCGGCACCCTGTTATACGGCGGAGGATTCTATACGCTCATCACACCACAGCGCCATGCATTGTTGCTGACTTGATTGATTCACAGGGGCTCCAAGTTTCTAAAAGCTTGGATGCAGCATCTAGAAGACCACGCCGATCTCAGGTATCCGAACTTGGCAGACATCTACGTGGACCAAGAAAACGGCGGATGAGGGGTGTAAGCAAGCGAGGCTGTAACACATGCGCTGTCACGGGCTCCCAAACAAACAATGTCGGAGTTATGGTTCGCTACTACATGTTGGAGTGGTGTGGGGAGGGACATGGTCTCAGCGCTATGGTTTGGTTCGCAAGCGAAGCGCGATACTGCAGCCATGGTATGCGGCGTGAATTTAGCTGCAGTAGTCCCGCGTCAAAGTCGCGAGTCAAGACAGCTCGCGCCAAAACACCTACATACGCCGAATGTCATCGCGAAAGTGGCATGCGGCATGAGACTACGGTGGTAAGACGGCGAAGCATGGCTTGCATGCGTTTATATGCGCAAAAGAGAAACGAGAAGGACCAGAAGAGCACGCAGAATAGACAGCGAGTAATGCGCTCATTCTCTCAAACTCTTTATGCTGAAGGGTGTCGTGCAGGATAAAGTGTGTGTGGTGGCGAGTCGTGACCATCAATACATGGCGCAATACTATCGATGCAATCAGCGCGAGCAGCAAACTTCATCAAAACGGCGCCCAGCGCTTGCGACCTCGCTTCTGTCAACGTCTTTCGAGACCCTGCGACTACTGCCGACCAGCCTCCCCTATTTATCATCTTTACCTCAACGTACATCGTCAACAGGTAACGCGTGCAGTAGAGTACCAAACAGTCGTGATAGACGGTGTGGTGTGGGCCAGAGCAATGTGCCCCAATCAGGCCGTCGTCGGAGTTAGTCCGCGGACAGCCTCAAACGCGTTAATGCAGGCTGGTGCAAGGATTCCTGTTAGTCTGCACGGCCGAGGGTCCATGACATGACATGCGTCCTGGCAAACCCATGTCTTCTCGCGCTCAGGCCTGACGCGACAAGAAGAGGGTTCGTGGAACGCCTCGGTCAGTGCTGCAAGCCGCTATTTGTAGACGCAGAAGGATTAGCTCTGCGACGGCTTTACTGGGATTTGAGATGGCGGTTCTGGACGAGTGGTAGGTTTGAGAAGTCTACAGGGAAGCTGAGGTCCAAGACGTGTTAGCTGCATGTTTCAGAAGGGCTGAAGAGGACAGTGGCCGAGCGCGCCTGCGCGTGCCGTGCAGCCAACGAACGTATCGATTGCGACAGTCCGCTTTGGCGAAAACATGCAGCTGTACTGGACGCAAAACCCCACAGCCCCATGGCCAACAACCTGCACGTCGTTCGTTCGCGCAGTGGTCCGACTTGTTGGCCTCTCATGCAACGCTTGTGCAGCAGCGATCAGGCCTCTATTTGTTGCTGCAGGCCCCGTTGTGTTGTGGTCAAAGGTAATGCCGGTCATACTGCTTGATTCGCAAATGCGCCATCAATAATAGCCTCCTCCTTCCCGCCGCGCCCCCCATCCGACTGACCCTCCCCACTCTATTGGCACCCTTGTCCAGAGGGTACATGACGCTCTCGGTCTGATACATAGACCCTAAGAACGCCGCCCCCCGTTCTCTTGCTGCTCTTCTTGTTGCGTCGTCTGTGGCACGTCTCTCTATCGTTTAACCTCGTCGCTCTTTCTGATCGAGTTCGCTTCTTTCGAGTCTTGGGGGCTATCGTTGTTAATTCCTTATTGCCTATTCTTGCCTTGCATCTATTTTCGGAGGAGGGACGTTTGCCGCGCTTGTCGCTCCGGTCCGCCTTTGCTTTGCTTCTTATCCATCAATTGCTTTCGCAACATCGGTGATGGTAGTCGAGATCCTCACGCTCGCTGGGTCATCCCGGTAAACCTCGCCTAAGCGCAATTTCCAGAACTCGTCCGCAGAAGCGCATTCGCCAACACTCGAAATCCAAAACATCGCAGCATCCATATGCTTCAAAGAGAAGGCTTTGTCGTCGCCGATATGAGTGCGTCGACGCCCTCGCCCTCGCCTCTGCAGCGCTCTAGCTGGAAGGCTGAGGCTATCAGAAGAGGGAACTTAAAAATTAGCGGGCCGATCCCTATTACCGAGGATGTGCCGTTGAATGAAGAGGAAGAGAAGGAGTACGCGGAAAATGGCGCGCTGGACCGGACATTGCAGCCGCAGGACGCGCCAGAAGAGCAGTATGAAAGACCGCAAACACCGCCAAGGCCACTTCAGTCTCCTCCGCCTGTGCCTGAACAGCATATGTCAGCCTTGCGATCGAATCCCGTGGGAGAGCAGCAGCCGCAGCGCGATTCGGCTGTTCCCGAGCGCCCGATCTCTTCGAGATCCCCACCAAAAGTGCGACACTTGGACGAAGTACAGCGCGAAAGCATTGTGCCATCGACTTCGATCGCTTCTCCGTCGCCGTTTCGCTCAACGCCAGAGAGCGCCGGTAAATCAGCGCAGAAGAAGAATAAGCGCAAGAGCGGCCTCAGACATGTATTCCGGAAGATGTTCGGGCGAAAAGGCCCGGAGCGAGCGGACGATCTGGAAGAAGAGCCAATGCAGCGTGGCCACAGCTACCACCATAGTGTAAGTCTGCCATAAACAATGTGATAGACAAATTCTGACAAGGAATAGGACCCTACCATGCTGAGATCATCACCACCAAGAGAACCAAGGACACCCCCGTCTGGTCCTCGGATATCAGATCTTCCAGTAGAGGAGCTACAGCCATTACATCCGCTAGGCCAACATCTCCCGTACCCCATGAACGTGAATGCGCCGCCAGCAAGTCCGCCGAAAGAATACCTTACTTTCGATATGGACAGTCCAGATTTTGGTCGCCGAAGAGCCACGCTGCCTACTGTACCAAGTGCCATTACTCATCGACACAGTTTCGACGAGCCTCGGGAAAAGCTGACAGCGTGGGACGAACAGGCTGAAGAAGATGAGATGTCTCCCGGTATCGGTATCGCTCTGTCCAGCCCAACTCAAACAGTGACGTCCAAACACGATAGACGAAGATCAAGAAGCGCGGATGCTCTTCACAGTCTCGCGAAAGAGCGCGCCTCGACGGAGAGAGGCAGGAGTGCGGAGATCAAGTTCTGGAGAGAGAGCTACATGTCCGGCAGCATCTATAGTAGACCGCAAACAGCGAAGACTGTAGAGACGGTCCGCACCGTGCCGATGCAAGAGCCCATGATCCGGGAACCAGATAACGAGTCGTTCAACGAGATGAGCGCGACGCTCGTGCAGGCGGACGAATCGCAGACCCCGACACCGATTACGGAAGAGCCCAGCCGAGAGCAAGAGCGTAGTGTTGAGCCCCCGGTCTCAGCCTTCAACTTTGGTGACCTCAAGAACGCCCTGTTTGGACCCAAGGAGGAAACTATCCCAGAGTCCCCGCAAGTCCGAAGCGTTTCTCCACCACCTCCGCCGCCAGCGAAGAGCCAACATCGGATACCTATTGAGGACCGCGTTCAAGACCTTGAATCCAGGTACTCAAACCTCGAAACACTCACCCGCCGGATGTCATCCCGTAATAACCGGCAAACCATCATCCTCGAAAACGCACCTCGCAACCTGCGATCAAGGAACCGGAGTTCGTCGGCATCTGCATCGCGCTCTCACTCTAGATCAGCACCGAGCATCCATCAAGAGCTCATCGTTCAATCAAGTAGTGAGACACTTGATCCTGAGCCTGCGCCTGGTTCTCCAACGCTAGCTGTGCCTCCCGTTCCAAACACCGGTAGTAACGAGGAGAATGCACGAGCGCTGCGAAACGTCTATGAGGCGCTCAGACATGAGAGGAGCGCGAGGAAGGCGTTGGAACAGCAGGTTCGCACTCTTCAGCACGATGTCTCGGACTTGCATGCCCTGGTGAACAAACTCATCGTTTCGGCGACCGCCACATCACCATCGTATCCTACTCCTTCGCCCGACACCTTGATCATCTCGCGTGAAGGAGATCAGCGAATAAGCTGCTCCACACCACGAGCTCCAGCGCATGACCGCAATGTCGTCTACGGCCAAACAAGCCACGACAGGAACCAGCGCTGGGGTAACGACGATGCGAGCGTCTACTCTGAAGACCTGGCCCGCAAGCCGAGCTACGATGATGTCTCGCCAGAAGTATGGGCTACGCCGAAGGAAGAAGGGTTCGATGGAAGTGGGTTCTTCCATGGCGATGAACGGGTTGGAGCGTATGCTTGAAACTTTTAGGTCGCTTGATGCGGTCTCGAGACGTGGAATGATTGGTAAGGTTTTCTCTCCTTCTGGATACGGCCGGACATGGCATGACCCATTTGGATGTTTGTAAGATACCCAGCGTGGGCGCTGTTATGGCGCGCGCTTTCGTCGATGAGCGATTTTTTTCTTGTGTCTACTGTTTGATTTAGCGAGCGAGCGTATTCAAATGCAACCATTATTGATCAGTACTGTAATGTTCATTCGTCGTAGGCGTAGCAGTGCCAGTGCAGGTAGTGACGCGAGAGATGCTTGATGAGGTGAGTGGCCGAGGAAGGCGCGGCATGCTCTCTCATGTTCCCGCCCAATTACGATTCGAGGTTCTATGATAAAACACCAGAAGGGTCGCCAACTAGAAAGCTTGTTGCAGATCTTGTTGCCTGGACCATTCATGAATATGAGCTCACTGGGATGGGGATGGATCAAGATACTATGCATCCTGACTACATAATGGGTCTTCTTCTCGCCATGTCTAGAAGGCTTGTTTCTAGTATGCCTGGTAAGTCACCACTTGACGGCTGGGAGACAAGCTGCAAGTACCACTGTCACGGCGACGAGAAGCCTTGCTACAGGAAGAAAGTTGATGCGTACGTAATATCCTTTGCTTACGCCGTGATCACAGTTGAATGGGTCTAGATCTCGCACTACCACAACAAAACGTCCAGCTCCCGACGACGCCCAGTCACCAGACGCAAAGCGAAGCGCTTGAGGATGGACTGCGTATGGTGTAAAACCACGTTCATGGTACATTATCTGCTTGGACTGATGAGATACTGCGCGATACTGAATGCGTAGCGTGGGTGGGATGGAAGGAAAGGGATGCCGCACGCATTATGACACAAGATGGGAACTTCGGTAGATATACTGCACCCACTTTATGGATGCAGGTGAACTTGATCAAATGGGGCGACATTGCAGACATTGAAGATCGCGTCACACTGGTCTCCGAACATGCCGTAGCTGTGTTCGACGGCACAGAAGTGAAGGACCCGCTTCGCAAATTCATCGCAGACTTCACTGTCTGGAACACCGAGTATGATCTCTGGTCTGAGAACTACAAGAGGTTCCCCGAAGACTTCGTTGCAATGGTATCGCATGGTTACGCTTTTCGCTGTCACCTTGGCGGCTCTGGTCCTTCCAAGCGTGCGAGTCTGCAAGCTTGCTCGTACCACTGCCATGGGGACAAGCCATGCTGCAAGGCGAAATTAGAGAGGTAAGACAACAGTGTATTGCTGTACGTACGTCGGCTGATATGAAGATCAACAGGACCAGCGCGTCTGGACCGACCTCCTCTCAGCCCTTGAAACGCCGCAAGACCAACCATGCCACCAACGATGAATCTGCCGACGAAGAACTAGAGAGTAACCCCTCTACTGTTTTTGGTAAGGCACACAAAAAGAATTGATACCAGATAAGGAATGTGAGGAATCGCAATGTCGTTGATCTACGGCAGAAGGTTGAAGGATAGAGGATGTCATATGTACTGAGTGGGCGAATAAGCTTTTCATAATACTTCATTAACAATTATGTACTTTAAATTCGCTGATACGCTCATAACGCTTCAAAATCATTTGCATCCAAAGTAGCACACATATCGTACAACATCATCCTCTCTCCACTTAGTTAACGTGGGGAATGTAAGTCGGGCCCCTACCCTCCTCAAAAGCTGGTCCAACAGGTCCATCAAGGTAGGCAGCATTGGGATTGGCAATGTAAGCGCTATCCCTCATGCTCTCGCTATACCTAGCCTCCTTAACAACCTCAGGCCTCTGGTCACCCTTGCGACCGAAGCTCCAGGCGCCGAGTAGGACAAGGGCGAAGATGCCAAGATCGCAGAGCTCACCGAAGATGATGAAGAGGAAGGCGAGGGCCTGGTTGGTGGTGCGCGAGTAGTTGTTTGTGTTACGGTAGATGAGGACGAGCTGTGCGATGGAGAAGGCGTTGCGGACCCAGACGATGGGGGTGACGAGCATGACAAAGCGGGTAAGAGCGGACTTTGAGCGGTTCTAGATATTGTCAGTACATCGGCGTGCGCAAAAGGAGAGGAGTGAACTTACACCGACAACACCGTTCTTCTTGATACCAATCCAGCAAAGGATCGCCTCAAGAGTCGCACTAGTCGACGCAGCGATGACAGTGGCTACGTACACAACGTAGAGTGTCCTCACCATGTAGTCGACAGCAATCAAGCTCGGGTATGCCAACGCCGAGTTGCCACTACCGCGGCGAGCAAGACCAACAGCCCAGCTAGCGAACCCAAGAGCAAGGATAGCCAGCATCCAGAAGCCGTTCAGAGCCCAAGACAGGACACCAGGCTCCTTGATACCAGTGCCGTTGTTCTGGACGTGGTTGGCGTGGATCCAGATGGCGCCGACGATGCAAGCGTTCATGATGATCATGGCGCCTTGGTAGGTGAAGGAGAGGATGGAGATGATCTTTCCATATTTGATGGAATCGTTGTTTCCAAAGGGTTCGGTGTATTGGGGGTAGGCGTAGGCGGAGGTGATGTAGAAGGGGGATGGGAGGCGGGACTGAAGGGCCACGATGGAGGATTGCGCAGCGTAGGCGATCATGAGGGTGGTGAGACCAGTGATGAGGAAGAGCTGAGTGCCCGTGGAGCTGTCGTGTGTTAGTCTGCTTATTGCTAAACGAAAAGGTAAAGAATCGTACCTGTGCCTGTTTAGAGTTGACCTGGTAAACTTCTTGAATGTACGTGGACGTCCAGGGCCTCCGACGAGCTGGCGACCGAACAACGCAAGAGCGGCCAGAATGAGGATGATGGAGCTGCCTGCTGTAACGACATGGAGGGCGAAAATTCCCTGGACGGTGGAGGTGGTGTTGGTGATGGCCATTGTGCGTGTTCGGTGGATGTGCAGGACAGCACCCTTTGGAATTAAGTGATGAAATTAATTACTATACTGATGATACACCACCAACATGCAAACACGAGGTTCTTTATCATATCATCCAAACCTATGCGGTCATACCTCACGAGCCCAGACCATGACGATGCCTTGCGATGAACTGCTGTCAAACTTTACCAACGTTGACGCGCATCGAGGCCAACAGCCTTCTGGCCTGGAATTAGCCATGTGACTAACCGTGGCCTCCACAAAGATCGAGCAATGAAAGCGTTCGGTGCGAGTCGCGACGTTGACATGAGCTTGGGTAAATGACGTTTAGCGGCGCGCGGAGAGTAGCGGAATGACGTTGCGCGTCGTTAGCAAAAGCAACATGGCCGTCGCAGCCGGTTGCTTTTTCGCTTTGCGTGAACGATTTGAGATATTTGGCTTGGGCCGCCGAAGATCGTCGCAGTCATGGTAGTGCCATCGTGGAGGTGTGAGCGCGGGAGATATGTTCGCTGGCGCGGTGATCTGCCCAAGGATGTTCTTGTTTGCGGGCGCGACGGTGACGCGCTAGCGGTCGGGAACATGATGTGCCATTGCCAAGTGGGCTCTGGAGCAGGATTTTTCGAGACTTTTAAGAACACGACGATGATAATGAAAGTGGTCGCGCATCGAACGCACGAGCATCGAACCGAGGTCAGGATGTCAATCAAGATGGATCACGGACTGGACGATGGCTCTTCACCTCGCAGTCCATCAATCGCTCTTCCCAACCCCCACAACCCTCCCACTGCCTCGGAGTCCCAGCTCTTCAGGCGTCATGAACCTTCGCACGGCCTCAATGTCGTTGCCACCCCAAGTACCTTTCCCACTGCTGCGCTTTCCGTGTTGTGCTGTTTCATACTCATCTTTGTGCCATCCACACCCAAAAATACAAAACATGCACACAACAACGAATAATCCCATGACTGCGAGGATGAAGATGAACAGAGACCAGATACCGGAACTAAGCCAGGTTACGAAGGACGCAGAAGCCGAGTTGACAACATGAGTCGCTGTGCCTTTCTTGCCATTGTCGTCCCAATCATGGAACCACATTGCCGTTTTTGGTATTCGCTTGCCATTTATGCTGGAATGTGCGCGCGGAATAAGTGCAGCGCGAATGATCTCGTATGCGCTTGCTGGGTCACCGGCGGACAGCAGGGGACGCTGCAAGAGGACGAGTTCCAGGATCTTCTGCTCTTTTCTGTCCATGACGATTGTGAGATCCGGAGAAGTCAGATCAGTCCACAATTGCATGACATCGAAGTGCAACACCAATGCATTAGAGTCTTTGACGTGGCGCAGGGAGTAGGCGTATGAAGCGCCAAAGTAAGCGCCCCCTAGGTTGTCGAGTTGATCAGATGCAACGAGCTTGTCGAGATCGTCTTTCGATGTGTCCAACAAGACTTGGTTAACGTATACTTTCGGTAGGATCTTGGAATCTCCTAAAAGTGGGGCATTGTTGATGCTTAGATGCGCTGAGTCGTAGGGAAGGGAAATGTTCAGAAGCTAGGGTACATTAGCGGACAACTGGGCGCCTCGACAGTAGGAACGATTTACCAGAGCGTTATCGTCTTTCCTCTGAGCCCATGGCGCATCGTTGCCTTTTGATGTGTCTTGGTATAGGAAAGGGCACCCAACACATGGGATCTTGGCAATCACGTTGTAGCCTTCGGCCACGGTCGTAATCTCGGGTGCGACGTCCGCAGTTACGTATCGCGCCAACGCGAGCATCGCAGCGAGAGGCGCTATCCGGAATATCATGATGGGTGATATGATGGTCGATTGAAGTAGGATGACCTGTGTTGACACGTTGGAAGGATATGTGGCTGGGTAAGTATGTAAGCTGGGGCGGGTGGGGCGGCTTCGTTGATCATGTGAAGTCGCGAGCTAGCGTGTTTAGAATACGAGATGCAGCACTCACATCACTCCCAGTCTTCGCAGTGAGACTCTGTTTGCCGATCGAATTTCCAGGAGCATCAGGATCCGAGGTCACGTGTCAGGTATGATTTTGAAGAACCAACGTACAGCACAACTGGTTTCTCGTGCATCAGAGGTATTTATTTACATCATGTATAGCCCAAAACCAACCATGTACACGCTCACCCCAATAACGACCCAGTCACTCTACGCCTCGCATCTATTCCTTCGACGCCCAGGTTTATCGGCTTTCGATATCCTGTTAAATTTTATCCAGTCTCTTGGCAGTCAATGACATTCTCTCTCATCAACAAACCCATGATTTCGTTGTCATCGTGACAATCGTACATGTCGCATTGCGGTCCCGCAAGAACTTTACTAGGAGCCTCCAAATAATCTTCTGCCAACTCGTCTGCTATGTCAACGACCTCAGCTTCAATTCTATTCGACAAGGCGTCTCGAATCGTCTTACATGCCGAAAGAGCCTCTCTTGCTTCTTTATCTTCTAGATGTTCTTCGATATCGGCGAGCTTTTTCAGAGCTCGGGCGCGATTAGTGGTAGGATTATGTAGCCCGAGCCTAGGATCCAGCGTACAGTGACTGGCGACCGCTAGAGCGCCAATCTCGATGATCTGTCGGCTTCGTGCAAGTTCGTCCGGTCGTGTCATACGCCGAATGACCGGGTTATCCAAGCGAACTGCGACATCTTTCATGCCAACACTGTTGTGACTAGTGCCATGTTTCAGATCCTGGTGATCCATCATCTCGTTCAGCGGCGTACCGATAGGTGTGGAGAACATATCGCCGATGAGTGTATCGTTATACACATAGTACGGTATGCTTGTTGGATTGAGTGGCCTTCTTTTCGGCGCCAGACCTTGACTCGCACTTCTTCCATGCTGGAAGTGTGCGGCATGCCTTCTCTTATGTTCCGGTGTAGCTGTTCTCGCACGCGGTGCTTGGAGCCGAACAAAAGTCGGATTGGTAATGTTGTTGGCTGCGGCAATGCGATCTGTATCGCCGGTACTCAGAGATCGACGACGACCACCGTAGCCTTGCGACGGCTGTTCTGAGTGGAGGTAGGTATGGTTTGTTTGAGATCGTAAAGGTCGGGGACGATCGTTGAAGTCTGGATCATCGGTTGTTGTTGGGAAGGCTCGTTGCAGATCTAGCGGGTAGGGGTGTGTTGTACTTGGTCCGGGAGTCGGGTATCCCGCGGCGTTCTGGCCGAAGTCGTAAGTTGAGAAGTCGGGAGTCGAAGTAGTAGAGATGTTTGATGAGTTAACACCTGCGAAAGCGCCGTTTTCATATGTAAAACTGAGCTCATCGAGTATATCGCTGTTGCTTGAGGAAAAGATGGGCTGTGCTGAGCCATCTGACACGAATAATTCGTTGAAGTCGGCTTGAGAGAGTTGTCGCTCCTCGTCCATCGATGGAATGAAGAGATCGGCGCCTGTGTGACTGAGTGGCGCGTTTGGCTGAGACATTCTGTAGAATTTCACGAAGGTTTGCAATAACGAGCAAAGGGCGTATGGTTACCGAGATCTGTGGCCCTGTCGATACGGGAAGGACGTCACACAGGAAATGGGAGGCTGCGTAAACGATGTCAGATATATTTACTGTTTGGCCCTTCAGTTGGTATGGGCTGAGACAGGTCTACGTGGTGAGTTTGGTGAGCATAGATGGTGGCGCTGGAGTAGGCCAATAGGCGGATGCCTACATTAGGGACATGGTCGATAGACAAACAAGGCTCCTGTGCATACGGTTAGTGCTAAGGCTCGTTTCGCGTAAACCTTGGCCATCTTATTAGAGGAAGACTGTTTGCTGTGCTTGCGGAGTAGAGAATAAGTTGCGACATGTTGGGAGACATTTGTTAGAACTCGGTTTCGCCAGTCAGCTGCACTGGGCATCCACTGTCTCGCAACATCGTCGCAGATCCGAAGCGCATCCAGAGAGTTAATATGAGAGACAATTCACTGATTGCCTCTTTTGAGCTGAGACGCTTTGTTTCCAAAGATCATAGTCTCTATATTCGTTAAGACATCTAGGTCATCACCTCATGAACGCGTTGCCACTACTAGTCGGCTCCGGATACCCTACCGTAAGGACAACGAAGAGCAGTCCTTCCCAAAAGCGATATCGTACATGCGTATTATACAAGAGAATGCGGCTTTGCAGACTCAAAAACGTGTTCACTCCTTCTTGCTCTCACCGTCCTTTCCCTTCTTCTTGTCCCAATTCCAGACCTCCCAAATCTGTTCAAATATCATATCGCCATAGCTCTTTCCCTCTTCGATCGCCTTTTTTTCTTCCTCCAATCGCCGCTCCTTCCAACCCTCCTCCTCATCACCCATCCACAGCTTCCCAAGTATACCCTTTTCTTGCCCTTCCTTCCGCTCCAGTGTCCTTCTACTCCTTTCCCTTTCCTCTTGCAATATCTTCTGCATCTCCTTTGCGCGTTCGGTTGGTAGATCCATGGCTCGCATTGGACTGAGATTCTGTACGAGGCCGCGGCCTGTTCGTAGTGTGATGAGATGATCGGCGGAGAGGTAGAAGCCGATGCCTAGAGAGAATGTGTAGAGGTCTAGTTTTCGTGGTGGGAGTACGGCTATTATTGGACATAATACGAGGCCGCCGATGGCGAGGTTGCGTGTTATGCGCTGGTAACGGGCTTGTTGCTCGAGGGCAAGGCGCTCTTCTGGTGGGAGGGGCACATTTTGTACGGGGTTCGGTGTCGCCATTCTGGTGAATGTGTTCGCGCAGTCGATGTTGAAAACACAGCGGGTGTCGAAGTAGATTGATTGCACGTGTAGGAGTTCGAGCAGACAGGGTGAAGGGGTGATGTAAGGGTAGTTCGGTGGTCGCGATGTCAAAAAGTTCAATGATGCAAAGACGGCAGTTAGCTCCCGCCTCGGCTGCAGCTTCCCTTTCGGAGCGGAGGTGCTGCGGAGAGATCTTGAAGCTATGCTAGCAGTACTCAGAACATAGGATTACTCGGTTTAAACTGCTCATGATTCAAATGCGCCTATCGATATGCTGTTCTCGACCCCCAATGCCAGTTACGCCGTTTTCCCTGTTTCGCCCCGATTATGCATAGCCGACTTCATGAACACGCGCAAATTTCTCGCTGGTTATCGTTGGAACTTCCTCCTCTTCACGTCGACTCTGTCTTCAAAGCGTGGACTCTGCCTCCCTGGTCCGTCCTCTTGCGTATTTCCTAGCTGCTCAAATATCCCACTACTCCTGAGCCGCTTCGTCGGGGTTCTCTCACACTCACCGCCACCTCTTTGCCCTTCTTCATCTGTCCCGGCTGGCCCGTCTGACCTGGGTCCATCCTCGTATGCATCGAATTTCCGCTTCTGTGCAGTGCTCGGCGTCTGCATCAGGCGTCGCAAACGGCTCTCTTGTAATCGCCTATTCACTTCCTCGGTGACATCGACATGTTGAACAACGTAGTTGTCTTCGATTCTGGCTCGCTTTGCGCGTGGTGTGGGTGACTGATCCACGAGAGGAGATATGGCTTGCGTGTTGGGTTTTGGAGGTTGCGCAGTGGGCGTGTCAGAGGCATGTTTCGCGCCTTCGATACTAAGACGTTTATTTGAGGTCTTGACCTGTCGCTTGTTAGGTTTTCGGTGTCGTGCGCGCGACGGCACAGCATACTTTCTTCTTTTCCGCCAGACCTTCGTCCTCGAGCTGATCTCTGAATCTCTTCATGTCGTCCTGCAATCTTCCCGACTTATTTCGCAGTGAGATCAGGTCCGTAGCCAGCCAGTCGGGGGCATTGTGATCCGTCGCATCGAGCGTCTCATTGAGAAACAGGAGTTGTGCGCGGAGATTCTCGATGTGTTTGTCAAAGTCCTGAAGAATAGATGAGAAATGTGTTGGAACGGGTAATTGTGTGAATTACCTCGAGCGAAAACTTCGCCATGTTGTATGGTAGAACTTTGGATGGACAAGTGAAACCGCATGCAGGAGGCTTGAACTTCCTTGTGGAGTCCCGAGCGCTTGGGGTGACATCCTGGTTCCGATCGGAACGTTCCGACCTTGGCAGCATCTTGGGATCTTGCCTCTTAACCACGAAGGGCCAACGTGATAGGTCAGAGGTGACGTGCTGCATAGATCAGTCGCAGGAAGATCGAAACTATGACAAGTAATGTTGTACCATCACATTTAGAATTGGCATGTACTAATCTCACTATATTGCCCCGTGTCCTCACTACCTAGGTAGCATCTTTGAACAGGTAGAACCTTGGAAGTTCGTAGCCTTCGTATGCGACATTCCACTTGGCATGCTACAAAGTGAGTTTCATGCTAGAGTACACACGATCCAGCTTGAGCTTCCTCTTATCCTTTGCGCCATATGCATCGCGTCGCTGTTGCTGTCCATTATGGACCAGTTTGCATGACCACGCGAGCGAGTCGCAGATGAATGAAAGCGATCATCATCCTCGAGGTATCAGCAGATCCGATAGCCTCGCGCAGCCTGATGTGATACTGGCGTCAATAGGGAAACCAAACATAGCTTTGTGAATCGATCCATCGCCTTTTACAAGTGGGTGATGTCTAACGGTTGAGATGCGACCCTCTTCAGCCTTCATCTTCGCCAAAAGTGAGCTTGACAGCTTTGGCCTTCTTCTTCGGTTTCTTCACAGACTTCGTTTCTGGCTTCTTCACATCTGTCTCCTCTCCTTTCATACTCTCGTCTTGATCGTCTCCGATAATTTTTGCCGCCTTGCGCTTCTTTGAGACTGCACCAACCTCAGCAATCTTATCTTTAGATTGAAATTTGGCATCACTGTCTTTCTTCTTTCCTGCCTCGTCTGCAGCCGGCTCCCCTCCCTCTTTGTCGTCTTTGCCTGATACAAGCGCATCGTATTCCTCTTTACTCAGCGACTGATTCGTCTCTTCCATGACATACGTAGGCGCATCGTCCTCGTCGTCATCTTTCTTCATCCTCTTATTCCGGGCGATTGGGTGTTCATGACGGGCCGTGTCTCCACTGGTGAGTTGTCCACGCAGCCGCTGTAAGAAGGCTGGCTGTGAGCTGTCTGTGGCGGGTCAGCGAATGATACGACTGCGCTATGTTAAAGCTTACCGAAATGAAGGTCTTTTGCTTTGAAGCTCATGGTGGTTGTAGTGCAAGGGATGTGCTGACACGGCATGCACGTAAGGGTCTAGATTAGTCGTTTGGCTGAACGTCGTGTCGATCGCTTAGCGGCGGGTTTCCGTGCGGCTCCTTCGCCGCGTTAGCTGCGGATATTTTACGATGCACTTGCAGTCTACTCTTGGTTCCAGATAAGATTCACTCCGTCAAGATGTCTAGTTGGCTACCTAGATATGGTGGGTGAAAGCCCATCCCGAAACGTATTGGTCCGCTGCACTTGCTATCGGCGTACGTGCTAAAGTGCTTGGCGCGTTCCGCCGACAGGGAACATGTCAACTAGCAGATCTCGAAACGCATACGCAATCATCGGCCGCTAATAATTGACATTCAACGACCCTGTTCTCTCCTTTCACTCCCTCAGGGTTACAAGCTTGAGCCCGTCGCGCCAATCGCCAACCGATCTCAATATTTGTACACCCACCTGGAGTCACGACCCACACGCTCGTTATCGACCAAGCTCCTTGGGTTGAACACGTCGCCCTTTCCTCATCCACAACCGTCGCATTCATTCGACGCCCTCTAGACCTCTCGAATTCGCTTCGCACCGCTTGCGACTGGGCCAAAGAGCAATAGGGCTGCCATTGGCAGAGAAACGCATATCAGACACGGGCACAACCATGGGCTTCCTGCAAGATATGACGAGGAGGCTACCGACCTCAAAGGACAGCCTAGACAAGCTGGACGACCTACCGCGCCGCGCCGAAAAGAACTCCCCACGGTTGTCCTTCTTTCGACGCAGGATACGGCTGAAGGGCAGTTCGTCCGTGTCGATACCTCTGGGCCTGGTGCTGCTGTTCCCATGTCTCGTTATAATAATAATCATAATTCTGTTCGTAAAGTCTCCAGACTCGCAGGGCATTATGAACATGCCCGCCGGAGGTCCTCCTTCGATAAGGTACGTGAAACTCTATCACCACAGTATCCGAGCAACATCTAACAATGCGCAGACGGATAAGCGAGAAATACGATAAGCCATTCGCTGTAGGCTGCCTCGAGCCGCAGGTCAATGGGCCCCGAGCAAACGCCGCATTCGTGGTCCTGGCGAGAAATAAGGAACTGGATGGTGTTATACAGTCGGTCAAGTCGATTGAGAGACATTTCAATCGGTGGTTCCACTACCCCTACGTCTTTCTCAACGACGGAGACTTCAACGAGACGTTCAGAGAGACGGTCTTGGCTCATGTCAGTGCTCCAGTGGAGTGGGGTAAGATTCCTCCCGAGCAATGGGGCTTCCCCGACTGGGTAGATCCCGACGTTGCGAAGGAAGGAATCGCCAAGCAGGGTGACAGGGCCATCATGTACGGCGGTATGGAGAGCTACCATCACATGTGCAGGTTCTACTCGGGGTATGTGACCTAGCATGCCAGATGCTGATTGCCACTAACAAGGACAGTAAATTTTACCAACATGAACTACTCGCCAAATACGAGTGGTACTGGCGCCTCGAGCCTGAGATCAAATATTTCTGCGACATCACGTACGATCCGTTTATCCACATGATTCGGAACAAGAAGACATACGGTTTCACCATCGCGGTGAAGGAGCTACGAGAAACAGTCCCCAACATCTGGCGATATGCCTCGGCCTACAAGCGTAACAACAACCTGACCTCAAAGGGCATGTGGGAGATGTTTGTGGAGAAACCGAAAGAGGAGGACGAGAAGGCGCCCAAGACGGAGCCCAAGTCGAAGAAGAACTTCTTTCCCCAGGATATAATGGATTCCGAGTTTGGCACAGAGGCCATGCCTGAGATCCACCCCGAGAACATGGAGGGCGAATCATACAACATGTGCCATTTCTGGAGCAATTTTGAAATCGCCAATCTGAACTGGTTCCGCAGCAAAGAGTACAATGACTTTTTCGAGTTGATGGATCGCAGTGGCGGCTTCTGGATGGAGAGATGGGGAGATGCGCCTATCCACTCGCTAGCTGTTGGTGCACTACTTGGCCCCGAGGATATCCACTACTTCCGCGACTTTGGATACCGGCATACGACCATCCAACATTGTCCCGCCAACGCACCTGCGCGACAACTTGCTCGAGAGCCATATCTCGAGAAGACGACACTCGATGAGAAGGAGCGACTGGAAGAAGACAAGTATTGGGCGTCATATGACCCAGTCAAAGAAAACGGTGTCGGCTGTCGCTGCAAATGCGACCAGGATATTGTCGACGTAGAGGGCAAAGAAGGGTCCTGCCTCACGGAATGGGTAGAAGTGGCTGGTGGCTGGGCATCACCTGGGCCTGATGGACCATGATCTCCTCTTCTCGCGTGATATTCTATCAGCTTCAGGCTAGCATTTTGCGGGAACATTAGTATCTACTCCTCTTTCCAGTAAGGCGTCAGGTGTTGGCATTGCATATGGGCTGGGCCGCCCTTCAATAGAGCATCAGGACTACGCGGGCGTCGTTGCAGGCTTACTTATTTTCTGCGCATTGGCGACACAGTGTATGAAAACGAATACGAACAAGTTGAGAACAGCTTTGCTCTTGAATGATCTCGTCGTTATTTGGTTATTTGATTGCTTGCTTTAGATGACAGCCCTACCCTATTCAAGGGGAAAGTTGAACGTCAACGTCTTCAAAGAATAATAGAAGTAAATGGACCAGGAATATGCATTGCCTCAGCGTCTTACTCAGCCTTGTTGTTGTGCTGATGTAGACTGCAGCTCGCTTGTTCAGTTTCATTGAATGAGGTGGTCCGCTTTGGACATCTGAACCATGTTCCGTATCTTATCGCTTACTACGAGACTATGCGGGGTTCCCCCATTCGCATCCCACCTAAGCTCGACCGTCCATCAGCACCTTGTCGTCACCACAACTCGCAGCTGTTTGAACAGTCACTCATCTCTCGCATTCACTGACAACATCTCGGTAGTCCTACACTTCACTTATCAGGCTATCAGTGTGCAATCTGGTATGTGCTGTCACCTGCTCCCGTTGGTCCCCACTTCCTCCCGAAGGCCCCCATACGCGCCTCGCCCGCAGCTAGTTAGGCAGCGTCCACCTGGTGCCCACCACAACCTCACCTTGACCGTTCCCCTCTCTCTCCTTCCACCACACTCGGATCGCTTTGAACTTCTGATCGCAGTGGATTTCGCATGAAAACAGGCTGACATGTCTTCCAGCGAGCCTAACTCCTCTCAGGATCTCAAGTTCCCCCCTGTGCAGGTGGCCCACTCGCTCACTAAGCTTGATCTTGAAACGCTCATGATGAGGTCGACTCAACGCCGAGCCCCAGAAGAGGCGGGCAGCTCTCTCGAGGACAGCAGTTATGACCTGCTCGGCGACGGCGTCATGGACATGTCCGACGACGAAGCCCATACCGAGTCGATCGCGTCGACCGACGGTCCCACGCCCGATGACACGTCTGACGATTTCAGTGATGACGACGTCGAATACGAAGCCGGCGAGCACCACTTACAAGATAGCACATACTCTTCGCACGGCGAAACCCAAGAGCAGCAAACCCACGTACACCCTATACTATCTGGCGAAGACTCCTCTCTGACAGAGGTTCCGCCATACCTGAGTGGGAGCATGAGCTCAAGGCATTTCGTACTTCAAGAGCAGAACACGGGCAGGTCTGATGTAAGCCACGGAAGCAGTGTCATCAAGAGCTCGGCAGGTTATACGGACGAGCTACCACCGGTATTCGACCGTTATAGCTGCAAAGAGATCAGATTGTCAGTCAAGGCAGCCTTGTCCAAAGACCCTCTCGCCACCCCAGACGCATACCGAATACTATACATTGGTAGTGGAAAGTGGGCAGAGGGCACCATCACCTCTAAGATCTGCGCAGCACTCGCTGCCTACCCTAGCACCTCGAAGTCGGTCATGGTCCGCGGTCACATCGAGCCCTATGCCCCCGTCCCGCAGGCTGATCGTTGTGCTAAAATGGAGGTTCATAAGTCACGCGAGAAGAGGCACGTTCTCGCCATCATGGAAGATGGACGACAGCTCATGTTCGGCTCCGGCCTCTCCGCTCACTCTTCAGATCGACCAGACCTTGTGGTCCTTTGTCACCCAAGCGTTCTTGACAACACTGCTGACAAGCAAGATCTTGCATCTGCCAAGGAAGTATTCGAACGCGAGACAATCCCATGCATCGAACTTGCTGAGACCAATCCATTCGGAGCTGGATCTTCCGTTGATGAGAACACCATGTCATTACGGGTATGCGTAGAAGGGCGGGACAACCCGAACACTGATTACGAGTTGAAGGAAGTACTGCCCCTCGATATCCACCAGTTCGACCAGCTGGAGCCATCGCAGCTTAACCGCCATCTCGCACTCATCAGTCCTCATTTAGCAAAAGCACAGGGCACGAAGACTGCTCCGACAGCCCGCACATCGTGGTTCAGTGACAAGACCAAGACGTCTACGAAGAAGATCGGATCACCATGGCCAACTGCAAGGTTGCTAGCATCTGCTTTCGTCCTCTTCGCCCTCATCCCCGCGCTTCTCATGGGTGCGGCTTATACCCCTATGCTGTACCAAAAAGTGTCACAAGGGCGGTCAGTGTCACCAGCCGTTTCAGAGATTCAAAGCAATACTACAACGATCACACCCGTAGCGTCAGTGTCTCCAAGTGCGGCTCGCTACCCACACTTATGTCGCACGAGCCTTATAGACGAAGTTCGAGGCCTCACTGTTATACCATCCCAGCCAAAGCAGGCTACCCAGAAGCCAAAGGCGAAGAACAGTCAGGCTGGAGGTTTCGAAATTTATACCACCGGAGACCATCAGTTTGTACTACGTCCTTCTAAATCCTTCAATTCGAACCGGAAGAAGCCCCAACTTCAGATTCAAGTTTCTCACCACTCGCAAGAGGTTCCAGCACGTTACAACCGGACCATCACTGGCGAGTATATTGTCGACCTGGAGCAGCAGTATCGATTCGAGAAGTTCAATGTCAGCATTGCAACACATTCGAAGCCTCTCCTGCGGCAATCCTTCGAAGTAATGCTAGGACACAACAAGTCGACGCTAGATCAACTTCTCGGCACTGCCAAGTCCAACATATTGGATACACAAATGACCCTTCGCAACTTATCTGCTGCAGCTGCACAGCACTTGCAAGAATACATGACCGGCTTGGATCTCTACGCTTCCAAGCAACTTCAGGAGACTAAGCATCAACTAGAGATGAAGGCTCATCGGGCAAGACAGATACCGGATGCTACGTGGATGGGGTTGCGAAAGGTGACCGCACCAGTGCGGACATCGTCAGCGATGCAAAGGGCCAGAATGAATGCTCTTCGCGTCAGGTGCAAGATGGAGACGGCGGCAGGACTGTCTGCAAAGGAAGGCGGTGAGGGGCAGAGCTGGGCATGTGCAAAGGTAGGAGGAGCGGTCTAAGGCACGTAGGGAGGCAGCACGCAGTGGAGGATCTCATGTGACTTTCTGCACTGTCTTGTTTTGAATTATGCGGCGTATATGGGCAGGAGGGCAGACACAAGGGTGCAGTGATATACCCCCGGGGACCTGGTGTGGATGGTAGGACAACTTGGGAGTTATAGGATTTGTCAAATTCATCTCATACCACAATTCATATACAGTAGCTCGTAGATGCACACCTCGCCTTGGCTGTGTACTGTCGTGGTTACACATTGACTCATCAGGTAGGGCGAACTGGTTAAGTGCATGCTGCGTCAGGTGTGAGGGCGCGTTGGGCGCACGTCCCTGAGCCTACCCAACCGGGTAAAGCGCGTTCTGGAGGGGCATCCCACTTCCCAATTTACAGGCAGTTGTTGACACAAGAACCCACAAACACACGACATCCCCCCCACAAACGCGGCTTTCTTCTTATCACACACCGACTCGAATAATCCCCATTCATAGAAGAAGATGTCTGAAGCAGCCAAGCCCGACCCCGCCGCCGAGCAGATCGCCAACCCTGCGGCGACTCTTGTCCAGGACGAGACCGCAAAGGTCACCACCGACAAGGCATCTGACAAGCCCGAGACCACCACAGAGAGCAAGGATGACAAGCCCATCACAGAGAAGGCGACAGAGGCAGCGGCCGCAGTGAAGGACAACGTCTTCTCCATGTTCGGTGGCGGCCCCGCAAAGGTCAAGAAGGAGGAGGCCGACGATGTCGATGAGCCATCAGGTGCTTCCAAGCCCAAGGGCGAGGTGCGTATAGGCTCGAAAGATTTCTAGGACGTGCTGACATGGCGACAGGACGAGGACCCCGAGAACGAAGAGCCCGATGTTGACTTCCAGCCCGTCGTCCACCTCACCGAGAAGGTCGACACCAAGACTAACGAGGAACTCGAGGAGCAAGTCTTCAAGATGCGCGCCAAGCTGTTCAAGTTCGACAGGGAATCGCGGGAGTGGAAGGAGCGCGGCACTGGTGACGTCCGGTTACTGAAGCACAAAGAGAATGGCAAAACCCGTCTTGTCATGCGCCGTGACAAGACCCTCAAGGTTTGCGCCAACCACTACGGTATGATACATGGAACACGAACATGGAAGCGAATACTGAGAAGTGCATAGTTGTCCCCGACATGAAGCTGTCGCCCAACGTCGGCAGCGACCGCAGCTGGGTCTGGAACGCCGCGGCCGATGTCAGCGAGGGCGAGCCCGAGGCTCAGACCCTGGCCATCCGTTTCGCCAACAGCGAGAGTGAGTCCAAGAAGATCCATGAAACCGCGCAGCGGAGCACTAACTATATCTGTCAGATGCCAACCAGTTCAAGGAGGCCTTCATCAAGGCCCAGCAAGAGAACGAGGCGCTTTTCGGCAAGTCGGAGCAGTAAATACTGCCGGATAATTACAGCTTGGAGGATAGGATGAGATACGAAAAGATGGTTTGCACGAACAGTGAATGAGGATTTGGGACGGCATGATATGATGGTGGTAGAAGAGATTACCCACACCCTGCACATAACTAGATAGTAACTAAATGGCCCGACTACTGTAGTCAACGGCGTCCCCCCATGCAAGTACTTGATGGCACGAAACGAGTCGACTTGGTGGTGGTGACTTTACTTTCCAGGATCGCGAAATTGACCCTGCATGACCTGCAGCCTCACCTGCGATGCAAACATGTGCCGATGCCGTATCACGTCTCTCACCTGGCAGAAGGCTAGTCCCCTGTCAGGCAGGCTTCCGTGCTCGTGCAGCCCGCGGGCTTTTCTTACAGCTTGATGGTTTGCGCCAAGCCAAAGCAACTAGTCTCCGTCTCCGCCGCCCCGCGACCATCTCTCAGTTAACTCGCCAAATCAGAGCTCGCGACCCGAGACCAGCCACCGCGCACCTCCAGTCATTCGCCTTTACCAGACGCGCCCCGGCTTTGTCGCAAAAGCCAGACACGCCAGATCGCGCCCGACTTGAACCGCCTCTACTTCCCTCACGCACATATTCTTCAGGCAGGCCGAAACCAAATACGCTCGCAGCAGCCCGTCTACGCAGTCCTCGCGGCGCAAATCAGACAAGATGCCTGACGTAAGTTGCGGCCTGGAGAAGCACTCGAAGCTATCGCGCAAATATTAACAATCGCGCAGGTCAAGCGATGGGTCAAGCTCATCACCCACCAGAAGCCCATGTACGTACTATCCGCGCGCAATCGCATGCGCTTGCCCATCTCACGCGTCTACACGTCGCCAGTCGCTAATACGCATTCACAGCGCGGAGCCTTCGCCCGTTGAGGGATACCCCATGCGATCATGGAGCATAGAGGTTTGGCTGCTGGATGACCAGGGCAACGAGGTCATGCCCAGCGTCTTCGAGAAGGCCGTCTACAACCTGCATCCGTCATTCGAGAAGAACAAGCACAGTAAGTGCGCCGGACAATGCGCTCAGCAGCATGCCATCTGCAAGAAGCCTCACTAACATGCCAACAGTCATCAAGAAGCCGCCGTTCCGCATCGATGAGAAAGGTTGGGGTGAGTTCGACATGACCATCGTCTTGTCCGCTATTGGCAAGGGCGGCGACCACACCCTCGAGCATGACCTCAACTTCCAGGCGGAGCGTTATGAGGCCAAGCACCAAGTCGTAAGTACCACATACGCGCGCTTTTAACCAGCCAGAACATTGCTAACCCGCCATTGCAGACTTTCCGCAACCCCAAGCCTGAGCTCCTCGCTCTCCTCGCAGAGTCTGGCCCCGCCGAGGCCAACGGCATGCGCAACAAGGACGCCGCCAAGAAGAAGGGCCGGAGGGACAAGAACGTAGACATGGAGAAGCTGGCCGATGGACTGCAGAAGCTAGGCGAGGATGACCTACTGCACGTGGTCACCCTGGTCCACGATAACAAGACCAGTGAGACGTACACTAAGAACGACGTCGAGAGTAGGTTTTGGTCATGTCACAATGCAGGAAACATGCTAACAAGTGATAGATGGCGAGTTCCACGTCGACCTCTACACCCTCCCCGATTCCCTCGTCAAGATGCTCTGGGACTTCACGGCCTCGAAAGTCGAATTATAGGTTGTTTCCGCGATCAGAGGTTCTATCTAGTGTCGATTCGACCCTGACCGACCAACACACGACATCTCGTTTGCACGTCCACGATCCTTCCCAGCATCTCCATGCTAGAGGAATGTAGCAGCATCACGCTTGCTTGCTTCACCTCGTAGCGGAGGATCGTGCGGTCCATGTGTCGAGTTCCCCCGGCCTATTCTCTGTGCCTGGACAACGTCGAACGATATATCCCCATGTTTCTGTTCCTGTTTTCTCGTCTTCATGAGCCTCGGAGTTTTATAAAGCGCAAAAGCTGGGTGGCTATGCATACATGGCAACTTCTTTTGATATTGATTGGCGCTGGGAGGTTTACAGGCTTATTATAGGTGGATATGCATGGGCGAGAAATGAGATTACTTAATTCTTGGGGTCTTCTTTTTTCGTGCAAACTTTCGAGTCGATGGTTGCATGAACATGATAGACCTGATTCCAACGCTTAGAGGGAATACGAGCAAGAGTTACTGACCACCTTCCACACAAACCATAACATCTGGATAGCATTTCGTTGCTGGGTCGGACAAGAAGTGCTACATATTTACGTGTCGCAGCGCCCGATGCACCAGACATATATTGAAAGATTCGATGTTTCGATTCCATTGGCGGAGCGTCTTGGATTTTTGGAAAAGCCATAGAAGGTATGGTGAAAGAAAGAAGGACTGGGAAAAGGCCTAGCGTGATTTTGGATCCCTCGAAAGAGAAGAGGCTAGAAAGCTTGACGGCAGCATCGTACAGAATACACACAGAGACCATGGCCCACCTCCTTCTGCTTTTTGACGAGTTGGTTTTGGTGATCATGCGTTTCGATGTATTGAACTCTAAATCCATGCCTAGGTTTGTGCCGATTTTAGAGCTTCATGTAAACAGAGACTTATGTTTTTTGAAGAAATGCCCGTGTCATGAAAAGGCCGGAGAAGCAGACATCGCAGCCTCTCGAATATGTTTTAGTTGAGCAAAGAAAGCCCAAGAAGCAGACATCAAAACGTCTCGGAGTCGGTTGTTCTTAGACGGGATTAGGGGCGGCAGGAAATCGCCATCGATTATGAGGCTGTATTTTTTGACTGCGCAGTTATGCATTCCTTATGTCGAAGTCTGAAAAGGCCGACGGAAAGAGCGACAAGTGCGTATGAATACCAGCTTTCGACTTGAGAAAAGCATAGTGGATTTTGAAGTGGCTTTAAAGATCGGAAGAGCGGAAAGACATCAGAGATCTTGTGCATCTTTTGGGACAGCCAGGACTGATCCTGGTAGGCATCGCTGGAGTTTTCGGCGACATTACAGAAAGGTCTTAGTATTTTTAGGAAGAAGAGCCAGAAATGTTGGTGTATGAGAGAGAAGCCTGAGCAGAGGAGGAGCTGTATCTTTTGTTTTCGACAGCCAGCACCAACCATAGCCAAGAGTTTTGAGATCTTCTGAACTAGACGACATGATCGAACATGTCGCATCTTTTTTAGAAGAAAAAAAGGGGGAAAAGATAGCATAAGAGAGGGGACTGAGCAGAGAGAAAGCTGGTATTTGTACCTCTCTAGCGCTAGCAAAAACAATAGACGTGAGATGAGATGACCCGTGGAAGTATCCTTTGCATGCGGTACACAAAGATGAGGATGGGGTATGCGTACCTGCAATGAGTTTCTCGAGCACCGATATTAATGTAGTCTTCATTCTCCTAGAAGTAGTTATACATCATCTTGCAATTACATCCTCACTCTTTATCAACAATCCTCCACATCCACTCAACTCCGTCGCCTCCGCCCACCCCTCCTGTCCCTCCTTTCATCGTTCTCCGCAGTGGTAAGCAAGGATTCAAGCCCGCTTTAATCGTTACTAGTACTCCCACCGCCACCGAGCCAAGACGCCACCGTAGCCGCAAGTTCATCTCTTTTCTGTTTCCTCTCTTGTATTACTGACTGCCGTTGGGTCGCTGCTCTGAATCCCGGCTGCCGCTGCATCACTGTCCTGATTCCCTCGGACCGTTTACCTTTCGGTAACGCAGGCACAGTCTTCTTCCGCACCATCCAGCTCCGAGACGGGTAGCGCACAATGTGTACAGGCGGGCTGACGCGTCGAATGCGCCTGCGGCGCCGAGTTTGCTGGGTGCGTTGCCGTCTGTATTGTCGTTTGCGTTGCCGGATGGTGATCATTATAGTGCGTGCTTCCTCCGTCAGACGGAGGATCTCTTGAACGGCGTAACCTAGCGTTTGGTTGAAGGCTTGGGCTGTTGCCAGCTTTGAGACGGGCATTCTGCGGATGTGTGGTTTGGTGTGTTGAATAGCAGCCATGATAGCTCTCGCCTCTTCAGTCAGACGGGAGACTTCAGAGACGGCAGGCTGCAGTCTCTTGTTGATCTCGGCTGCTGTAGACATTCCATAGGAGGCAAACTTGCGGATTGGCGCACCCGTCGCTGTTGGCAACACCGCGTTCGTCATGACCTTTCTCCTAGCACGCTTTTCTTCCTGTGCCGCTTTTTCAGCCTTCTGCGCCCTCTTCTTCTCCCTCTTCTCCGCGTTCCTCTCTAGCCTCTCGGTCTTTGACTTCTCTCTCTCCTTAGCGGGAACCCTTCTCACAAGTTTGCGATTGACGCCGTCCAAAATGGAATCAGCCTCTTCCATCAGATCCGTTGCATCGACCATAAGCGTCCTGAACCTCACAGCCATCAATAGACAGTGGCGCTGTCGAATTTCTGACATGACAGCTGTATGCTTCGTCTTGTGTTGATCGAAGAACTTCTCGAATCTGCGCAATATTGCGTTCGCTGTCCGAACACGGAGCCGACCGGAAGTAGATTGGCCTTCTATTTTGAGTTTGCGGACCAATTCAGCTACTGTCAGTCTTGGAGGGGGTCGCGATGGCTCTTTGAGGGCCACTGCGTTAGAGAGTTCGGGTACAGCGACTGGGACCTCGGGGGTCGGCACTTGCGCACGGATGGATGGCACATATTTCGGTGTATTTGGCTCATGAATTGACTACATGGGCTATCAGAGTACATTCATGGGAAGGTCGAGTCCACATCAGGCTCACCTACGTCCTCGTCCTCGTTCTTGTCATCAGGCGTAGCTCCATCTTTACGTATCGTCCGGAAACGAGAAAAGGGAACATCGACCGTAGTAGTGACGCTGTGGAGCCTGCCTTCATCTACCCGAGCGTGCTGTGTAAGCGTCATCGCTCCTTCACTCAGCGCACCAAAGCCACGAAAGCTCAATATTTTGTCCCCTTTAATCTCACTGTGTTGCGACAACTCCCCAGGGATCGAGTCCACCGTGCTAGGAATTGTGCCCACCTCCCAGCCCCAATTGATCTTTTTCCCAAATGCAGCCGATCTGATCGTCCCTCTGTGACCGGACTTTTGAGCCAACTGTTCAAGATCTGATTTCGGAGAGATGAAGAACTGTATCGAGTCACCGTCTCGCACCACTGGCGTAAGAGTTGACTCGAAGTCTTGGGGATCACTGATCATGCTGAAGAAATCGTCATCCTTTGACGGGTCCGCAGCTGGAATGGCCGGTGCAGGATCCAACGATAATAAGCCAGCTTTCTTTCCCCATCCGCCTCCACCACTCAAGACTCGATGGAGACGTGCTCCCTCAGTGAGTGCTTGCGACACCAGCGTATTATAGAGAGGAGGATCACTGCGCCATAGACGCTCCCATGCATTTGCGTGCTCGGAGACCGGACTTTGATTGTCTGTTGGCAAGCTAGAGAGGATCTCATCTGTTCGAGCGGCGATAACGGCCCTCAGCTCATCGGGTATCACTAGTGCCCAAGCTGCAGTCGCTTGCGCAGGCTGTCCTCGCGATTTGAAGAATCTGGGAACAACATTCTCAAGTTCCGACGATGCCTGTAGAGATTTACCGTCAGGCCCGATAACCCTGCGGATGATGTTGCCCATGCAGCCGTTGACTATGCGGGGCATTGTCAGTGGAATTAATGGAACGTGGAGAGCGGCAGCAGAGTCCTTCTGTTGCTTGACTAAGCGGATTCCATGATGAGAAATGCTGGTCTTGGACACAGGAGTTATTTGACGATTTGCATCTAGGGTCCAAGTCGACAGGATCATGGTGGATGGCGTACCTGTCTGGAAGACAGTATTCGCAAGAGGCAATCGCAATGTGTCACGATAGACGGTGTCCTCGACGTTGTGTTCGGCAAATATGAAATCGATAGCACTCTTGTCCGATGGCGATAGTTCTTGAGACGGTACGGAAGTATCGGACGGAAGAATCGCGTAGGATATTCCTTCAAACCCGGCTCCAGCAAGAGGCGGCTGAGTAGGGTTCTTCTCCCCTATCCTGCTGACGGGAAGTTTGTCTACGACAGCACACAGTGCATGTATTTGGAGATCCGGTATGTCGGCCGCATTTTCGTAAGCCTGCAGAAGAGCGTTGCGGAGGAAAGCGTCATCGTCCAGTAAATAGTGCGCATACGAAGGCGTGACAAAGAAGACACAGAAGGTCCTTTGACGGGCAACGTCCAGTGGTGGAGGAGTGATATGCTTAACAAGATCGTGTGGCTGTAGACATCATTAGAATGCGGCAGCGGTCTGCACCGTTTTCCTTACATGGGATCCCACAGACGGTGGTACAATTATGCCCCAGTGACGACGAATGGGTGCGTGGTATGCTTTGAATTGATCGAAGTTTGCGCGTCTATCCGGTATGATTGAGGGACAGCGCAGAGGACGAGCGGCGGCAGCGGCGCGCCTCAAGACTGGCCATTGTCGCGCAACCAGTAGAGGCATTTGTCGAAGCTCAATTGACCATAGTGAAGCATGGACGTGGTGTTGAAGATGCAGGTGCAGGTGGTCATGACGCACCATGCGCAGCTAGCAGATCGCACTACCCAAGATGCCTGCAGGCCCTGGAGACGAGATGCGTACGTAAGCAGAGCCGCATCTCGCGACAACGGGCGTGATAGCATAGCAAGTACTCCTGTCACCTGCCAGCCCGAGCATTGAGCCTGTCAACCGACGCGTCTATACTCCCTGCAAGCCCACCGGACGCTTGCCATCCACTCGGGCGCCTGCACACGCCCTTGACACTTTTTGGTGCGCCGGCCAGGCCACGTCTCGCACACACCTCCTTGCGCCGACCCACGCCCGCACCATCACCACCGTCTGCCTCTACTTCTGATGCGCCCTTCATAGACCCCTCCCATTTGGCAGCCGCGGTTCGCCTTCCTTCCTAATCGTCCACCCACCATGTCACGCTCCTTCCGACGCTCGAATCCGATTACCATAATCCTCGCGGGCATCCTCTGCATCGGCTTCTTCGTCTTCTTCTTCTCTGGTACCGATGTGCCATCCATCACCAGAAAAGGAGGAGGAGAGGTAGCCTCGAACCCCCTATCGCCACCCTCGCTACCGTTCCGCAAGTCCAAAGCGAATGCTCCACAGGCCGCGCCGCCCGTCGTACATTACTATATGAACAACGTGACCAACACGCGCACGCCAATCGAAAACGAGGAGACGGTCCTTATCCTCACCCCATTGGCCAAGTTCTACCAAGAATACTGGGACAACCTGCTCAAGCTCAACTACCCACACAACCTCATCTCCCTGGGCTTCATAATACCAAAGACAAAGGAGGGCAATGCCGCATACGCAGCGCTACAGGCGCAAGTCACCAAGACACAAACTGGATCCAAGAAGAATCGCTTCTCCTCCATTACCATCCTCCGCCAGGACACCGAGTCCCCACTCCAGTCGCAAACCGAAGCCGAGCGTCACAAGATGGAAAACCAGAAGGCACGACGTGCAGCCATGGCCAAGGCGCGCAATTCGCTCTTGTTCACAACGCTAGGCCCCACAACCTCGTGGGTCCTGTGGATGGACGCGGATATCGTCGAGACACCACCCACTCTGATCCAGGATCTGGCCGACTACGACGTGCCCATCATCGTGCCCAACTGCTTCCAAAGATACTACAATGAAGAGAAGAAGACAATGGACATCCGGGAATACGACTTTAACAACTGGATCGACAGCCCCACAGCCAAGGACCTTGCTGCTAAGATGGGCAAGGACGACATTCTGCTCGAAGGGTACGCCGAGATGGCTACATACCGTAGCCTCATGGCTAAGATGCACGACACATCGGCGGACCCCAAAGCAAAGATTAAGCTCGACGGAGTCGGCGGCGCTACTTTGCTCGTCAAGGCGGAGGTACACCGAGACGGTGCCATGTTCCCACCATTTGCCTTTTACAACCTCATTGAGACGGAAGGCTTTGCCAAGATGGCGAACCGACTGAACTGGGAAAGTTTTGGACTGCCAAACTACCTTGTAAGTTGTTTCTGTCCTGCCACACAGACATTGTTTGCTAACATTGGTCATAGGTGTACCACTACAACGAGTAAGAAGACCCGAGGCGATGTACAATCTATTTGCAGACTGCTTCCTTTGGCGGTCTTGGGCGGCGTTTGAGAGGGAGTTTCCGACTGCCATACTGTTGATATCACGAGCATTGCATGTACGAAAATAGTCATGTATTAGGGGTATAGAAGGCTTGCTGGCAAGAGATATACCAGCATTATCTTTGAATTGGATTACGAAAGTTTCTACTGCAACATTTTGAATTATTGATCGATCAGCATTGCGGCATGAATTAGTCTCCCATGTGTCCAAGATGTTTCCAAGCGTTTAGTCTCAACTATGTGGGCTGCGGAGCACGCTTCGTTCCAATAGGCCAGTGGCAGATGCGGGTCTTGCGTGACGACCAGGTGCAATCACGCTACGCCCATCTTTAGATCTAACATGCCTAATCAAGAGACTCTACAAGCATACGCACATATTGAGGCAGCATGCATCGACGGACACATGCGACACTGACCCCCGCGGGGAACGGATCGTCGCGTGCCAAAGCTCCGGTACCTCGCCCGATCCACCTCGGTGCGGGATGACGCTTCCTCGACCTTACAGTGCCCATTTCCACGACTGAACCTGTACGGGATCACAGCAACATTTCACACAGCATCCAGCGACCGACCTCGTAAACCCACAGATCGAGAAAGAGAAAGAAACTATGGCCGACATCGCCGGCCCGCGTAAACGCACCTCCGAACGCGACGCCCTCCCACCACGAACCCACAGCGGCGCCTCTGAAACCTCGCCCATAGTAACGAGTTCGCAATCCCACACCAAAGACTACAACTCCATATCACCCGATATCCGTGCACGCGACCATTTCACCTCCGCCAGCACCAGCCACACCAAACCCGCGAACCCAACCCAAGACCCCAACGGCGCGTCCTCCATACCGCAAGGCCCCTCCGCCACAGATTCCGGCGCGCCACAAGAAGGCACAGCAGGGACGTTGCAACCGGCTGTCGACCAAAGACGACTAAACGGCCATGCGAGCGTAGACCACCGCGCGAGGAGTGCAGAGCGAGAAGCGGCAGCGGTGGAACAACGCGAGAAAGGGTGGTGGGGCGCGTTTTGGGAAAAGTACGGGAGTGTCGAGTTGGATAACAAGGGGAGTGTTGCTAGGGACCATTTGGCGCTGGGTAAGACTATCTTCTTGTCTCTACCTGTGAATGGAAACCCCGGAAGATGGCAATACTAACATGATTGATAGAACGAACGTTCCTCGCCTGGCTCCGCACATCCCTCTCCTTTGCCTCGATCGGCATAGCGATAACGCAACTCTTCCGGCTGAACACTTCGATAGCGAATTCCCCGGATTCATCTTCTACTACCTCTCCGCAGGCGAAACTGCGGCATTTGGGGAAACCGCTTGGCGCGACGTTCATTGGTATCGCGATTCTCATGCTCTTGATAGGGTTTCATCGGTACTTTGAGGCGCAGCATTACGTTATACGGGGCAAGTTCCCTGCGTCGAGAGGCAGCATCATCATCGTTAGCGCCATAGCAGGCGCGTTGATAGCCAGTTCACTCATCATCATAGTGGTTACGGCGCCAGGGGCATTTGAGACTTGAAGAGAAGACTTAGTTTACTTTGCTAAGCTTGGGTATCTTTGATTCATTTCCATCGTACGTGATTCTTTTATCTTTTCGTGGAGGTCAACGGCTGCGTTGCCCCTGCCATATGCTCGCTATCGCTCAGAAGCCTTGTTTCCCCAACATGTAGTCCATAGTCTACGTTCTAGGCGCCTCCCATCTCCGCCGTTGTCTTGCCCGCTCGCGACGACTTGATGACACCCTGAATCAGGTCTTCGACAGCGTCCCAGTCCGATGTGTCGATGGGAACTAGGTCCGTCTTGAAGTAGCTCGCGATGTAGTTAAGTTGTGTCCAGCTGTTCTTGTCATGTACGAAAGTAAGGGCGACACCGACACGTCCAAAACGACCGGTACGACCAATACGGTGGAGGTATGTCTCGGGGTCTGCGTCCACTCCGTTTGCCATGGTTGGAACGTCCTGGTAGAACAATTAGTATCCCTTAGAGATATTCTTTTGAATTGTAACTTACGTAGTTGATAACCATAGTGACTGACTGCACGTCGATACCACGGGCGAGAACGTTGGTGGTGATGAGGACCTTGGCCTCTCCGGAGCGGAATTGGTCGATAATGCGATCACGCTCAGGGCCTTCAAGAGCACCGCTGAGTTGCGCAACCTTGTGGCCTTCGGCAACCATGCGCTTCTCGAGCTCCTCAGCAGTCCTTCGGGTCCTGACGAAGATGATGGACGAAGCTTGTGTCATCAGACCGTAGAACTTAAGCAATGTCGCGTACTTGTCGTTGTCCTTGTCGATATCAATGTACAGCTGCTTGATACCCTCAATGGTCAACTCCTCGTGCGCTAGAGTAATCGTGTTGGCGTTGGGTGCGAAGCGCTTGGCGTATGCGATGACGTTGGGTGGGAAGGTAGCGGAGAAGAGGACTGTCTGGATGTCCTTATTCAGAAGTGACTTGACGCGAGTGCATTGCTCGCCCATGCCCTGCTGATCCAACATGTTGTCGGCCTCGTCCAAAACCAGAATCTTGATGTTCTTCGCGTTAATGAGACGCCGCCTCAGCATGTCCTGAACAGTTCCCGGTGTACCGACAAGAACCTGGGCATTAAACTGCTGTCCCCTTCGTGATGGATCGGGAATGGCAGCCATGGTCTTGAGGCCGTCCATGAACTGACCCATGTGTGTAATGACACCAAGAATCTGACGGGCGAGCTCTCGGCTAGGCGCGAGTGCCAGCGCTTGCGGCTCGGGGTTCGATAGGTCGAGGCGAGAAAGGATGTTGAGCGAGAAGGCAGCAGTCTTACCAGTTCCGGATTGTGACTGCGCGATCATGTTGGTGGGCGGGTCCATCAGAAGCAGAGGCAAGGCCTTCTCTTGAACCTTGGATGGCTTGGTGAAGTTCATGTTGCGAATACCCTTGAGGAGTTCCTCGGAGCTGTCATTGTTAGCTGGTCCGGTGTATGAGCGCAGTCCACTTACAGGTTAAGCTGCTCGAACGACTTGGCGGAGTATAGCGGGTTGTTGGGGTCTGCCTGCAGGTCGGCAAGCTTGACCTCGACTTGGAACTCAGGCTCAGCCAGAGCAGAGCCATTTCCTGGTGGACCACTGCCATCGGTCTGAGCCTGTTCGAGCGAAGACGCCTGGGCTTCTTGGGGTTCCTGCGCGGGAGTCTCCTCGGTCGGCTCCTGCTTGATGGGGGTTTCTTCAGCGGCCGACATGGTGGGCGAGTGCGGGTCGCGTTGCGGGCGGTGAGGTGAGGAAGCTGCGACCTTGGTGAAAGTCGCGGGAGTTTGCTGAGTGGAGCGACTTGCTATGGATACAATGTCAGCACTCGCTCAAGGGGGTTTGGCGCAAAATAAGAGGTAGCTGTGTTGGTGCAGGTACAAGGGACGCGCTGGAAATTGTGAGAGCTCCAGATGTCGACTTTGGCGGGGCTGAGACGCTAGGCAGCTTTAGCGCGCAAGCCGCATGAACAGGCCCCGAGCATGTGTGCAGGCGCGACCGAGTGAAAGCGCTCAATAGCCCTGTTCCTGCATGCCATTGTAGTCGGCTGGTGCCACTATCCACAACACCACATAATACAACCGAAGCAGAAGAATACCAAGATCCAGCGTCACCGGCCCAGATCCCGGGTTTCCCTCCTCGGCACGCACCGCCTCGTTGCCATTCCTCCTGCCCCACTAATTGGGCTGCCGGTAACCAAGACGCCTGGTGTACTCCGCGTATCCCTTCCCGCCCTCGCCCCAGCACTCCTTCACCCTCTATGTCTGGGGTCCTAGTCCCCTCTCTCCACGTGCACGACCCATACGTATCGCAGCAATCATGGAGGTCGACATTGCGCCCCAATTTGGCGCCGAACTGAAGGTATGCGGAGTTGGAGCAGCACCTCCGAGCATGCGCTGACGGGTGATCACAGGATGGCTTCAAGACAGTCAACGCTTGGGTACGTCATACACATTCGCATAAACTTCCGGGGGAGAACAGACATATGCGCCGCCAGCTACGTGCCTTGCGCTTCGATTACTGACACGCGACTGCAGGTCTCCGGCGGCATCTCCTGGCTGGATGACATCCAACAGTTCTACCGAGAACGAAGCGCTATCGAGAAGGAATACTCGGCAAAACTCAGCGCACTTGCGAAGAAGTACTATGAGAAGAAGGCAAAGAAGCAGAGCAGCCTCAGTGTTGGTGACACACCTACTGTTACTCCAGGCTCGCTCGAGAGGTACGTTTGCCGTCGCACGGGGTTTGGGCTTTACTGATACGTCCACACAGCGCTTCTATGACCACATGGGGTGTTCAATTAAGCACCCTCGAATCCCGCGCCTCTGAACACGAACAATTCGCTGGTGCTCTCATCACCCAGCTCGCTGACCCCCTCAAGGTCCTTGGTACTCGCACCGAGGAGCTGCGCAAGTTGCACGGAGACTATGCTGCTAAATTAGAGAAGGAGCGCGACAACCAGTATGGCGAGTTGCGCAAACAAAAGGGCAAATACGACAGCGTCTGTCAGGAGGTCGAGAGCCGGCGCAAGAAGGCGGACGGCGCATTTGACCACGGCAAAGCCAAAGCACGAAATGCTTTCGAACAGCAGCAGGTCGAGATGCGCAACGTCAAGGTACGTAGCATACCAAGTCTCACGTCCCATACACTAACCACCGCAGAACACCTATCTCATCAGTATCAACGTAACCAACAAGCAAAAGGAGATGTACTACCATGAATACGTTCCTGAGCTACTAGACGTAAGTCAAGCCGCAAGGTCGGTGACGCATAGCTAACAGTCACAGAGCCTACAAGATCTTTCGGAAACACGGGTTAACAAGCTGAATTCGATATGGTCACTCGCCGCTCAAATCGAAACCCAAACACTTACGCGAAGTACCGAGTATCTAAAGCACCTTTCTGCCGAGATCCCGCGAAACAACCCTCTTCTCGACTCGATGATGTTCGTACGGCACAACGCTGGCTCATTCCAGGAGCCTGGTGACTTCCAGTTTGAGCCCAGCCCGGTTTGGCTAGACGACAGTAGTATCGCCGTCGACGATTCCGCGACGGTATTCCTGCGCAACGTTCTCACGAAATCGAAGGCGTCACTAGGGGAGTACCGACGCGAGCTCGAGAAGAAACGTAAAGAGGTTGAGAATGCCAAAACGGTGCGCCAGAACATAAGGGACGGAAAGGACAAAAGAGATGAAGTGGACATCGTTCGCGCTGTCTTCGCCATACAGGAACAAATGCATGAGGTGGAGAGACAGAAAGTCAGCGCCGAGGTTGAAGTTTCGACCATTACTTCAGTTGTTGGTGACTTGAGCATTGGTGCAAGGAACCACAACTTCAAGTCGCAGACATTCAAGATACCGACGAACTGTGATCTATGCGGAGATCGGATATGGGGTTTGTCAGCGAAGGGGTATGACTGTCAAGATTGTGGCTATACGTGCCATAGTAAGTGCGAGATGAAGGTTCCCGCCGACTGTCCCGGCGAGCAGTCCAAGGTGGAGAAGAAGAAGTTGAAAGAAGAAAGGCAGAAGGCCGCGCATGCAGTGACAGCGACGAATGGCGCCGCGACGAGCTCCAGTACGAATCTACCCCCACTGGGGAGAAGCGACACGGTAAACTCCATGAACACCCTCAGCTCTGGCTACTCGGCCACTGCGCACCGGTCAGTATCTGGAGGCATGTCGCCTACTGCCGAGGAAACTCCTCCACCACCAGAGAAGAAGGCGCCGACTGTACCGGGTGCTAGGAAAAACCGGCTAGTTGCTCCACCACCTACTCAATACGTCAAGAACGACGAGGATATGCCTCCGCCCACACCGAAGTCTGCAGAAGCGAAGGGTAGAATGCTTTACGCCTATCAAGAGAATGGAGAGGGCGAATTGACTGTTGCAGATGGTACGGATGTTACCATTGTAGAACCCGATGGTATGTGGTAGACGCTTCTCACATCTCAGGTCTTCTTCGTCACTTTGCTAATTCTCTGTCACAGATGGTTCTGGATGGATGAAAGTCCGTGCTGGCTTCAAAGAGGGTCTTGTCCCAGCAGCGTATGTCGAGATGACGGTCGCAACACCACCTACCACTGCTTCCACATTCTCATCAGCAAGACCTGACTCGACGTACTCGGCATCGTCGGCATCAACCACCAACTTTGCCGCGGCTGCCACTCCCGGTAAGAAGAAGGGACCCGCCGTTGCGCCGAAGCGTGGCGCGAAGAAGTTGAAGTACGTCGAAGCACTGTATGACTACACTGCGCAAAGCGACGCAGAGCATTCCATGTCAGAAGGAGACCGCTTTGTTCTCATCAACATGGAGGCTGGCGACGGCTGGGCAGATGTCGAGAAAGATGGCGTAGTACGCAGTGTACCAGCCAACTACGTTCAGCAAGTCTAGATCACTTGTCTAGTAGCAGTTCGCGAGATGAGCTTCTTCTGATTGATTAGTTCGTTGTCTACAGCGTGGGAGTGTTGGAGACGAGCTACCTGCATGGAGTATCGCTAGAGTATCTGTACATACCTGAAGGAATTACTTTTGCCAAGTCTATTGCTTTGCGCCAGTGTAGTGTATGCATTTGTTGCAGTCACAAAAATTGGTCGGTCATGCATGCTGAGGCACTATGAGCCCTGCATGTCGGCACGAACATGTGGGTCCAGATGATTAGCGCGTAGCCTTTCCATCTCGTCACCTCGCTTCCTACATCCTTCTCTTACCCATCTCATCACATCTCGTCGCATGAATCTCGCGTTCTACCAGAGGTCTCATGATCGCATGATACCTGATATGGCCTGCTGCGCCGACACCCGTAACACACGACAACAGGGCTGCATAGAACACGAGCTTCGGGTGACCAGCGCGGTGCTACGTCGCTTACAACATGGCTGCTGGGTCGTCCTATGAACCCGAAGTACTGACACTCACGATAGTGACCAACTGCTGAATTCTGTCAAAAGAGAAGACAAACTGGGTTACGTATGCGCCCGCACGCATACATAGGGCTTTTAGCTTGTTCACACATAAACGCCTTGATGCTTGAAGTCTAACATTGCTCAGCCAGATTGCGTAAATCATCGTGAGGATATGCGCATTCTGTATACATCTTATGATGCGACAGTAACATCGGGGTAACGTCACCACGCACAACAAAACCTCAGGGCAAGCCAACGTCTATCAACACTGAGGACCGCACTACTGTCAAAACTGGCTTGGGCCATCCTTAGTATAGTCCGACCATTTGACTATCTCTCGGCTTCCACGCACGTTCAGCCTGTTCTCCGCGCCGCTCATGCCTTCTCATAGAATGCGGGCGCATCTGGCTCTTCCCAGTCTAACCAAAGCTTCGAGGTCGCACTGCATATTGACAGGAACAACCAATTTGAGCAGGGACCAATGCCATGGGCAGATAAAGATGCACTTAGGAACCCAGTGCCTCTCAGTCCAGCGCTGTAGCCCTGGAGATACCGTATCTCGTATTTGCTCTTGGCGCACTTTATGTCTGGACTCATGGCAAAGTGGCAGCGAAGGCGCACTGTTGTCCCTTCGGTACACGTACGTATGTGGCACAGACTGATAGCCTGCTCAGATAATACCCAGCTACCTATGCCACGCAGCTTGCTCACTGGCCCGAAAGGTCATATGAGCGAGCCTCCTTTGAGATTGGTAATCTTCCTTTTGATTGTCGCCTCCGCTGTTTGTGTTGTTGAATTGATTGCCGTATTCACATTCACTCTTTTACACGCTGTCCTATCTAAGCGGTATATGCACTCCCTTGGCCATATAACGCACTCTTTCCTATCTCAACGATCTATCCTCGTCTATTTTCCGAAGAGCTCCAGAACGCTGTAGGCGCATACCCAACTCATTGCTCCTTCCTGCTCAAACGGAGCAGCTACGCTAATGAGACCCTGTCTTGGCGTCACGATACAAACAATACTCACCTCACCTTCGCTCTTGTATCTTCCCACTACGCTCGTTCCCTGTAAGCCGCAATCGACTCAGTCGCCTTCACGCTTCACCGGTCATTCTTTCGTGTCTTCACCCGGAGTTTCATCTCCATTTCGCTCCTTAGGCACTGCCACTATCCTTCTCCGCTACTTCCCTACCTACTTTACAGCGACACAGAAGCCGACAAAATCGAAAGCAGCACCGCGACACAGATCGTTCTGTCAAGAAGTTGGAGGTAGTAATTGTTTATAGGGAAGAAACGGTCAGTCGCTCTATTGCGTCATACTACTTACTGCCGCACTGGCTAACGTCGGGAGGAGTTACTAACAACTTCCACAAAAGTGTTGCAAGCTCTAACCTACCATGAAGATTGGGTACATAATTACCGCCACAGCGCTTGCTGTAATCACTGCATCTAAGCCGCACCACATGCACCGCCACTCTCATGCTCACGATCCGGTCAAGCGCGGTATCATCTTCGCACCTGCAGCAATCGAGACTCATATCGTATACTGGCTCGATGATCATTCAATCACAGAGGAAGAGGCCCGTGAGGGTATCGCTAACGGCACTTTGACGTGGGGCAATGATGGTGTCCTGTCGACATCGACTAGTAGTCCTGTCGCATTGCCTACTCTGCCTTCAGCTTCCAAGCAGCAAGTCCCAGCCGCCAATCCGACACCGGAACCCACACCTAAGAAGGCTGCCCAACAGCCCGAGCCTGTTGCGCCCGAAACCCAGAAGCCCGCGCCATCACCAGAAATGCCCTCAAGCGACCCTACACCGAGTCCCACCCAGGATACGACACCTGTACAGCAATCTGGCACTCCACGTCCCTGGATAGACATGGTCGATAAAGACGGTCACTGTGCCGAGTGCGACAAAGAATTCCCGAACGGCAAGATACGTTGCACAGAGTTCCCTTACGGATATGGCGCCTTGCCTATCGCCCATGAGGGACTGGGAGGCTGGTCCGGTATCCAAGATTCCCAATATTCCGGAGGGGATGGCTTCGATGACATCACAACCGTTCCGAAAGGTTCATGTTCGGACGGTACCTGCTGCACGTCTGGTAGCTTCTGTTCCTATGGCTGCCCGAACCCTTACCTCAAGGCTTCGTTCCCCTCGATTCAAGGTAGGGCGGGTCAGAGTGTTGGTGGCTTGTACTGCAATGAAGACGGGTTTCTGGAGATGGCCGACGGTAAGATCGCGAATACCCTTTGCGTTCAAGGCTCAAAGCACATGGGCGTGATAGTGCAGAACAAACTCTCGAAGTCTGTCTCTTTCTGTCGTACAGACTATCCCGGTATGGTATACACACACGCTCTCAACACACTTGCTTACACGTGGCAGGGACTGAGTCCATGACCTTCCCAGTCACGGTCGGCCCTGGTGAGACCGGCTTTCTAGCCAATCCCGACCAACAAAAGTACTTCTTTTGGCAAGGCAAGAAAACTTCAGCTCAGTACTACATCAACAAACAGGGCGTGCCCGAAGAGGAAGCCTGTACATGGGGTACAGAAATGGGAGGCAAGGGCAATTGGGCGCCGGCGGTCTTCGGAACATCCTTCGATGACGGCCCAATGCAGGAAGGTTTCTCCAGCTTGAAACAAAACGAGCTATGCAAGAAGGAGCGAATCGGCTACGACATCACCTTCATTGGCGATGGCGTCGTGTCTCCTTGCAGGTACAAAAGCGCCACAAACCAGTGGTGTCAAGCCGACAAGTGCTGGGAAGACCCAGATCGCGGCTGCACCGTATGTCGCCCTACTGTCCTTACGCAAAGCCAGACAACCGCTAACTTAAATAGGCCGCTACTATGCATGGCGATCTCACAGTTGTGCTATCAGATGGCTAGCATGCCCGTCTTTAGTCCCGCGTCGAACGCATGTACCCCGCTGTCTTGTCACTTTTCTTGGTCGGTCTCTACTAGATCTTCGGCTCTCACGACACTGTTTTTACTATTTTCCACTTCCACTTCAGCCTATACCAGCAGGCTCATGTATTCCTGGTCAATACCTTCACAATGTCGAAGGCCCGGCGGACTGCGGCAACGATCTCGACGGAGCTTTTGGAGGAGGGTTCGAATTTCTTGAACGGATTACCAATTACCCTTTCTTCGGATATGTATTTTCTCTTCTGTTAGCAATAGTATGGAGATCTTTATGAGCGACGAGCCATGTGCTAGTTCATGAAGGACAGTCTCTGGACTTATGGCCTGACAGGGGCTTCCGCTTCGTTGGAGCCAGGGCTTCTTAAATTCCATTTCTGATGGTCATACTCTATGCAAGTTCAAGAACAGCGACGGACGTGAAACGAACAATATTCCGACAGTAAAACACAAGCAGTAAACATCGATTCACTATGCTATCATACGGCAACAAAGTACCTATCAGCCCGATGCCGGGGTATCGTCTTAGTACACCAATCGGTGAAACAGGAAAACACGAAAAGGTGCCTTCCTCTGTAGGCCAGATTGCCAACTCGTATGATGCTGCTAAAACACAGTTTTACCCTCCGAGAACGATGCAAAGGTAAACGGTCCACTTGTCACATTATTGACGCTGGTGAACGTGGACGAGATGAAGGTGGATGAGAATGAATGGAGATGCAACGTATAGAGGGCGTGAAGGCGGGCTAATCGGTGTGCCGATGGACAGGCGGTCGTAAAAGGCTGCGTTGCCATACCTGCCATTCATAGCGCACCTTGACGCATACAACATGATGTTGATGCATATCGACACACCGTGTCGATAGTTCCGCGCAAGTGCGCGTCGCTGTGGTGCTGGGTGAGACAACCAAAACATTTATATGACGAGCAGTAGACGGTTCCAGAGCTGCGTCACTCAGTTTGAAGGAGCTCCGGATGCCCAACTGCCTCAACTCGGGTCCGGATTGAAGCTGAGAAAGTCGGTCGGGTCATTCATATTAGGCGCAAGACTTGGGTCGAAACCGAGAAAAGTATCGTGCTCTGCAGTAGTCCTCGTTGTTGGGTCCTCCAGAGGTTCACCGGTATGGCCACCGTGTGTGAGACAGCCGACGCATGCGCAGCCGTCTCCGCATTGACAGGTACCAGACGCGTCTGAACAGCCTGGTAAGGTCATCTCGTTCCAGAAATAGGAAGATGGCGACAGCGTTACTGTGTCTTCGTCTTTGATATCGCTTGGGCTGCTGGCTACGGGTGATCCTATAGTGTCTGTGGACTTTGGCAACGTGTCGCTTGGCGCTGACATGGACGGTGTGTAACTAAGGCTGCTAGAGAACTGGGCCTGCGGCTGGCTTGGCACAGGAGTCAGTTGCTGTGGCCAGTCCCTGGGCAACACCATTGGTACCTGGGGCATGGTCGCCATATCCATGCTCTGTTGAAAGCTCATCTGCGTTGGTGTGGGTGTTGCCAAGCTTTGTTGCATTGGACCGAAGTTCAGGTTGTGACCGGCTTCCGCTCCGTAGCCAGATTGATGAGGGTAGGTGGGCATGTCGTAGAGAGGTGGAGGCATCCCTCCGAAGCCGCCATTGTACTGGAAATGTGCCATGATCCTGACATATTCCATCATTGTAGCATTGTTCGGATGCGCTGCGCATCCAAAACAGCTACATGACTCTCCGCAGTGGCAGTTGTGTTCGGGGACGTGTTGACCGATGTGAGGACTTGCAACAGACGGTGACATGGGCGGGTTCGTTGACGGGCTCATCGATACGGAATTTTGGCGATGATAGGCTGCCGCTGCATGGTTATAGATTGGAGTGCCGAGACCGAAGGGGTTCGGTGCAGGCGATGATATTTGTGCGTGGAAGTTTTGGTACTGCGGGATCACCGCTTGAGCTGGAAATTGGAATTGATGTCCCATATGTTGATAAGCGTGTGACTGGTCGTTGACGGGTGCATCTTCCTGCTTCGCTGAGCAACAAGACTTCTTTTGTACTGGCGGCTCTGGAGCTGGTTTTGCTTTGGCTTTGCTGCCACAGCAGCCTCCTTGTACTGGCGCTGGTGCAGGCTTTGTTTTGCTACCACAACAACCTCCTTCTTGAACTGGCGATAGTACCGGCTTTGACTTGCAGCAGCTTGAGACGGGCTCATTTTGTGCAGGGAGTAAACGTGGGGTTGAGCTTGCACTCGAAGGGAGTGACGCTGCGTTGCTACCACTTGTCTCTGAGGGCGTATACGTGATGGAAGAGGCATCAGTCTTGGCGTCAAAGCCAGCCTGGATGGCCTTCTCGAGGTTGTACGGAGTGACAGCTGCGGACTTACGCCTGCCTTTCTGGATTCGACTGTTTCCTGCAACGGTAGCTGTGGGTGCGGCTCTTTCCGAAGGGCAAGCACATTCAGACGCTTTGGGAATGGTGTAGTTGATGACGACACGTTCGCAACTGCATGAGCCAGTCGGATGTGGACAGCTACTCAAAGGTCGACCAGGCTTTCGAACCTCGACGAGCACCCGATCTCTGTGGTCGCATTTCGACGAGCGATGGCCGCGGATGCACGGACCGCTATTGAAAGTCAGTTAAAGTGCACAGCGAATAGGCAGCCTGCGCAATGCGATGCAAGCTGCAGTCGCTAAAGAATTTCTCGGGTACCTGCTGTATGTGCGTAACAAATAGCGAAGACAAGAGGGTAGGACAATACAGAACGAGGAGCAAGACGAATAAGCGGGAGAACCTACCAGGCGACCTTCTTGCGCTCTCCGTTGACTTCGGCCCACATGATGCGAGGCTGATATGAGGTCGAAATAACTTGCTCAATCCGCGGCAGGTCACCACCAAGTGCGCCGTGTATCGGGGACGAAGTGAGACTGCTGATGGAAACAGCTTTTGTCCAAGCTTACTGTACACCGCGCACGTGAAAGTATTGCGGAGGGGTGAAGTGGCGTACGGCACGGAAGACAATGCAGTGGCAAGAGTCTAGGCTAAACGTACGACTCTCGTTGGATAGGAAAGTGGCCGACAGGCTTCAATGTGGTGCGATGTAACTATCCGAAGGAGAAGGTAGACTCGGTACTGGGCTTGGCTAAGTGATCTGTGAAGGGTCCAGCTCCGAGCGCCTGGAGCGTTGATAACCCTGAGCGCTGCCGCCGGCTTCCCACAGTATCGGTGATAATACTGTATAAGCACAGGCGTTGGTTGATGCAGTAGCGATCTTGAGCGCGGAACGGAAGAATGGTGGATCGTATGCAGGCGGGCGCACGTCGGAAATGCACACGGCAACAGCGGCAGGGTCTTCAGTTGAGAGCCGGTGGAATCAGGGCGCCGGTTGCACTGGATTACCTCCCAGGATGCGGTCTGGAGAAATATTGCCTTGACAGGGCTCAGCGTTGGTGGGGACGTGAGATACCGGTTCAAAACCGCAGAAAGAACGCCGCCGTCACCTCTCCCCACTAGACGGATGAATGACTCGGGTCTCCAGGTGTCAAGGCGTGGGATCTGCTGGTCGGCGCTCGAAGGTTTGTCGTGAATTGAATGGATGCGACGTTTGGCGGAGGGTTGGATTAGGCTTAGTGCCTTAGCGTTGAGCAAGTTTCTTACTAAGCGGTCTTAGTCGCTTCAGGGCGGCACAAGCAGAAGGTGCGATGATGGAGAAATAGATGCCAGTCGATGTCTCATCGGTAAAGTAAGTGGGGGAAGCGTTGAGATAAAGTACGCGCAAGATGGGAGTTATGGAAACGTGACCTACGGAGAGCAGCACCTGTGCCTGTTCAGATCATGGTCAGAAGAACCGTGGAAACGATGCTGCGGCCGCCGGGTATATCACTGGAGCGTGGGGAATCTGGCGCCGAGCGGACCCTGGCGCGCTCAGATGAGTACCGCGATAATTCAATCGGCGTGGGCGCGATTGGTAGGCCGTTGTATACTTGAGGCGTCGCTCGAAGCCACCTGGATCACGTCCCACGCCATCGGGCTGGTGCAACGCTCGCTGCCACAGCCAACGAGCGAGCGGCAGACCCTGCGGCCGTTTGCAGCGCATCCTGCCTGGTCAGCCTTCAGACCCCGTTGATGACGACGATCCGCTGTTTCGAAGATTGCGTCTGTCTGGAACGCAGCTGAGATAGGAAAGGTGGTGGCTGGTGATTCTAGGCACGTGCCACTTGTGGCTCCTCCCGAGGTCCCTCTTCGAAACACCAAAAATACAATCTTCGCCAAGACCATTGTCTCGTCACAGCTTTTCTTTCATCATGTCCTCAGAAGCCGACGAGGAGAGCCTGGACCTGTTCCAAGAGCCTACTGATTTCTATGAACCAGAAAAGCAGGCCACATTCGCGTCTCATCAGCTGCTTTCCGGCAAAGAGCTCACTGTTCGTTTGGTCGGCCACAACCCTTTGTGGGTAAGTCATGCACTTGATCACCGACATGCCGAAACACTGTATGGAACTTGTCAACGCCACCAATATTGGCTTCCGTCCTTCTAGAAGACTTCAGAAGGCCCGTAGAACTTTGATAATGGTTCGATGCACTCATCGGACTTCTGACGGACTTGAGCTGCGCCTAGCACATTCACTGACGTATCCAGGGGCACTTTCTATGGAATGCAGGGCGCACTATATCTGAATATCTGGAGGAAAATGCAAAAACGCTCGTACAAAACCGAACGGTTCTCGAGCTTGGCGCCGGAGCAGGACTTCCAAGCCTTGTCTGTGCTCTCAACGGTGCCGCTCAAACGGTCGTCACGGACTATCCCGATGCTGAGTTGGTTGAAAACCTGCAGTACAATGTCGACCATTGCGAACTACTATCTAAGCCACCCAAGATTGTGGCGGAGGTTTGTGACTGTGCTCAACCTTGGCAAACATCACTAATGTCCGTACAGGGATATCTCTGGGGTGCGCCTACCAGTAACTTGACGAAACATCTGGCTGATGGCTCGGGCTTCGACGTCCTCATTTTGGCCGACCTTCTTTTCAACCACTCGGAACATGCCAAACTCATCAAGACTGTCCAGCTGACCCTCAAGAAATCGCCGAACTCCCGAGCATACGTCTTCTTTACACCATACCGCCCGTGGTTGTACGAGAAGGACTTGGCTTTCTTCGATTTAGCCAAGGAGGCGGGTTTTACCGTCGCTAAGACGTTCGAGAAGGTCATGGATAAGGTCATGTTCGAGGAAGATCCTGGGGTAAGTCTTTCGGTTTGGTGTATTTGTAGACGTCACTAACCGAACTTAGGATGAACTCCTTCGCCGGACTGTCTTTGGCTACGAGATGACTTGGAAAGCTTGATTCTAGTCCCCAACATCAGCAGCAAGTAAAGCAGATTTTCACTCGTGTGCTAGACCAATACATCATGGTGCCTGTCCGCCACATGCGGGTACAAGTCATGAGACAGCAGCAATTCGGTGCGCAATTCTCATTTAGGCGAGATTGTGTATGTACCCATTTCCTATTTCGGTCTTGCATCAAGCGCTGCGGAGGTTTTGCGTAGAGGCCAGTTGTACAACGCGTTGTAACCTCTCCAGTCGCATAACTGTACTGATATATTTACAAGGCGCGCAGAATCGCTTCACTCCACGCTGGGTATGTTGCAGTGTGCAAATACATCGTAAGAATCACTACCCACTCCGTTCAACATATTCCTCAACGAAGTTCCTTGGTATGGAGCACAGGCAGCACCTCATCGCTTAAAGGTAGATCGCGATCAGTACTCTAGTCTCATCACTCCTAGTCACATATATTCAGCCTGTCCTATGGCCGTGTCTACGCTCGAGTCGCGAGCGACATCACTGAGCCTAGGCGGCTACGTCGGATGGCAAAATCGGATTGATTTGGTGTTTCAAGTGTCTCCCATTTTCCCTTCCCAGCTCCTTACACACACGAGTTAGATCAGACATCTTATCAAAGCACAGGCGATGAAGTGGGTTTGAGAGGTAGCGTCAAAGAGGATATGCTACCCCCACTCCCAACTCTTGTAGGGCAAATTGCAAGGCGCCTGCATGTCAAAGGCGAGCGTCCTCTCCTGCAACACATGTCACACCATCCGATGACCGTTGCTGATGTCGAGGCTCTGGTCCCTGCACTCATGAGTAGACGCAAGATCATGGACCAGCTGGTCATCAACATCGGCTACTTTAGCGCTAGAAGCTTGATACCGTCCTCTGATCTCGAGAACATGCTTATCCACCTCCTCGTTGTAGGTGATGAACAGCATTACCTGTACGAAGAAGCCAAAACCCGTACCGAACTAGAACGCCGCCGCTACCGACACTTCGAGCACATGCAGCGCCAAAAACGGATCAAGGATATCAAGGATCTGAAAAAAAAGGGAAGGCAAGTGAGCAGCGTCCACCATTGTGAGTCTATTGGCGACTTCTCTCTTTCGCGACTGCACTCCGGACCGGGCCTAACGGATCGGAAGTATCCCAGGGTCCGGCTGCCGCAGAATGACACGCGACAGGTGAGCTTAATGCCCGATCTATCAGTGTCTGGGACGAGTACGAGTGTTGAGCACGGTAATATGTGGACAAGAACTGGATCGCTTTCTGAGTTTGTGTTTGGAAGGGAAGGAAGGGGCGGGAAGATTGTTGTGAAGCTTCCACTCAAAGAGCCTTCATCTTGAGCCTAAGTTTCTGCCTTTGCGCCTAGGACGAGAGGAGCCGTTCAGAACACCATTAATTATTAGAAATAACAAAAGCTGTGAAACTTTCCTCGGAGTGACGAGCGATGCACGACTGTGAGGTTCGTCTGTCTGCGGGGGCTAGCGCCGTTGACCGATAGAGCTTATCCATTGCCGAGGTTCCTTGACGCTTCACGACTCCTGCACTGCCGACCATGATGACGCGCTACAAACGACCGTGATAGCTTCATAGCGATGCCTGTCATCTCTATCAACATCCATCTATCATGACCTCGTCAAAGCCACCGAAAGCCATCCTGTTCGACATCGGTGGAGTAGTTGTGCGTACCTCCTTCACACCGCACAGCCATTCCTTACTATCCGCGACAGAATTACGTTAGCTAACGCTTCCCATTGCAGGTCATAAGCCCTTTCCAAGCTATCCTTGATTACGAAATCGAGAACAAGATCCCGAATGGCTACATAAACTTTGCGATCCAGAAAGGCCCTCACGATACAGGCGCATGGCAGCTGATCGAACGCGGCGAGGTCGAACTCAATGACGACTGGTTCGCATCTTTCAAGAAACAGCTTATGCGACCGGAAGTATGGTCGCAATATCTCCAGAAGCTTGCGCAGCAAGAGAGCGTCGGTGGTGGACAAGCCATTGAGGGTGGGAAACCACATGTACCAGATATCGACGCGAAGAAGCTGTTCTGGCGCATGATGAAGATCAGCCGAGCACCAGACCCATACATGTACCCTGCGCTACGAAAGCTAGGCCAGAGCGGAAAGTTTGTCTTGGGCGCGTTCAGCAACAACGTTACGTTCCCTACGGGCATTCTCGACGACGAAGGCAGGCTCTTCACCAAAGAGCTTATCCACCCACCGGCCCCGAATCCTTACGCGAACGACTCCACGGATATTACGAAGTGCTTTGACATCTTTCTTGGCTCGGCGGTGGTTGGCGTTAGGAAACCGGATCCGGAGGCATACAAGCTGGCGGTGCGGGAGATGGACAAGATCGCGAAGAAGAAGGGGATGGGAAGTGTGACGGAAGGCGACACGCTCTTCTTGGACGATATCGGCATAAACTTGAAGTTTGCGAAGAAGACAGGGCTAAGGACAATCAAGGTGAATCTGGGCAAGACGAAGGACGCTGTGAAAGAGCTCGAAGAGGCGGTTGGCATACCGTTGTTAGATGACAAAGCTAAGCTATGATAGCAGACATGAACCTTACTCCGATCATACAGACTCTAGCATGTAACCCCACCTACTTTAGAGATCACAGGCCTCCTCGGCCTCCAGATCCGCCATTCTCTTATGCGCTGCAGTCTCCACCAACCTAATGACAGCCAACAGCGCAGACTGACGACTTAGCCCTTCCTGAGGCGCAATGAGGAACTTTCTTTCTGGGGCAACTGACTTAGTATTCCAGCCAATGACGCACGCGCGGAACTTCTCGATGCCCTCTCCTCTGCTTTCGTATCTACCCAAAAGGAGGAATGGCCCCAATGCCGGGCGATATATGGAGGCTATTAACTCTGTGATCATGTCAGTAGGAGAAGAGGGTCTGGTGAGAAGGTTCGTTGTACTGCTGAAATAGCTGAGGTGATTCTCATCGGCGTCCACAAGAGGGCTAGCAGGAACGCTGGGAGGTGCTGGTACGTGGGGATGGTTCTCGTTGCTTGATTCATGTGCCATGGTACTCATGAAAGACGACAGTTTGCAGTGTCTCGTCGGGGGGTTGTCGTCCAAGACTATTTACCTGTCCAGTTGCTTGCTCTTCCAAATCACAAGCCTCGTCAGAAGACTATGGGTGCAGCAGAGCAATTTATACACCCTTTCGTTGTTAAGAAGTCTAGCAATCTTATACGCAATCGCCGAGTGTATAAATGTGCGAGGTTCTCTTCTCGAAATCAGAGATCACGTACCCTCATATCCTATTCTACTACGCCTCGCTTCAACAATGACCAGCCGCCCGGTAACACGAGATGATATCGATACTCTCACATTCCTCAATATCCTAGTTGCAGGTCTCTTCCCACCACCCGTCTCCGGCGCTGTACAGCTAGGTCGTCATAGCTTCGGACTTGGTAGCGGTGGATATCGTGCCATGGTCACAGGCAATCCAGTGGTTGCCTCTAAGAATGGCTTGTTAACGACTGTTCTCATTCCGGTGCAGGTAGCGAATTCGCGTAGTGAAGTGCTACTAAAGCTACTGGAGGCAGTGGAGGACTACGCTCCGCAACGATTCCCATGAAGTTGAGATTGGAGAATGCGTGATGATATAACAGTGGAAGAAGAGGTGCAAGACGCTGGAGTCGGAAACAGACGGATCACATAGATGCTTGGAGACATTTGCTACTGCAAAGGGATTTGCAAATGAAAACGCTCGTAGAAGTTAGAAGCGCACGGCAATAAACGAAAAATGAAAACAAACGATATCTCATAAATGGCAACTAAAGCTGTTATGCAGCCGGGAAGACCCCAGGAAACCAGAAACCCCATCTCATCCCTATCCCTCGACCACTCACCCCCTCTCACCCCTCCCCATACTCCCACTCCCAACCGACCCACCCCCATCCCTCGCCGCCTTCTTCGCATGATGATTAAGCATCATACGTCCAATTTCCATCTCTACGACTCCCAACAAATTTCCCAATGCCTCTTTCCTGCTGCTACCCATTTCAGGCCCCAGTTCCAGGCTTCTTACTCCGCCTTGTTCGATGCTGTAGAGAGAGGTGCAGAAAGCGGTGGAAGGGTCGACGGCTTTTTGTTTGGAGCTGGAGTTGGCGGAGGCTTTGGGTGGGGGGTGGCGGCCGAGAATGCAGGAGGGGCATTTGAGGGGGGAGAGAATCCATGATTGCGCTGGGCAGGGAGGTGAGTGGACGGAAGCAGTGATGGCTCGGTTGACTTGTTACTTACTTTCGATCAAATCGATCAGATATCTGATCTCCGTCTCATCTTCACCTCGCAGATTTGGAAGGGGTTCGCGAGGTCGACCGAGGCGCTCAGGCATGTTTGCCTCCAGTGAATCCATCTGTGTCTTGGATGGCTCTACTACTTGAATATATCGAGGCAGAGGGCAAATAGCGACGGTCTATTATGGCGAGAAACCGGTGAAGGAGCCGCGTCATCTACTAGGATCAGTGGTGTACGGTTGTGTTTGTCTAGTTGTACATTGAGGCAGGAAGGCCAACAGGTGGGTGAGGTCACTTGGAGAAGCAAACTTTGTGGAACCATGGAAGCGATTCGATACAATTGCATATGCTTGATCCGAGACGTACAGATGTGTAGAGACATGGAAAGCGCATCTCGGAAACGATTGATGGGCTCTTAGTTGTATGGCTCTATTCAGTGGACCTACGTGAGTCTTCCTGACTCACTTGGCATGTGCTACATTATTATGCCAAGCGAGTCTCGTCTGTAAAAAAGCCACGGTTCTGTCGGAGAGCATACTTTCTTTTAATGGAAACATTTGCCCCTCCAATACACAAGCCTCCTCCTTCCTTTGTTTGAGCATTCCACTGGCTGCTCACTCCTACCACTTGAGACCTGTACCGCGCCCTCAATCATCTTCAACGTCTCCGTCATCTCCCTCCTCCATCGTCCCTTCTACATCAGTGTGCTCCTCTGCCGCCTATCTCTGCTCAGGTTTCTGATGATATACGTCCCAAAAGTCCTTCGTGTTGTTCTCATTCTTCGCCGATGCCGCCGTCTCCAAGTCATGCAGTACCCCCAGCAATGCCTTCTCTCTTATCGTGCCGTCATATACGCCAATGCAGAAGACCCTTGAACAATGTGTTGCTGAACGAGCAATCAGGGTAGCCAGGTAGTTATCTTTCTCGGAATCGGAGGGACTTGGATATACTAGGACGTCTGCCTTGTATTCCTCGCCGAAGACGCTATCGGCTAGCATACTTACGTAAACAAGAGTACCGTGGTCAGCTCCGGTTACGTGTTCGGCTTTTTCTGTAGAGATCACGCTCATTATGACTTACTGTCTGGATTAGTTGGACGGTAGAGACGAGACTTTAATCGTTAGGGACTCATATAAATGCGACCATTTGCTCGCTATGGTAGCAGAGACAAACATGCAAAACAGTCTCTAATGTTCTAGCGGCGTGCAAGCCTGCAAGAATGAGACATTCTTTCGCGACGTATAATAATACCCAAGAAGGATGAGGATCAAAAGCAAGGCCCATTCAATGCCTGCTGCTCTATCGTAGCGTGTTGGTGTTGCGTTACACAAACGCCCAACAAGGAGTGCTCCACCCTTGCGGCGCATGCGCAAACGCTGAATCTTTGTTTCCAACCACTTCTCGGCTCTTCGCCGACTCTCTTCCTCAAACTTCTTGCTGTCTTTTCCGAGCTCATGGACATGATGACGCTGGTAGTAGTTGTCGTAGCAGCTGCGTTACTGGTTGCGCTCATTGTTCAATATATTTGTTACCAACCACGATCCCTCGTAAGTTCCATCCATCACCTACACACTCTTACGTTGCTAAGTTTGTGAAGGAAGACCAGGTTATTAGCGACCCCCACGACTGTCTTCCAGCTCCAAGATTGTAGAACCAAAGGCCCTTTGGGGTCGACCGACTTGAGCAGATCTTCCGGGCAGAGTCTGAATCACGATTAATGAAGCTGTTCTTGTCCCATTTTCGGCAAACGGGGGCTACAGTAGAGTATAAGTCTCTGGGAACGGTATCGTATGGAACAATCGAGCCGGCTAATCTGGAGGCTATCTTGTCCACTAATTGTAAAGGTAAGGGTTGTGACCGGTGAAGTCCTTGGTGTTTCAAAAGGCTAACTCGCAGACAGACTTTGGTCTTAGGCCTCGACGACCTATTCTGTTCCCGGTGTTTGGCGATGGTACCTTTACGCAAGAGGGCGCTGACTGGAAATTATCGTGCGAATAATTCTCAAGATCTCCCAAGAGCGATTCTAATACATTGATCCATTCATCTGTCGTACCGCTGTCCATGAGAACATATTTCATCACCTCGCCTTTATACTTTGCTACCCCGGCGTGATAGCTGAGAGGCATGTCGTTGACGTCCTTCTCACGGGTGACATACAGGCTATGCCCAGGAAAGAGGTTGCGGGTAAGTTTGGTGATGAAGTAGAAGGTGTTGTGCTCTGCGGTTGTGATGGGCATGTGTGCTGATTTCGATTTCGTGGAATAGACGTTTTTTTCAGAAAGGGATCGCGATTTGAGTGCGCAGAGATATATTAGTGCAACAGTACAAGTTTGCTTACCTGGTCAGCTACCAGAACCGGCGAGACTTGACCACCTGCTTACATCTGGTCTCATGACAGCAACGCAAAAAACCAAAAGGACGTCGGTAAGAATATCTCCATTCTTCAAAAGACTAGACATAAACTCCATTCCTATGCAACAAACGCCATGCTATGCAACATTGAGATGTACTTATCAACATAACCAACATGCCTTCGTGTCCATTATATTCAAACATGTTTTATGTCCCCCAGTCATCCCATTCGCCGTTTTTCCGTGGCCGCTCCCTACTTGTGCTTTTCTGTCCTTTTGGTGCTGGGTCTAAGAAGCCGTCTGGTATATCGTTCCAGTTCTGCGTTCCTTTCGGGGGCGCAGACACGGTCTGCGCTTTGTGTGCTTTGCGCTGGTCTACGGCTTGCTCGTCGCTGGAGACCTCGTAATCGTCGTCTTCGTCTTCGGATATGTAATTATATTGGTCGAACTTCCGCCTGTCAATGTTTTGGAGCTGTACGTCGCCATCGGCGTACATGCCGCGTTCTCTTCCTAGTATTTGGTCGGCTTTGTTCGGACTTCTTCGTCCGTCGATTGGGCCTTTGGCGATGCCATTCGAGGTGGTAAGGTATTGGGTCGGCTCGCCTTGACGAATGGGTGCTTGCCATTCTGGTCGTCGTGTGGCTCGCGGCGGAGGCTGGTTGTACTGGCCGGGCATCCAACCATCCGGACCGCGAGTGGGGCGTCTGAACTCTGCTTCGGTAGGAGTATCCACACCCCAACCAGCAGCGCGCTCACGTTGCTTCTGTATTTGCTCTTCTCTCTCCCTTTCACGCTTTATCCGTTCCCGTGCTGCCAGCCACTTTGGACTGGGTTCCCACGACCATCCATCTCCAGTTGTGGTTACCAGTGGCACGAACCACTTCAACGGCGAAGGCCCGAAGACATGCCCAATGTTGCGCTTCCAGCCCAAATCGAATGCGTTGGGTAACATCTCGTTATCGCGCTCATCGAGGTAGCTGTCGTAGCGATCTTGGTTCTGCTGGCGTTCTCGGTACTCGTAGGATTGGTAGTGCGGGTGGGAGTAGCCGTTCGCGTGGCCTGGGACGGGAGAACGCGATGTTGAGCGAGAAGGCTGCTCACCTTCTTCAGGTCTGGTCACTCCTGGGAGAGCGTTCGCGTGGATCTCGCGCAATTGGTCGCCAACGCTCAAGCGGCCGTTTGCTTGCGCCTCGACATAATTTCGGTCGTTGAGCTGGTGCTTCATCGTGCTTCGGAGTGGTGAGAGGTAGCGCGTCTTCTCCAAGCTCTCAATCGTAGTCTGCCCCCTGACTGTAAGCCATAGATGCCATGCAGTGAAGCCTGTGATGACAATCCCGATGATGCCGGACAGCACAGCGAGCAAGACGTAGTTGACGGGCATGAAAGACTCGGTGTATTGTCCGTCACTCAGGATCTCGCTCCAGACCCAGGTCGCAGATGTCGCAAAACACACCCAGCAGAAGAAGGAGAGATATGTCAGGAAGAGGACGAAGGCTTTGTAGTTGCGCAAGCCAACGCAAGTGGCGAGCCATGGGCAGTGGTGGTCCATCTTCAAGACGCAGCGCTTGCACGTGGAGCAGTGGTGGGAGCGGTCCGGCTTCTTGGACTGGCACTTGTTGCAGAAGCGCAGTTCACCTGTTGATGCTTTGACAGTGAAGGACGTGTACTGCATCTCTCCTCCCTCTTGGGACGGCAGATGGCTGTAGCCATTCTTGATATTGAGCGGCGATCCGGGGTCGGTGAATACGGCGGTAGTGTAGCTCCAGTTGAGCATGAGATAGAGCAAGACGCCGAGGGCGGACGAGAACTTTCCTGTTCGACGTGTCAGTAGTCGCGTCCTGGGTGCTTGTTCAAAGTGGTCTCATTGGACATGGGACAGATATGCATTGGTTGTATTGTACAGAAGGGAGACGCACCCGTCCAAACATTTTTCGACGGGACAAAGCCGATGCCTGCCTGCACCCATACAGCCCATGAAGTCAGGCCGTAGACAAAGAGCAGCGGGAAGTAGGTGACGGCGGTGCAGCAGTACCGCTCCACCTTCCTGGCCCAGCCGCGGCGGCGCATGGTTCGCGAGGGGGATGTCGGGGGAGAGGGCGAGCCCAATGTGGCCATGTCTATGGGCGCAGCGAGTGGCCGGGCATGTGGTGCGGTGGTGTAGCGAGGGGATGTTTGTGCCTGGGGTCACCCCGTGGACGGCGCAGATCGAGGACGGGCGGCCTGGAGAAGGGGAGGATGCGGAGGACAAGCAGCCGGCGCACGACTAGTTTCAGGGTGCAGCGGCGCACAGCATGACACAAACTAGCAAGCAGAGGGCGGACTTGGGAGATGGAATAGGCAGTGCTATAGAAACAAAGCCGCGCAATGGTCACGGGCCGTCGTCGTGATGGCCCCGTTTGCAACTCGTCGTAGCGTCGTTGTCTAGTCGTCGTCGTCGTCGTAGTATAATGTAAGCGTCGGCGTCGTAATCGGTGGTTGAATGAGGCGCATGATGGGTAGCGTGTCCCGGAGTACGCAGCGGCGCGCCTTGCTATGATCGACCGACTCGGCACGGCGACCACGTGACGCCGTTGTTGGGAACCGCCAACGTGGATACGGTAACGTATGCATGTCATAAAACCAAAAGTGAGCCGCAAGCACGTCCGGACAGGTGGCAGGTCAGACGCGCCTTTGAACTCTGGAGGCCTTCCAATCTTAGACGCCGCTGGGTGCTTTCGCCCGTTTCAACTGCGCCGTCGCACACTCAGCCTGCGACGGCCGCGTCCTCTTGCGAGCTATATCCACCCGGGCGAGCGTACAATAACGGCAATCCCGGGTGCATGCGCGATAATCTAAGGTAGCCTGATACAGTGGTTACAAGACGCAATGTCGGTGCCACACCCCGGCATGCTCCCGTATTGCTCCCGCCGCAACCTGCGACATTTAGACATGGCCCTCGCCCAGCGCGATCTGCTTCGGTCCTGCCACACAACGTCCTAATGCCTACTTTGTTCTTGCGATAGCGTGCCCCCACCTCCTCGACTTCGCGGACATGTCTAGCAACTCTCCTTCAACAGCAACAACTTTTGGCCCATTACCTTAGCTAGACATGCTTGCCTCCAGGAAGCGGCCCACGCCGCTGCTGCTGCTCTTCGTCCTCGTCCTCATCGGAATATGGTACCACAGCAGAGACACTGACCGCATATACCTGCAATGGATGTCCTCCATTGAGTCGCGCCCTGCAAAGATACCCTCGAACAAAACCTTGGGCTTCGGCGCCGTCGTAGTCGTGTCCAAGGATGGCTCCTCGCGCCGCAAGCCACTCCTCCAAGCTGCCAATGTCACCGACATCGACCTTACCATCCCGACTCAGCCCGAATGGACAGAAGGCGACGTCCAGCGCTTCATCAACGGGCAGGAAAAGGCTCAGAAGGGATCGATACTAGCGTGGTTAGGGCACCACAACGCGCTGCGCTGGTAAGTCATCCAGCTGTGCCGGCAGCCAGCCGTCTTGGCATGCATTCGTCCGTACAGAGCAGCTGCTGATTCGCTCATGATTTAGGTTCCTGGACTCAGGGCTCGAGACAGCTCTCATTCTCGAAGACGACGTCGATTGGGACATCCGTCTGCGCAGCGTCCAGATACCCCTTGCCGCAAGCGCTGCCCGCCAGCTCCTTCCTCCACCACGCGCCCAACACCCTGGAGTCAACGCCGCTAGCAACCACACACAATACTGGGGCGACCAAGATGCTTGGGACTTGCTCTATCTCGGTCATTGCGGTGACTACTTTGACATTGTCACTGAGGACGGCCCAAAGACCGACCGCCAATCCTTCAACTTAAGCGCCATGCCACACATCCTATGGCAAGACCCTACGCTTCCATCGTGGATTAACCTACACCCATTTACACAAGACCTATTCCGCCTTTTGGGCATGCCTGAGAAGACGCGCGTCATGCACCGAGCCAAGTTCCCCCTCTGCTCCTTCGGATACGCCGTCACCCGCCGCGCCGCCGAACGTCTCCTCAACGATCTCGCTCCGCCGAAACTGAAGAAGTCGGGACCCCGCGCATTCGACGTTGCCCTTCTTCACGCCTGCAACAAGGGAGAGAACACGCCATCTCCCACACCAGAGTGGCAGAAAGCCAACCCTCGAAATCGAAGCAAATACCCAAGCCCCGGATTACGGTGCTGGACGCTGAACTCCGAGCTCTTCCACCACATGCCAGGGAAAAGTGAGATTGATTCGATCGGAGAGAAGCTCGGCGAAGAACATAGCCTACCACCAGTAGACCTGGCAGCCCAAGCGCAGGTCGTATACCGAAACGAGACCACAAACATTGACTGCGGATTCTGGAGCGGAGCCTTCGCATTCGACGAAAACGATACCGATCGGTTACATTTCCTACAGGAAAAAGTCGCAAGACAAGGCAACTGCCTCAAAGAAGGCAAGGACCGAGACGAGATCACATACCCGCCTCAAAAAGCGATGAAATGAGAACCCCTCAACACAAAATCACATGTCGCCTTCCACGTACATATTAGATTTCACGACGAGCACATCTTAACAGGATACCCGGCGCTATAGACACCAAGGGATTTATGGGCGTTTAACTGGAGTAAGAAGTAGGATTTCATCGGCTACATGAAGCCTCTGGACAAGGCGCAACATGATCTTTCTGGATTTTCTTCTCTACACTTCTTAGGGCAATATACCATAGCGGCGATTTCATCTATCAAGGCGTATGAATGCGATGGCATGGTTTGAAGACCGCCTTTTTGTCACAGTTTACGATAGTTCTTATCGACGTTACTTTGAGCGCTTCACGAAACAAATTTACATTGTCTTTTCTCATGCTTTTTTCCCTTGGAACCACTATCCATGACGTACATGTGCTCATCCCCCAAAACTCCAATGCAAAAGTATCACCGCTCATTCGGTACACGGCAGCACAACACCAACGATCGCAATACCAAACTTCTCCACTTCCAACAGGTGGGGCCGTACTCAACCACCGCGCAATCACCGACGTCACAGCGAAACACCAATGCAAACCAATAATATGATCAGTGATCAACCACCAAACTCCCCGACGACCAGGAAAACTTTTCCCATCCACCATCCACTCCCTCTTCACCGTAAAGTAAGCACAGAAAATCCCACATCTTCCATGCCGTCCTCAACAGGTTGAGTTGGTCCATTTCCGTCGTTCCTGACGATCTGCTCTGTTTCGGATGGCGGACAAAGCAAGCCTTATCCTAGTACGGAAGTGACATGTAGATCCTTGCCGCGACTTGGGGGTGCGAGATGTAGGGTGTCTGGGCGTGAAGTAAGCTTTATTAGGGCCGATGACCACGTGTTCGCGATAGGGGAAGGAGATTTGAGGAGGCGTTGTTCACGCGCTGGGGTGGGAGGGGGAGTCAGATTTAGAGGTGTGAAAGGGGGCGAGGAAGGTAATGATGTTGCGGAGTTGACGTGTGATGGCTAAGACAGAATTCGCGGTTGTGCGGGGGTACCGGGTCTGGAGAGTTGGGTCCGATCTGTTGGTGTTTTGGATGTCTTGCGGAGCAGCAGTGTAACTCTGCTTCTTTGGTTGCGTGCGGTCCCTTGCTCGCGAGTCTTTCACTCTTCGTCTGTAGTGTCTACTGTGGTATCTGTGTCAGATCTTCCCCTTTCCAGATAATCGAACCTAGCTTCCTCATTCGGGAAATACATCTCACCGTGCGTCATCGAACTCATGATATTGTCAATTGCATCGCAGTCTTGCTCTCCATATCTGGGCCTCTTCCACTCTTGTAGTAAACCCACCACGGAATTATGTCCAGGCATTTGCGCCCTAAACAATGCCTTTCTGTAGATTGTATTCACCGTCCCCGAACATCAGCTCCTGATTCTAGGAAGTAAGGGACCATCTCAACAATGCCTACTTCAGTAGCGATCTCAATAGCGGTCTTGCCGTGAGCTTCTAGAGAAAAATTTACATTAGCCCCGGCTCCGATCAGCAAGCTAGCGAATTCAAGATCTTTCAAGGCGACTGCAACTTGCAGCGCGGTTGCATGATCGTACCCTGAAGAAGCATTGACGTCTGCTCCAACCGCTATCAGTTGGCGCACCATGAAGACGCCCTCTCTTTTCACCGCCCACAGAAGGGGTGTCTTCGTGCGCCATGTACCAAATGTGTATTCGTGTAGAATGTTTGCAGTGGCGCCTATCTTGACAAGACGCGCTACCTGATCACAGTCGTCACACTTCACAGCTACTTCCAGCATATCATAAAGGTACTGTTGTATATAGTCGTATCTCATGGCTGGTTTGATATCGTCTGGATCCCTCCCGGAGCCTAGGAACATGTTGCTGAGGTCGAAGTTCTCAGAACAACGAGCAAAGAGGTTTCCGGCAGTCAGTTGACGTAGTCGCTCATGGCGGTCTCCTATGTTGCGGCCGTGATCAGGAAACTTTATAAGCTTTTCAAGATATCTGGTCTTAACAGCATGTAAGGCGACCATAAAAGCGCTTTTAAAGTGTCTCTCTCCAAGTAGGGTAGGCTTTTCGTAGAGGTTGGAGAAAGGACTGAAACCAGCCTCGTGGAGTACGTCGATCATCTCGTCGTATGACGGTCCCACAGCGAGAACAAGTGCCGCAATTCCTCTCTGTTTGATGTATGGTCATCGTGCTGTCCGATGAAGCAATGACTTTACTAAGTCCATGGAGTCTGAAGTAATTGTGTGATAGAGGAAATCGTAGTTTAAGTGTCGATCTTCCGTGAGAACGATAGCGTCCAGCTTGTTCAATTTATCGATTGAGCGCTTGTCGCCACTATTAACCGCGATTTGTAGAGCGTTGAAAGCCCTGTTCAACGCGTGTGGATGGTATAAGCCTCTGAGAGATCGTTTGGCATCTGCATCCACACTTGCTTCGATCAGCTCGGACACCACCATGTAGCTACCGTCATTCGCTGCTTCGAACAAACAATGCTCACAAAGACGTTTCCAGTTTGGGTATGACCTAATGATACATAGTAATCCAAGGAATAGTCCACGTTCCCCGTGATAATGGAATGCTCTCAAAGTGTCGTACAGATCTTCTTTTGTTTGTGTGTAACGAGCGAACGCGTGGAGAAGCTGATTGTACCCGCTTCGATACCCTGTTCAGTGAGCTGCTTGGCTAAGTATCGAAGACCGGATCTCTCTGACAGAGGGATAGCATCAGAAAACTCGTCCTCTCTGACAAAACTTGGATACGCGCATGTAGGTATGTAATGATCGTGGACATGTGTAAATCAAGCTGTATGGGACGGGATGTGACGGCGGCAGTGGCATACTTCTGCGTTCCGGCGTTCTTACAGTAGCAATCTCATCATACTTGCTGGATTCAGCGGTAATTCTAACAGTCGGCGATACCGCATGGTCGGCCTGTCCTGCCGGTAAATGTGGTTCTCGGGGACTGACAACTGCGGAAGCTCCTTCGTCAAGCTGCTCGTCACCCTTTGGCTCCTCGCTCAGCGCCGGACAGGCTCTATTGATGGTCGGCAGTGGTGTAAATATATCAATGTCCGATGGCACTGCAGAAGGCGAACAAGGATGTAATCCTGATTGCTCTGTCAGTGAGCTGACATTGTCAACGACGGATCTTTACCTACTCGACTCGCAAAAATCGAAAGTCATTTCGCGTTTTCTGAGACTTTGCCGTTCTAGTCTAGCCTGCGATATCACTGCACCATTGACTTTCACGTTGGTTGGGCGCTTCCTCTTGTCCGGGCAACCGAGAATCAAATTTTGTTTCTCCTTCCGGACATTTTTCGAAATACCCCATTTTCTGAAAGATCTCTCGTACTGCGATTCGGTTTATGATCAGTTAGCAAAGTACGTCTTGGTGTCGACTATCGCTCACGATCTTTCAAATCCTCGCCTGGCCATTTCACGCATGACCTCAGCCAACGGCTTGCCTTGCTCGGCGAATAGTGTAAGTATGTCGTTCTTTCGCGAAGTCCATTCTGTCTCTTCTTCTAACTGTCTTCGAGGCATACTTCAACTGTTCGATGTGGGTGGAGCTGAAAGTGAAGGCCTTCGAACGACTGCTCTTCAGCGACGGATCAGCGGCAAGCGGTAATAGGCAGATGTAGGCCCGAGCCTTGACGAGTTTATAAGGATTTTTGAGGCCTCCAGCGTAGTAACTGTAGAATGTACTGAACACAATTGTGACGCTGAGACAGATGTCTGATCAGTTATCCAGCAGGAAGGCGCAGTAACCTTGTAAGGCAGACGGCTCTCTATTGGTCACTCTCAAAATCATCGACCGATCACGCTCTCGCATTGCAACCAATCTGAATAGACTGCACCTACTCATCCCTGATTCTCAATGATTGGATCATGCCCAAATCTTTTATAGCACCCCACCGTAGGCTGCTTGCCTGTGCATAGCCGCAAACTACCACATGTGAGGTACGACGCCACACAATTCAATGCGATCCATCTGATAAGCTAATGCCAAAATCTCTCATCTGAGGTGAGCATAGAGCGATCGAGGACTGTTATATACCGTGATCTTCTCAGCTGCTTTATTGATGATTTTGGCCACGGCCAGTCTGCACCTCTCTGTCAACGTTTCTTGAGAGAGATTCTGGCTGCGACCAATCGTGAATGTCCACGATAACAGGAGGTGAACCTTTGAGCATCTGGACAGCCTGAGCCTTCCTCCGACCGACTAGGGGTTGCATCTAACCCTTTCAAAGGATTCGCTGCGCTCCGTGCCAGGGTATGGCACGGCTGGCCAATCACTTACATTCGGGCGTATGCTTTATGCTAAGCATCGCCCCAAGCAAGATTAGACAACGGCAGGACTCTCACTGATTCATATCAAAGAATTTGTACACTCTTCAGTGATTGTCCAATTGATCCAAGACAGAAATATTTTTCAGAAGCCATGGCACTCGACACTCAAACCATAGTTGCTATTGTGGCCCTGCTCGTTACATGTCCACCAACTATACGGCTCCTATACAAGTTATGCATACGACGTCGAGACCGAGAAAACCATGGTATGTATGCATTTTCTCGAGCAATACTAGTCCGCGACTAATTTGTTCTAGGAAATGGCAGTCTCCTTCCGACGCATACATACACGCCGAGTGTATTTATATCAAGAGGCAATATTCTGCTTCCGCAACGGCGCTCCCACACGTGGTCGACACATACGACCATCGTGCTCGAAGATATGGCGTCCGCAATGCACCATGAGTCGAGAGGTATTCAAGCACATCTTTCCCAATGCCAGATGAAACGCTGATAGAAAGTAGATATGAGACTTTAGTTCAGCGATGTACCAAAATTGGATACCTCGTTCCACTCTTCGAAGCGCGGCCCAGAGTGCGAAGAGCCCGGTCTACTGGGGGGTTGGAAGGGGACTGAGGCCTCGCTGGTGTAGCCAGTATGGTGAATGCGGAGGATATATAGGAGCGTTAGCTTGCCTACATTGGGAAAGATGTGGAAAGATTGCGCGACGTGGGAAGGCGGACGTATGTAGAAAACATATGCAATCTTCCAGCGTGCTACAAAGCACGTGTAACGTGTCTTCTCTATCGCGGCTAAGTGCTTGCCAATGTTCTTCTGAGACTTGACCTTGACCACAATCAGGACTCAGCAGGCCGCCGCCTCACAACGGACGGTTTGAGTACCTTCTGATACCGCGCCAGATCAAAACTCCCATCTTCCAGCTCCTTACTATCCGGATCACCAGCCCAACAAAACGTCCGACACTTCTCAAGTACCGTCTTATCATCATCCAAAGTCGCCTCGCACCAAGTCCAGATGTAAGCACCGGTCTCGTACTCCTGTAAACGCTTGAAGTGGTCTTCCTTCTCTACTTTCCACATCACGCCTGACACCTTCTCATCGCCATCGCCAGGTATGAGCGCTGGATATGTACTCCACATTTTGACTTTGAAGCCGGAGATTGTCGCAGGTCGTGTGGTGGGGAGCGCTGGGAGGTTCAGGACCGCTTGTAGGACTTCCGAGTCCATAAGTGAGCCGTACAGGAACATATAGCAAGGACTAAAGGGTTGATCAGGTGGTACTTGTAAGGCATTTGTACTGCGACCATGCTTTAGTTGAGATAGTGGCGCTGATACTTTCAGGTTTATGGCCTTTGAGGCGGGCTTTGGCGCAGGCGGAAGAGGAGGTGGGGTTGGAGCAGGCATTGTAGCGGTATCCGTAGCAACATTCATAGCACTTTCGCGTTCGTGAGTATCAAAATTACTGTCACAGGAAGATGAGATTCAGGCTGTATGGCATTCAACGCGTCGAAGGACCACGGTGGAAGTGCTGCAGCCTAGCGTCTAGCGTGCACAGCCTCGGGCATCGTCGGTCCTGTACCGAGTCCAACTACCCCCGCGGCGCAACAATAAGAGAACGCTATCGCTTCCCCTGAACAACAACCCTCACTCCTTGCGTCCCCGGCTTCGCACGTGGAACAAAGCTATCAAGATACAGATCAACAGCATCGCGCCCAGTCTCGAAGAGCGCGCACTCAAACCGCCGAAAGAAACTCGCAATACCAATATACAAATCGGCATACGCGAGCTGCATGCCCACACAGCTTCTCGTTCCGCGCCCAAACGCAACCAGGTACTTTGTGAGCGCCTTTCCATCTGGTGCCTTTGCATCGTTTGCCCAGCGCTCTGGCACGAACGCGAATGGATCGGGGAAAATCCTTGGATCATGAGAGGCGGTGTAATTGTCCATACTTACGATGGTACCTACAGGGAGCTGGTAGTCCATCTCGGGGGTGTGGTAGACTACGGGTGTTGGTGAGAGGCGAGGGATGCGCTGAGGCGTGCCGTAGCCGAATCGCAGAGCTTCGTTAACCACGCCAGTCAAGTACGGCAACTGCGTCAACGCGTCGAGATTCGGGATGTGATTTGGATCTGGAATCGCTGCGTCGAGTTCAGCGCACAAGTTGGCCAGCGTCTGGGGATTGGCGAGCAGGTGGTACGAGCATGTCGACAGCGTGTACATTGTTGTTTCGATTCCTGTGCCGATGACGGAGATGGCTTCGTGCTGCAGGCGTTTGGTGGAGAGTTCACCGGGCGGGAGGTCAGATTCGAGTAGGGCTGTGAAAAGAGATGGGATGGCCATTGTCTTTTCCCCAGATGCGTGCACAGCTTTGGCGTTTTGGATTTGCGTCTCCATCTCTTTGTTGAAGGTCATAACGGAGCGCATTGGCGGCGACAGGAGCACGACGAGCCAGTCTGGGAGCAGCTTGAGGGATTTGATCATCCATGGGAATTGGGTGATGAAGTGAACGGGGTCTAGGAGATCAACCCTGGAGCGTGTTAGTCATGATACGTGTGTGATTTAACATAAGGCAGCATACATGGCGTCAGAGAATTGGGCGCGAAAGTCAGGGTTGAGGATGAAGTCATAGGGCTTCTCGAGACAGTATCCGACGACGATATCCGAGGTGAAGGCGCCCCACATATTATTCAGGTTCATCGTCTTTCCGTTGGCGATGAATTCGGAGTCGATGCGATTGCAGAGACGATCCATATGACCCTGGACGTGAGGCGAGTACTGAGTAATCTTACGTTTGGAGAAGAATGGGTTGAGCGCGCTACGACGCAGACGATGAAGACTGTGCTCAGCAGTAGCAAACGAGGACATCTCATTGTTGAAGCGGTGCTCGAGATGCTTGAGCTTGTCTGAGTGGCGAGACTGCGCATACAGTGTATCGTAGAAAGTGGGATCTTGGATGTGTACTTCGTTTGGGCTAACACGCACGATAGGCCCTGCAGCGAAGTGGTGAGCAAACAGTAGTCGCTTCCGGACCGTGTCGACATACCGTATTTCTCATGCCATTTCTGGTATTCCCACAAGAATTGCCCTCCCGGCGCTTTGAAACACTCATAATACGTTTCAACCCATTGCGTCAATGCAGCAAGCCTAGGACCTGGAATGCTTCGCAGAGGATGGAAGTAGAGACGATAGATGGAGACGTAAAGCACGTATAGCGTAAATAACACGCTAGAAACAAGTCCAATCCGCCCGTAGGTTGAGGACACAAGGCTGTGTAAGAGTTGATTCATGACAGGATTCTAAGGATCTCAACGGTAGCCCGTTCGCGCAGACATATTGTATCAAAGCTTTCGAGCTGTACGAAGGCGCACCTGAAGCTGCAGAGTGCTGACTTCAAGCATGCGTGACAGTCATTGCGCTTGCTGGTCACTGAGTGGTCCAGGATGCTTACAGGTCGCTCTTCTGTTGCTGATGTTAATGTAATGTAATGCACGACCCAAAGTACCACGCAAAGTCATTGCAATTGGATCATCACGAGGCGAGCGCGAACACAAAAATGTAATGCACGGGCGCCGCAATCTTACAGGATGCTGACCTTGCATTAGTGTAACATAATTGACGAACGGTGCTACAGCCAATTAGGAGCCATCAAAATAATCATAAATGTAAACATCAAACTGTGCCACGGTCGTGCACGCTGCTTAGAAATGGCAGCTCGGTGCCTTCCTGCCAGACGACCCTGGCCGCGTAGTGTCACATGACCGCTCAACCCACGGAGTAAGAGCCCTGGAGCCGAATCATGATATTGGCCGCTCCGCGCTATAACTGACTCCATTTGACTGTAACCTACACACAATTCTCACCACACCTGCTGCACCTTCGACAACATGCCTGGAAAGACGTATCTCATCACGGGAGCTAACCGCGGTACGTGCCTTTGACCTACTTGGGACTGCTAAACTGATTTGACTCGATATGCAGGCATCGGCCGTGGCATGTTCGACCATTATGTCGCACAGCCAAACAACACCCTCATCGCGGCCGTGCGCGATCCTGCCGGTGCTCAAAGCCTGCTCAATGTTTCCAAAGGCGAAAACACCAAAGTCCTTATCGTCAAGATCGACTCGGCATCCAAGACAGACCCATACGAGGCCGTGAAGGGCATCGACAAAATTGACGTCGTTATATCAGCTGCTGGTATCGCGTCGCTCAACACTGTAGCCGATGTGCCGCTCGAAGAGTTCGAAAACGCCCTCCAGGTCAACGCCATCTCTGTCATGATACTGTACAAGGCGACCCTGCCCTTGCTCGAGAAGTCAGACTCGGCCCGCTTCGCCTTCATCAGCGCTGCTGGCGGCAGTATCAACAACATGCCTGAGTTCCCTTATCCTAATATCAGCTATACCGGCTCCAAGGCGCTCGCCAACGTCATGGTCCGCAAGATGGGTATGGAAAATGACTGGCTGATCACGCTATGCATTCATCCCGGGTAAGACATTCCCACGCCTGTCTTGTGCTATCGACGTTGACATGTGTGAGTAGCCTCGTCCAAACAGACATGGGCAACATGGGCGCACGCGCTTTCGGTCTAGAGAAGGCACCCCTCACCCTCGAGGACAGCAGCAAGAACACTGCGCACATTGTGAGTTTGACAACCTCTCTACATCGTTGTCTGTCGTTAACGGGGCTCTAGGTCGACAATGCCACCAAGAAGGAGCATTCTGAGCAATTCTTCAACGAGACCATTGACCGCCGCTACCCTTGGTGAGACGGGATGTTGGATGGTGGAGGGAGGATCATGTCTGAGCGACATGAGTATGGGCATGTCAGACCGTACGACGTGGAACTGGACACGCAAATCAGCATTGTAGTTGGCATACCGAGATAATCCATTTGCACCTCACGCGCTAGGATGAAAGTTGCAGACAGCGGTCAGTACGAGGTTCTTTCACACGTTGCGATTGTGTTAGCTTGTTGTGAAAAAAACTCCGAGATTCTAGATAAGTGCGACAATGAGGCCAAGTACGTCGGAAAAGAAGTACGAATGCAACGGGTGAAGTTGAGATTGTCATTGTGAGATGCCACGTTCTCGAGCAGACAGCGGCGCGGGCCGAAGGTTTGAAGTTCTTGGCATCGGCCGCTCCTAGTGCGACACTAGGACCATTTGGGTTGAAAGTCAGGGGCTCGATGCATGACATCACGTGTCAAGTGTGAGCTTGGGTTCACTGTATCGCAACCATAGTTCTCGACCCATCGTGTGAAGATGCACCCGAGATTCATTGAATGCTAAAGCTCTATTGTCGTCTCTCTCCCTGCACCACGCTACGACAACCAACCTCCTCCGAGATGCTCACTACTTCGCCACGTTCGCTGCCTGAATCTTCACGACAATCTTCTCCGCCAAACTCAACAAGCTCGGCGCACTGGTGACTTCCAGAGTCGTCAAGTCGGCGCCAAGCTGAACGCGACACCAATTCCTGAACTCAACAGCTGCAAGCGAGTCCAATCCATATGCCGACAATGGCTTTGCGGGCTCAAGAGGCTCATCGACGCGCAGCGTCAACATGAACTGCTTGTTCGCAACATCGACAGCCAGCGGCAGCGCGATGTGCATCTCCGCACCAGTCTTCACAGTCATCAACAGCGCCTGAATCTCCTTGTTCGCCCCAGAAGCGTCAGCGGTGCTGCTACCGGCTGAGCTGCCGAACAGCAGGGACGAAAAGCGCGCATCGGTCAACAAACGCGACGAAGGGGCTTGCGGGACGGCGATGGACGTGATGAGCTGCGCGCAGGAAAATTGGTTGACTGGGTTGTCTTCTTGCTGCATAATGCTGAACCGCACGATCTTGTGGAAGAGGGATTCGTTGATGGGCGTCCACGCTGAAGTATCAAGCGCAGTGATGAGGTTAGAGTGCTCGGCCATGTATCCCACGTCTTCAATCGCGCCGAGGTCGACCGAGTTACCCTTCAGACCCAAGCCGCGTCTGTAGTACGCAAAGCTGTCTAGAAAGACGTTGGCAGCTGCATAGTTGGCTTGCGCAGGCTGTCCGATGAGCCCTGAGATTGAGGACAGCATCGTGAAGAACTCCAGTTTGCAACCCTTTTCCAGAGCGACGTTGTGCAGATTCCAAGTCCCTGCAACTTTGGAAGTAATCGCTCCGTGGTACTCCTCGTGTGTCATGGTCTCGAAGGGCTTGTCGCGAAGCACCATAGCGCCTTGAACGATTCCTCCGACAGGCATCGTGGCGCTCTCGAATGCATTGCGAACGTCTTCCACTTTGGCTACGTCGCCACGTACCAGATCTACGTGGCAGCCTTCAGCGGCAAGATCTTTCAGCACTGCTTGAGACCTGGGATCGTCGTAGCCACTCCTGCCGACGATGACGACGTTACGAGCACCGTGTCGAGCCAAGTCGACTGCCATCGATCCGCACAGGCCCTTGAGTCCACCTACGATGAGGTACGATAGGTCGTCGCGGAGCTGGAGCGTCCGCGGAGCAGGACGCACTGGCACAACGGGATCCGCATCTGCGAGGCCTTTGTTTGAGATGATGATCTTGCCAATGTGATTGGCGCTTCGTAGGAAACGGAGGGCCGAAGGGATGTCATTGTATGGGAAGAGTACAATAGGGGAGATTGGTTTGACTCCACGCGTCACTATCATGTGCATCATTTTGCGCATGAGCCTGGAGAAGATTAGTCGGCCGTCGTTTTAGTGACAAAGAGAGTGAGTACTCACACTGCAATAACCTCATCCGAAACATGCTTGTGCGACATATCGAAGCAGCGATACGATGCGTTCCGAGCGAAGGGCTCCATGGAGAGTGTATTGCGATCGATGTGATCCTTTTTGCCCAACTCCACCATGGTCCCGCCTTCGGCGATGCAGCGCCAAGATGCGTCGAGCAAGTCTCCGGTGAGCGAGTTGAGGACAATGTCGACTCCATATCCATCGGTGCTATCCATGAGCTGGGCCTCGAAGTCGATGGTTCGGGAGTTGTAAATATGTTCTACAGGTATCGAAAAGGTGTCCTGCAGGAACTGTTTCTTGGCGTCTTGTCCTACCGTGGCGTATACCGTGGCTCCAACCGCCTGGCATATTTGGATGGCTGCTATACCCAAGCCTCCCGTAGCCGAATGGATCAGTACGCGATCTCCCTGCTTGAGGTTCGCGAGGTCAAACAGACTGTACAGTGCCGTCAAGTACACAGACGGTAGTGTCGCAGCGTCTTCGTACGACAGCCACCCAGGTATGGCAATTGTACGCTCAGTAGTGGCGATGATACGATTCGCGAACGTGCCCTTCTCAAATACCAATACGCGCTGACCAACATGGAAGGGTGTGTTGAGCTTCGCGCCAACACGGCGAATAACTCCTGCGCCCTCGAGGCCCAGCAGGTGGTTGTTCTCCGGGACAATGCCCATGGTGACGGCGACATCTTTGAAGTTGAGTGCCGAGGCGAAGAGCTCTACTTCGACCTTGTTATCGGCTAAGGGTAGCTCCTCCGAGTCGACCTCAACGTAGTGAAGCGAATCTATCTGTCCCACGCGCTCGGCGATCAAACGGACCGTTGTTGGAGCTTCGTGAAGCCGCAGATCAACGGGAATGGCGCCAGACGTCTTCGCCTGCTCGGCTGCGTTGATGTCGTCATCGCCAAGGATGCGGCTGACATGAAGAACGCCAACGCGTTCCACGTACTCGCCCTCAAAGCCTTTGATGGACGACACTTTCTGCACTTCCCTTAGTATTAGGTCAATGGAGGGCACTGCATGTTCGTCGGTCGCGTCTTCGATATCGAGAGTTGTAAGCTTCATCGACGGATCTTCGGTGCGAACACTCCTGCACAGGCCGTGAATCATAGCGCCATCAGGGTTCGTGACTTTCCACTGTGCCGACTTGCTGACCCAAAGGATCTTGTTCCTCATCTGCAGGAGCTGCTGCACAGCGATCCATTGCGCAGGCGACAAAGTTGGCAGCTGCGGCGTCTCAAGCTCTGAGATTACCAAGATGGTCGCGTCTTTGCGAATACGTTCACCGAGATCTTCAAGGCGAACGTGCTTGACGTCCCAACTACGATCTGAAAGGTCTTTCGCAATCGCGTCGCAGACCTGCCCAGGTTCGTTCAAGTGTACAACATCGAGAGGCAAGTTGGCCGGTTCGCTTTCTTCGGAAGATCGGACGGCCAGGTATGCATGGGAAAGAGATGCAGAGTCGCTACAGTCCACGGTATGCACTACCTGGAAGCCACAGGAGTCGAAAAGCTCCGCACTATCATGCAAAAAGCCATTCGTTGCAGGTCCACCAGCCAAGCTCTCGTCCACATCCGGGTTCCATGGACAACGCTGCTCAAGTACCAGGACGTGTCCATTGGACTCAAGAATTTTGTGGACGTTACCCATGATCACTTCGGTGGTCTCTTGTGCGCCTGGAGGTAGACGCAGGATAACGAGGTCAGTATCTCGCAGCGACTCGTCAGGCTCTTTCTCAAGAGGCTTGCCCAAATCCAACAGCTGAAACGAAGTCCTAGGCACATGTTCGTACTTGCTCTGAGCGTTGATGATTGCAGGGGCGTCGTTCGTTAAGAGGGTGTAGCTCTTGAAAGCGTTTCGAGTCTTGGAGGCGGAAGACAACCCCTCGAGCCAAACGCTAGCCGATTCTCCTGGAATCAGTGAAGCTTCGATTACCTTTGCATTCGCCTTCTTGTGCGCGATCAGATCCTCGATCTCTTGAACCTGTTGCCAACCCGCGGCTTTGATCGACCCGCAGGCCTGTGGGCTCAGTGTAAGATCTGGACCCCAGACCAATCTGCTGTACGAGTGAGCAGCGTACGGATTATCCTGGAAATCGAGCATGTGGTAGTGCAGGCCAGTCAACTTAAACACGAGGCCGCCCGTGGTGGGATCGTAAACCTTAGCACTGGACGAATGGTTCTTGGCGAGATCTTTGCGGCCAGGCCCGGAAAATACAGTCTTTGATACCGAGATCGCGGTCCCAAGCAGACCTGTGTCTGTCCTGACGACGACATCGTCGATGATGGCAGGCACGAGCACCGCGTTGACGCTACTCTTGATGCCGCGCCAGAGCCCCGGGGCGCAGGATTGCATGCAGCCGTCGAATACTGCAGGATGGATAGGATATGCTGACTGCGTAAAATCGGATTCTGGGAAGCTGAAGTCGACTTGAGATCTACATTGTCTTGATCCGGATGTTGCTTCAACAGACTGAAGTTTCTGGAAGGCCTTGCCGAAGTTGTAGCCCACATCAGACATCGACTTGTACCAAAGAGCTGCTGGGGTAGCATGCTGTAGTGGATTAATGTAACTTCCAGCTGCGGGCATGTCGGTGTCTTTCTCCATGCGGACCTGGCCTTTGCAGTGGTCCACCCAAGAGTCTGCAACGAGAGACCTCACAACCCAGAAATACCAAGAGTCTTTCAAACTGGCAAAAGGTGCAAGCGTCAGCATGATCTTGGTATCCTTTCCTTCTTCCAGGACAAGTGCCTTGTCGAAAGAGACGTTGCGCAGACGGACTTGCTGTTTGTGCTTCAGGACTACGCCAGTCTGGGATCTGAGGACTGCGTCCGTTTGCATCATAGCTTCGATGGCCATGCACATGTAGCCAGCTCCAGGGAAGACGATATCGGGGCCAAGTCGGTGGTCTCTCAACCAAGGAAGATCTCCAAGCCTGAGGGACTTCTTCCATGCGGGCGCTTGCCAGGCTGTTCCGAGTACCTTGGATCCCAAGAGGTCGTGATGAGGGAACTTCCGGTCTCTCCACTCTTGACTCGCTTCGTTCTCGTACCAGTAGTTAGTGCTGTGGTTCCAGGAGTAATTGGGCAAGTCAGTCACCACTTTGCACCGCGCAGGAATGCAGTTGACCTTGGTAAAGTCCACGTCATAGCCAGCGACAAACAGGCGCCCTGCAACGTCAAAGATCGCGTTTTCTGCGTCTTTACCACGCGTCAAGGCGGAGCAGTATTGCACTTTTGAACCGCCTCCAGGCAGTGCTTTCTTGACCTGTGTAGTCGGTCCGGCCAATGCACCAGACGGCCCAACTTCAATAAGAAAGTTGACTGATTCTCCACCAAAGAGCATGTGGTCGAGCGCTTGTTCAAACCTTACTGGTTGCACCATGTTGTGCTTCCAGTACGCAATATCCACTGAACGGTTAACCAGATCTCCATCGACGGACGAGAACATCTTCGTCTTAGAATGACTACCCGTTGTACGAAATGATTCGGCCTCAAGACATTTGACGTATTCTTCTCCTGCAGCTCCCATGAAGGATGAGTGGTACGCCATGTCGACCTGAAGCATGCGAGCGAAGTGCTGGTCCGCTACTAACTCGACGCGCACAGCATCCAGACTATCAACGGTTCCAGATAGGGTAACACTGTTCGGGCTATTGTAACAGGCGATCGTAACGGCTTTCGATCCCGGATGTGATAGTCTAGCCTTCGCAATGTAGGGGTGGACATCTTCTGCTCCGATGCCAACAGCCATCATTCCCATCTTGGCGGTTTGCAAGCCACGGGTCGCCTTCGATGCATACCCACGATAGTAGGCGGCCTTGATTGCATCATCTTCCGTCAAGAGTCCAGCTGCATATGCAGCAGCGATCTCTCCTGAAGAATGACCCACTACGGCTTCAGCATGGATGTCCCAGTTGCGGAAGACAGTGACGATAGCTATCTGGAGCGCTGTGACGAGCGGCTGTGAGAACTCAGGGTCACGCAGTTTCTCCGGGCTCCGGGCTTCAGTAAGTTCCTTGAGAAGAGACCATTCAGGTGGATGTATCAGACCTTGAAGGACTTTATCGAGTCGTTCGATGACCATTCGCGCTTCTGCAAAGTTCTGGAGCAGTGCTTTACCCATCTGCGACCATTGAGCGCCTTGTCCAGTGAAAATGAAGCCGATCCTTGGAGCATCCGAGGTCTTCTTTCCGTAGGCAATGGCGTTGGAGTCCATTGATAGGTCTTTCGCAATGAAGTATCCTCGATGGAAGTGTCGAGAACGTCGCTCTGAGAGCGTGTAAGCAAGGCCAGGCAGGTCTACAGTTGTCCTTGGATCCAAAAGGTGTTTGCGCAAAGAAGCGGTATAAACTTTGATCGAGGTTTCGTCGTTTGCAGAGAAGAGCAAAACGTGTGGCCTGGAGACTGCAACGTCATCCGCTAGAAGATCCTCAAAGCCGTCACCGATCGAAGACACAAAGTTCTTCTTCTCCTCAGGTACTTGGTCAATGATGACATGAGCATTCGAGCCGCCATACCCGAAGGAGTTAACACTCGCACGTCTGGGACCACTTTGAGCAGGCCAGGGTATCGTGTACCGCGTTGCGCGGACTCTCGAGCCCTCGAAGTCGATATTCGGGTTGGGGTCGATGAAGGTAGGGTTACCTGGAATTTTCCCCTTCTCTACAGACATGATGGCTTTCATGAGCCCTGAGATACCGGCTGCTGGCTCTGAGTGACCGACGTTACTCTTGATCGATCCCATTATCAGAGGTGCGTTCTCAGGTCTCGAGGAAGAAAACACTGACGCAACACCCTTGACTTCTTGGGGGTCACCAGCTTGTGTTCCAGTGCCATGCATCTAGATGATATTAGCTCAACGCTGTGATGTAAATAACACAAGACAGCATACCTCAATGTAGCCGGTGGCTGACAAGTTAGTGATACCGGCGTTGGCATAAGCAGCCCTGGTGGCCTTTGCCTGAGCCTCAGAACTGGGGCTTGCGATGCCCGGAGTTTTGCCATCACTGTTCGTAGAAGTACCACGTATGATCGCTCGGATCGGATCGCCATCTCGCTCCGCGTCGCACAGGCGCTTCAGCATCACACAGTTGATAGCTTCACCTTTGATGTATCCGTCGGCTTTCTTATCGAAAGTGTGGCAGCGACCTGAGAGCGAGGACGCTCCCTTCATTGGCCCGCTGTCCATGTTGTGTTCCGGGTTGAAGTAGAGGTTGGCACCCGCAACAAGAGCACCGTCGATCTCGCCGCTCGAAAGATATCGGCATGCCACATCGACACCGACAAGACTTCCCGAGCAGGCTGTATCAATCGTCATACTTGGTCCGTGGATGTTCAGGAAGTGACTGATGCGGTTGCTAAGAATGGCACGACCAACGCCGATGGTGACAGAGGGAGCTCGATCATCAGGGTCTCTGGCTTGCATATCGGCGTAATCGACTCCGTAAGAGCCCACGAAGCAGCCGATTGCTTCGCCATCAAGCTTCTCGAGAGGAATTCCAGCGTTTTCGAGACACTCGTAGACGACTTCCAGAAGTTGGCGCTGTTGCGGGTCCATGGCAATAGCATCAAGCTTGCCCGTGCTGAAGAAGGCGGCATCGAATTTCTTTGGATCGATGTTCTCGAGGAACATTCCACCTGGCGATCTCATGGTCTTCGGCTTCTTGGATCCGTCGTGATGTGTATCGAGGCGAAATCGACTTTGTGGTGGTGTATTGTCTGCGATGCCACCACGCTCCAGGAAGTCCCATAGCGCATGTGGGGAATTGCTGTCTCCAGGAAGACGACATCCCATTCCAACAACAGCGATAGGTTCTTGTGTGTATCTACGGGGCTTCGGAGCAGTAGAAGCCGCTGAAGTTCGTTGGTTGAGACCGTAGTCCTCATGGCCTGAATCGTTGATAACCATTGTTGAAGCAGGAGGTAATCAAAGGTTTGCAATGGTGAAGACGGAAAGAATCTGATCTAGTGTATCAGCGAGAGCTATAAGTGTTAGCACGAAGTTATATAAATAAATTGTGAGTCTCGAGCTCACTCTATTCTTTCTCTATCTCGTCCGGAAAGGTTCGTCCTTGTCTACAGGCCTCTAATGTGTAGTACGCACAGCAATGCTAGGAGGAGTTTGGCAAGGGAGTCGAGAAAGTGCAAACTTCCCGATAAAGAAAGAACTTTGCTGAGATCTTGCAGAGTGAACTGTGATGGATACGTAATTACAGCGATTGGTTTACTCGCGATTGTGATATTGTATCACTGAGGACTATCTGTCTCTACCAGCTTGCACAGGACCTCGTTCTTGCGCACCGTAATCTCTGACGTTGCGTATCATGAGCCTGGAACTAGACAGCCAGGCGTTCATGACACCATCAGCTTCATGTCGTAGACAGTTTGCACTCTTGCGTCTGCAAAGTAAGCCTCGCAGTTGTTGAGACTGGTAGTAACATGGTATGATGACATTTGAGAGATAACGCGAAAAATGGTAGCTTCTTGGTACTCTCCTAGGGTTGTTGTGCTACCCTGACTTCGGTGGTTGCTTCCGGATTCGGACATATCCGTGGGGTGAACATGTGGGGTTGATAAAGCCTCCAAGGATCAGCCTCGCCAACTGCTCGCAATTGTTATTGGTCGCTCGGATTCCGAAATCCACCCAATCAAGTCCTCTCAAATGAGAAGTATCGTCAACGCAAAAACTTAGTCACTCAGGCTATCAGACCTGCTGACAGTCAGCAAAGCCTTACTGAAAGGTGTCGGGGTGGACCACAATTAATCTATGAAGCTGATGTGAGATTATGGGTTTTGAACAAAGCTGGATAGTAGGCATACATCTGCAATGTTTCCTCCAAATCGGTTGCGATTGGTGTAACAGCAGATGACTGGACAGGGATTATGCGGTCAGCACATAGTGCCACCATTAACCTCCGGGCATAATTCGGTCCGCAACAATATGTACTCAGCTGAACTCGTCGGTGATTTTCGATTATTTTGCATAAGTTTGTGACCCAGCGTCAGGTAGTGACCCAGCGTCAGGTAGTGACCCAGCGTCAGGTAGTGACCTTGCGTAAGGCTCTGACCCTGCGTTCATGTAACGTTTGAAGCTGATTTTCCCGTGGTGTAAGTTTCCGCAATGACTGACGGTAGGCGTACTCTCCGGGTGATGTATTACGGTAGTGGGTATCGAATTCATGTCAGTAGTGGGCGGTATACGAAATACTTCCAAACTACGAAACCCCTTCGAGAATTGATATTCTCAAAGACGGCTTGAGATACGAAGCAACTTCCGAATCCGTGACAACGTTGAACTCCTCCAGAACCCTTACATAATCAAACAGCATCATGGCAATCGATATCCAGGAAGTTGAGTTCAAGACCATCGATGGTCTCACTTTGCGTGGTGACCTATATAATTCTCCTGTGTCATCCGGAAAGGGGCCGGCGGTCATTATCACACCAGGTGTATGTTTAATGGTATCTCGAGGGACTGATCAGACCAAAAGCTGACAACGATAGTTCAATTGCGTCAAAGAGATGTTTGTACCAGATGTCGCCGAACAATTCCAGAAGAACGGCATCACGGCACTGATCTATGATCCGCGAACGCTCGGTTTGAGCGATGGGTTGCCGCGAAACGACATCGATCCAGCGAGACAAGTGTCCGACTACTCCGATGCAGTCACTTTTGTCAAGAGTCTTCCAAACGTCGATCCCTCTATGATTGGTATCTGGGGTATGTCGTTCAGCGGTGTCATTGCACTGTCCGCTACAGCTCTAGACCCACGCATTCGCTTCTGCATCGCGATCTGCCCGCTCTTGAACCTCGAGTACGAAGCATCCAAGTTTCCCAAAGTGCTTGCCAAACTTCAACAAGACCGAGAGTCGCAGCTCACGGGGAATAAGCCTTTATATGTCCCGGTCTTGACGGCCGAGGGCAAGAATCCTGCTGGCATGGGTTTGGGAGCAGACAAGGAGGAGTTTGACTAGTAAGTCGAACAATAATTAGCAGTGGTGAGTATACAGCTGACCAGTATTCGCAGTATGGTCAACGCCAAGTCGCGTGGTGCCCCGCGACATGAAAACCACACGACGTTTCAATCGTACTACAAGATAAAGTTATGGCAACCACAAGGTATCATGCGATACCTAGACCGTACACCCGTGTTGATGGTAGTGCCGGAGCTGGACCAGATTTCGCCACCCGAGGCGCAGATCGCGCTACATGGAACGTTTCCGGAGCCGAAGGTGTTGCATATCGCTCCTGGCAAGGGACATTTGGATGTCTTGAGTGGAGACGACTTCCCCATGCTGTCCACTTTGCAAGCGGATTTCGTCAAGAAGATTGTCGCAGTTTAGTTGCGACAAACTGACCCACATCCGCCTGCCCTTGGACGGGCATAGATAGTTTGGCTTTCGCATGAATGACATATCAACCACTCATTACAACGCTTTTATCACGCTCATATTTCATCAGTCTCGACTATGGCTAGTCGTTTAGACCGAGTCCGTGACCGGTACTTATGTGAGCTGGAACAACCTACGACTATGTACGTAGTCCCCAATACTGTTGATACACACCTACGCCGCCTACAAAGGCTCCAAATCACCACTGAGAGCTGAAAAGAGAGTCTTGAGTGCCATTTGTGTATACCATCAACGATGCGAAAAGTTGTAGACATGAAATCGCGTTGGGATACTTTGAATAGTCAAGAGTGTGATGGTGAGGGTTCTTCAAGTAATCTCACAGCCGGGAAAGTATCAACATCTCTTTACTCATGCCAGAGCAAATGGCGACGAAGAAAATCTTCAAACGTACTGAATGCATTCTAATAAAAGCACTCTAATACGACCACTTTAATGCGATCCTTCTAAAATATAACACGGCCATTCCAATACAACCGCTCAAGTCATATGCTGCCTACTGCGGCACATTATATACCACAGATATACAGCTGACCATGCGATATACTCATTCATGTTCAATGCGCAGGGCAAAGTCGACCATCAAAAGCCACCTCCAACGCATCAGAACCTACAGCAGTGACAGCCCAAAAGACATTCTCCGGATCCAACCTACGTTTAATATCCAATAACCTCGGATAGTTAGTACCATAAAACTGCGTCTTCCAGTCAATCAGCGGCGAAAAGTTTGCTTCGTTCAAGTGCGTGCCCGTGTCCTCTGGTACAAGGTCGTCAATGCGCTTTTGCGCGAAACCGACAAGCTGGTCCTGCAAATGCTGCTTCTCAGACCAGGAAATCGATGAGTTGAAGTAACTCTGAATGAGCAATGTGTTGACTGCGGTGCGCCAGCTGGGCATAACGGAATTAGGTGCAACGGGCTTGCGGAGAGGCGTGATGGAGACGTCTTGGGCGGTTGAGCCGATGATGATTTGTGTGGTATCGGTGATTTCGCGATACGCAGCGATGATCGCGGCTGGGTCGGCTTGACTAACTTCAAGGGGAATGAGACGGCCTGTCATGAGCTCACCGATGACGTAGGCGCCCCATGGTGCGGGGCCGAAGTATGTTACGAAATGGTCCAGATACGTGGGCGTCGAGGTGATGGTGAGGTTGTAGTCGATATTGAGAGAGTCGAGCTTCGTGGTGAATTCTGACAGCAAGCCACGCATCTGGTCTTTGGTGTAGTCGGGCCGTGTGACTGCTTGCAGATAGAATTGTAGTGGTAGGGTAGCGAAGGATGATTGCGCTCCGCCAGCGTTGAGTCCGGGGAGTGCTTCTTGGAAATAGGTGAATGCTTTCCAGAAGGTGTCGTTACTCATCTGACTGCGATCAAAGACGATTGATGCGCCGCCGACAGGTCCGTCAGGGAATGCACGCAGTGTGACCGCGGTGACGACGCCAAAGGTAGATGGACCAGCTCCGGCGAGTGCCCAGTAAAGGTCCTCGTTATCCTCAGGTGTAGCTTTCACGAACGTACCATTCGCGAGGACTACCTCCCATTCAAGCACATTGTCAGAAGCCATTCCATAAACGCCAGAGAGAGGTGAGTGGCCGCCACCCTGGAGAAAGCCTCCCGCAATACCAACAGTGGCACAATCGCCACCGACGACCCGGAGGCCAGCATCGTGAGCACCCTTGTATGCCTCATAGCCTCTGACGCCTGCACCGAGCTTCATTGCTGGCCCCTTGTGCCAGGGTTGGCTGTAGTTATGGATTGGTTGGATGGAGTTGAGATTGTGAGTCCAGATACCCAGCGACCCCTGACCAACTGACTTTCCATTGAAGTCGTGGCCAGTGTTCTTGATGCTGACTCTGATCTTATGCTCATACGCAAATGTAAGTCCAGCCGAAACATCAGCGGGATGGCTAACATTAATTGCATAGACAGCCAGATGGCCAAGCTCACATGGCGTTGAACGATCAGTCCATGGGTCGCAGGTTGAGTTCTGGAACCAATAACTCATTGGCGTAGTGGGATCGTCTTCATAGGTAACTGGTAGCTGCCAATTCTCGCGCAGATGGTTGCACTTCTCCTCGTCGTAGGTTGGGTCGTGGCAAGCTGCGCCAAGTGGTACGGATGCAATGAGTCTGCCCTCAATTGTCGCGTTGAGTATGTCCCATTGCGATTTGACTGGCCAGGCAGCATCTCCTGGTAGGACACGGCATTCCGTGTTGTTGGCGTATTGGTTGGCAGAAACGGTGGCAGCCGAGAGTATCATTGTAGCAAGCGCTACCAATATCGGTTGGGGTATCAGGACTCTCTTGGAATATCGGATTGAACGAGACGCCGTTCAGAGAGAACGATATAAAACGAGGGTATTTTATCTCTTCCAACGAAAGAAGCCGAGGTGAAGAGACTGTTCGACGCGGTTTGTCTGACTGATCATGGGAGCCTTTTTCGACATTTATATCCGCATGAGAATATCGCTTTCCCTCACCAGAATTGCCTCGGCAGTTGTACGGACCTGAAAGTTGCCTCTTCTGAAACCGCTCAGCTGTGGCTTCAAGACCCGCGCCACCAACTGCAGACCTTGTTGAACGCCCGACCCACAAAGAGTTCTGGCCTCGTAAGCTGATTGTATGCCGCGGCGAAGAGGACCCTGAGTATCTAAATCATGGCTTCGGTGACTCAAATTGTGGTTGTCAAATGCTTACCAGTACGGCGGCTGAGGCTTGCTGACCCAACAGCTGGGCCGTTGGAACCGGGGCTCATTGTATGCACGTTCTTCCCGTGCTGATATTCTATCGGCGAATCTCACTACAGTAGTGACAAGCTAGTGTATCTCGTATCCGCGGTGGTAATGGGAGCCAGACCTGAAGCGACGTCCGACTGGGTCCAGAATGGGCCAGTATGATCACTTGGGGCGGTTCTGGTGCATGGCTAATCAGTTGGCCATGGCGCTTGACCAGATTGTCAAAGAAGTGGTATCTTTCCAGTACTGTCGATTCTGTGGCGGGTTGAAGCCGTCTCGTGTAATGCTGTCGTCATGTGAGTGGGGGTACAGTAAAGTCCCACACACATGGCCTTTAGTACAACACAAGGGCGGCCCAAAATAAGCAATCACGCAAAACAGAAACACGGGCTGCTCATTTCGGATGACACGTTCCGAAATCTTGACGTAGGAAGTAATTCTATCCTTCTAAAATAATCTAAACGTATTACAAGAGGTGTGGTAAAGAGTAAATCTCAGATAAAGTACACACGCCGAGATCATGCAAAAGCAGACCATCGCATACGCAGAGGTACTCCTCAAATGAGAGAGATCGCAACTATCAGACTCAAGCAGCAGCTGCAGGCTTTGCACCCTTCACACTCTTCCATTCGCCTGCAAAAGCCAAGAGAAACGTGATCGCAGATAGAACAGTCGCAAAGAGCCACGAATCTTTGAGACCCAACATGTAGGATTTGAGTACAGCGACGAGATCAGCCCCCTGAAAAGCGTCACGAATCTCCGTTGCACCCACCGCAAAGACCTGCTCGGATGTAATGTTGGGCGCGAGCTCTGCCAGTGCCGAGATGAGTCGGTTGTTGAGCAGTGTCTGCGACGCCGATACACATATCGCTCCCGCCACTAGCTGGAAGAACATGACTATCGACGTGACTACTGGTATGTCCTCAGGGGCCGAGAAGGCCTGTGCGACAATGACGGGAGCCTGGATGGCTAATCCGATACCCATACCAACCAGAATCTGGAACCCTACCACTTCCGCGACCGTGGAGTCAAAGTCGAGCGTGTATACGAGGCCGGCCCCAACCGTGAGTAGAGCAGAACCACTGATGAGGAAGATGTGGTAGTAGCCGACCCGGCCAAGGACGAAGCCACTTGCAAGGACGAAAGCTGACGTTGAGAGAATGAGTGCGAGGTTTCTGATACCACTCTGTGTGGCGGATAGGTTGTTGATGACCTGAAAGTATTGTGGGAGATTGTATACAAGGAGGAAGTTGGTCGAGTTCAGACTGCGAGTACGTCGTTAGCGATCAGAACAACATCTTGGCGGTAGGATACGAACAAGAAGATAAATGCCGATAGTGCTGCGACTGTCCGCTGCGTCATTATTCGGGTAACGAGGGAGGCATTTTCGCCCGCTCGCCACTGTAAGACGGCAAAGAGAACAGCCATGATCACACTGCCCACTAGCGTACCAATGACGTCGGGAGAAGACCATGGCTTCAAGGTACCACCCCACTGCATAGCCAGCGTAAAGCTGACAAGCGCACCCATGCCGAGGATGATACCTGGGATGTCCATGACCAAAATGAGTTCTTTTCGGCCGATGGGTGCTGGCTTGATTGAGGCAGGCAGATGAAAATAGATGAAGATGATCAAGAGGGCGAAGCCACCTATAGGCAAATTGATGTAGAATCTGGATTGTGGGGTTCAGCGGTAGACAGAAAAACACCATAAGATATCACACTCACACCCATCGCCAGCTCACCTCGCCAGTGAGCGCACCACCAAGTGGAGGGCCAGCAACACTTGCGACACTAAACACGGCGCCGATGAGGCCAATGTATGTTGGGACCTGCGTGGGCGGCACAATATAGGCCATGGCAGTATACACGCCGCCAGTAACGCCAGCTCCACCAAGCCCGGCGATGGCTCGACCGACGACGAAAGTAATACTGTTTTGTGAAACGCCTAGGGTTCGTTGAGATGATGCGTCCGCCAAGATTGGACAGGGTGAACGTACCACAGATTAAGCTGCCGACCTCGAACAAGACGACTGCTACCACAAACGTGACCTTGATATTGAAGTGCTTATATGCTTTGCCCCATGCTGATTGGAATATGGCCAATGTGATGAAGAACGCAGCAGCGTACCAGCCGACATCAGGGGCCGACTATGGAGGGTATCAACTTGGGACACATCAATGCTGCCAGTGCTTGAAGACTTACATGGAAATCATCTGTGATGCTTGGGATTGCAGTCGCGATAATGGTCTAGTGAGTGGTTGGCGACTATGCGCCAAATGCAAAAAGAGTGACTGCTTGTGACATACCATATCAAGGGCGATCTATGGTTGTAATTGGTTAGCCTGCATATGGTATTGCAGAAGTCCAGCCCACTCACCAAGAACATGCTCAACAGCAGAGCGAAAACAACCAGAAAAAATGGCAGCCCACTCTGATAGTCAGATCCAGGCTTTGCTTGGCCATTCTCGGTAGAGCTATGTTGAGCGAGACTGTTGGTAGTTTCTGGTTTATCGCGCTCGCCGGCTACCGGAGGTTGTTCACTAGAAGCCATCTCGTTATGGAAGCCGGGCTTTGGGAGAATTGTAGAATGTGATAGTCAAAGATTGGTATTACGTGCGTGAAAAAGCGAGTGCTGCAATACAGGCAAGTGAGTGAGCTGAGGTACGTCTGTGAGGGCCTGTGGTCGTCTGTCGCCAGCGCTCCATCACATCTGAGGTGACTGAGCGCAAACGTGCAACATTTGTCAGCCATGTCGCACTAGGGAGGCGCGATAGTCACGGATGCAGTCGCAGTCGTGTTCGTCACTTTGTCACTTTGTCAGTGCTGCTTACCTTACCTTACCTTAGCTCGTGTGGGGTTAAATGTTAAATGGTTAAATTAAAGGCGCTAACTTGCTTACCGTGCATGTCAGTAATTCTCCGCGGGAGCCAGCAAGGTTCGCCTTGACCTTAACGTGCAGGACGTCCCGACGCGTCTCACGGGCCGCTGTAATTATGCATGGTAAGGCGCTAACAGGCCTACATGTCTGACTAATAAATATATTTTGATCCTTCGATCTCACGTGACTTTCTACAGCAGTCCCCCGAACACCGTCTCAACAACGTCACAAATCTCTTCCGTGTAAGCCCTAGGTATCTCATGCCCACCATGATGCTGCAATACCACCTTGTAATCCTCCTGACACAGCCCAACCAAATCCTTACTGTGGCACAACCACTTATCCTGCGTACCCATGACATGTCCCGTCGGCAATCTGATGCGCACCTCGTCAGCCGTGGGGTGAAACATCTGGTACTGCACATTATCGCACGAAACCCGCTCCAGCTGCGCGGGATTACGCAGATACGCAGGGTCCGTCAGCAAGTGGGGTGGTATGCGATCCGGGCGGGTGTGCGCATTTGGAAGCGTGTTGGGAACGCCAAAGTAAGCCCTCGCATCAATCCCTACTTGTGTAGTTCTGGCAAATGGTATGGGCGAACCGATGAAAATTGCGGCTTTGAAGGACAACGGCGTGGATTCTAGTTCCTCGTGCAACAGTAGAGAGGCTGCTATAGCAGCGCCCTGGCTGAAGCCCATGACTGCGTCGAAGGGGCCGTGGGTTTTGATGATCTGCCGGATTTGCTCATGCGCGTCCTTGACTTTCTCAACGGTCGGAGTGTTGTACCAAGTGAGATACGGGGGCGGGTAGTGGTCGCGCACTTCCTCCGCTGGTTCGCATTCGTATTTGCCATCGAAGAAACGGAAGTCGTAATCTGCAGGCAGCATCTCGCGTAGGTCCTCTATTGGTTGGTAAGATTTTATATACTACGCTGACCTTGGTATCATTTACCTGTCTGTTTCTGGAAGACGGCTGAGTTCACCCCCTGCCCGTGAAGACAGAGTACACGCACTGGCATGATTGGCTGTGGGGCTGTCAGTACCTTATACGAGCAAAAAACTGAAAAGGTCTAGAGCCTACATTGACATAAAAAGATGCAAAGTAGGTAGCCCAACGTCGACGTAGGCTCTAGGATGTTCTGTCTTTTTCTAGGTTGACGTGGCAGTTTTGTTGGAGGTCCAGCAGCGGGGCCATCCGCTGCTTGTGCCTTTTTTGTGTCCCTTTGGCTTCAGAAAGCGCTAGTCGTTTGCTTCTTACTATAGCGTAATGCACCTATGTAACGCTGACTGCGATCGGTAGTGACATGAATTTTCAGTCTGTAAGCTCTTTAGTCCACGTATGATCGCATGACAGTGTAGCGAACGGAAACGATTACTATGCATAGTTCTCACGTGATCGATGTTCTCCATATGGCACCAGAACTTGGCAATTAAGGCATCACACATGAGGAGCCTAGATCTCTAGTGAAGTCCATCGGTCGCAAGACGCTGCCTGGTCGCAACATGGCTTTCGAGCAACTTGAAGAATTTTGGCGGTCCTTATACAGCACCACACTGCGCTTGATTCTGCCCGCAACTCTCCTCTTACTGTGGGGAACATCGCTTGCGATATATCGTCTTTTCTTCAGTCCGTTAACCAAATTCCCTGGGCCCAAGCTTGCCGCAGTCACGGGATGGGTAGAAACATACCACGACGTCTTTCGGGGCGGTCAATTGATCTTCAAGCTCGGAGAATGGCATGAAAGATACGGTTCGTCATCCGATCAAATCCTTTGTCAATTGGGCATACGTTGATTGATGACAGGTCCCATCGTGCGCATTAACCCTTGGGAGGTGCACATCGCAGATCCGGATTTCGTGCAAGTCCTGTTCGCCAGCAACTCTCAGTTCGACAAGAAAATCGAGTGGAAATATCGGACTGGTATCCCCCATTCGAGTTTCGACACTATCGAGCACCAGCAGTAAGGCAGCATGAATCCATCCACCCCGCAGCATCAACTGACACCTCGCAGCCATCGAATGCGCCGGTCGGCGGTGGCGCCATTCTTCTCCAAGCAGAAGATATCGGGCATCACTGACTTTATCAGTCAAAAGGCGCAACGGCTGTGTGATCGGCTAGAAACCGAGTTCGCGGGTTCGGGCAGACCAGCCATTATGAACAACTGTTTCACAGCAATGACATTCGATGTCATTACGCACTACGCTTTTGCGCGCTCGTTCGAGTACATGGAAGATCCGAACTTCGAAGCGCCCTTCACCAACGCGGCGAAGGAGCTCGCAACGACGTTGCATACCATGGGCCACTTCCCATGGCTCTTGTCTCTGTTGCAGGGGCTGCCGCAAAAGTGGTCGGTGGCGATGAACCCAGCCATGGGCGCTATCTTCGGATTTCATGGGGTGAGTCTCGTGGGTCTTCGATGAGATTGTTGGTGCTGAATCCACCTAGGAAATCGAAGAACAGATCCGCGCCATCAAGTCTGGGTCTAATGATGCGCACAAGGATGTCGAACATAAGACGGTGTTTAGCGAGCTTCTCAGCTCTGACCTGCCTACCGAAGAAAAGGCGGTTGAGAGACTCAAGCACGAAGGTAAGCCTGTAGACCTGTTCAGTGTTTTTTCTATATGAGGTGGCACACCCCACTCACATGTCCAGGCGGCTCCATCGTTGCAGGCGGCGTTGAAACAACATCAACCGCCTTGTCCAAAGCTACCTTCTACATCCTCGAAAACCCGGCTATTGCGGCAAGGCTACGTGCAGAACTAGATTCCGTGTTTCCAGATCCGCGTATAACCCCGTCCTTAGCCACATTGGAAGCACTGCCGTACCTCAGCGCAATCGTCAACGAGACCCTTCGCGTCACGATTGGCATCTCCTCACGCACAGCGCGCAAGTCGTGCAAAGCGCCCATCGCATTCAAAGACATCATTATCCCAGCCGGTGCCGACTTTAGCATGACGGCCTACTACACTCACACAGACCCACGTATCTGGGATGAGCCGCATGAGTTCATGCCCGAGCGCTGGCTTGGGAAGGCGTTGGCGAAGAATGGCGAGCCACTAAGTAGGTACCTGGTTGCGTTCAGTAAGGGCCCAAGGATGTGTCTTGGGATCAATCTGGCGCGCGCAGAGCTGTATATTGGACTGGCTGTTGTTTTCCGTAGGCTTGGACTCGAGTTATTTGAGACTGGGCGAGCTGCGGTGGAGATGAAGGCCGATTATTTCATTCCGTTTCCTGATCGGGCGACCAAAGGAGTGAGAGTATTGGTAAAGTGAGCGAGAGTCTGGGGATAGCAGTATCGATCGCTCGGAGGCACAAGTTAGGTGCAGGCTCGAAACACTCGTTGTTTCTTACTGTTTATTAGCCCGAAAATTCATGAGTCCCTTTAATAGACTCTGTGTTGCTTTACTGCACTTTGGCTAATGCCTACAACAGCGATAACAAGCCACGGCTATTCTTCGCGTGAAATCCCTCGATCCTTCGCTGCGAGAGTTTCCTTGAATTTGTCACAGCTCAACTTACCTTTCGCACGCTTGTTCAGATCACCACCATGTCGGACCAGGACCTCGACTACCTCCATCGAGCCGAGAGAAAAGGCCATATGCACGGGAGTCCAGCCATGAACATTCATGGCGTTGGGGTTTGCACCGGCTTTGAGTAGTCTTAACATCACCTTCACATGTTTACCAAGACTGGCCCTATGCAGAGCCGTGTTGCCGTCGCTGTCGGGTTCATCGACGGTGTACCCCGAGCCCAGCAGCAGGCCTACGAGGCTGTCATGACCGGCCTCGGCCGCGATGTGGAGGTTCGTCTGAAAGGGCTCGTCGTCTTCTAGATCGTTGTCTTGTCCAAAGCGGCCGTCGACAAAGAGGTTTGGAGTGGTGATACAAGTGTTGATTTGTGACTTGCACCCGTGTTAGCGATTAGCCATCTTCATGACATGTCTCGAAATTTACCGTATCGTTGCTGCTTTCAGATCCACTCTGGGTGCGACTCGCTCCTGTGTCAGGCCACGTGGTTCTGTTCGTGTCTTGATTGGAGTAGAAGCCCCCAGCGTCGTCAGTACTGAAGACCATGGCCTCGGCTGGAGGGACGTGGGGCCATAGCACAGCGTGACGTGACTGCGTCATAGCCGGTGGGAAGTTGAAGTCGGTCATGTTCATGTGCGGACTGCATGTCACTCAGCCAGATCTCCACGCCATAAGCCAGGCGGCAGGAGCATTGAGAGTATCTTACTGTGGCCGCAGCGATGACGAAGTAAGCGGATCCTGAAGTTGGCGAAGCAGCCCTGTAATCGTGGCGTCCCCTTGTAGTGTGTGGCTGTCAGTGGCGGTCGTTGATGGGGGCGTCGGGTCTTGCTCCGACGTCTGTAGTCCAGTTGCGTGGGGGTGGGAGAGCCTTCCCTCACTGCCCCATGCCAGCACATCGTGGTTTGACTGCAGGCGCGGCTGTATGGCTGGCCCGCTCGCTGTAGCTGCAGCGGACGGTGCCGCCGTTGTCGTGAACGGCTCTCCTCCGTTCTGAGTCGCCTTCTTGCCTGCAGTGCCCGAACGGTCAGCATCAAAGGGCCGAGTAGCCGCAGAGACCTCAACGAGGATAGAGGGCGCCGTTGACTCAGACTAGGGACCGGCCTGGGTTCGGGCCTTATAGCAGTCTAAACCACTTACTGCGAAAGCGCCGCTGTGCGTGTCGGTTCTGTATCTTTCGCCGTTCCACGGCATCCATGGTGGGTTGCATGGCTACGGCACGGGCTGTTGGTAAGCCTCTTCGTCTGTGGTAAGCCTCTTCGATTGTGATTCTTCTGGCCAGCTTATGTGTAAGGCGGACAGGAGGCTTGAGCTATATAGCGAGTGAGAATAGCTAAGATCTCACGCTGATTACTGCGCAGGGTCTGAGGCACCTGCTGAAGACGGGGCCGAGTGCTGTGGGTTATCTCAGCCCGGCGCGGAGTTTGGGACCCTATCTAGCGCCAACGACTAACGTTGTCTGGGTTAGGTAGGTCACGTGATGACAATGCGGCCAATCAATCGGCGGCTCAGGGTACATTGCAACACACTTCGCACCATGCCACATATTCAGCTACCCACAAGCTTACACATACACGGTGAGAACTTCAGCACGTTAACCTAAGAAAAACCTAAACAGGTCTGCAGGCTACATCAACATAGAAACATGCAAAGTAGGTGACCTAACGTCGATGTAGGCTCTAGACCTATTCGTTTTTATCTTGTATGAGGTGTCAGGCCGACACTGACGACTATCTAAAGCGTTGCTATCTTGTGTCATGTAGAATACGCAATTAACTATAGGATCTGCTCATGGAAGGACTGAGCCGCGCAAGCACCTCGGTGGTTCCAGACCGAGTTACGCCTCAGCCTGTGAGTATCGCTTACTGGATGCTTCCGACAATATACGCTCATTGGGCTTGCTGTCAAGGATGCTCGGACGTCTCATACATTCAAACTAAACTAGCTGAGAACGAATCGAGGCCCTACCTACGACAGGACAGGATGCTATCTGCATCGTTCAGGTGCGATCAGCCTCGGAGGTCTCACACAAGTTATCATGGCTGTGGCGGCCGACGGGAAGCGCCCAACGAATTCACATCAGCCAAGTATTGCATCTGGTACGGAAAAGCATGGGGCGTCTGCGTCTGCCAAATCAAACCGTGGAGCTTCTGAGGATCACGCCTCCACCAACTGACGCGATCAACGGCAGTGACATTCAGGCATCCTCTGGGGTGAAATCTACAGGCCTCGATCTTACCAAGATGTTCTTTATCAAGCCACATGGTCTAAACAGTGGTGGCTTGCGAGAAGAGGGCAAGCCTTTTGGGGCGGCAACGAGAGTATAAAGTGAACATCTCCAGACCAGAGCTACACACCGTCTTCAACCAATTCGCCATTCTACATACTTATCCAGACGTGGAACGTTCATCTATCATGTTCCTACCATCGTACCGAGCGGCTGTCACTTATGCCATGTGCGCAGCCGTAGCACTATGCACCACTCCAAGTTGTCGGGAGCTGCCTCAGGATCCCACTTGGCCATCGCCTGGCCAGTGGAATGTTCTCAACAAGACGGTCGATGGAAAGCTGGTATCGACCGTTCCGTTGGCGGCACCCTGTCATGACCCACAGTACAACGAAGCGGCATGCAACTCTCTCAAAGCCAGCTGGACATTCCCTCCAGTGCAGTAAGAACCTCCACGACCCATCTCTCTTGTTATGATAGCAGACTCACAACTGAAAGTGAAAACTCCTCGACTTCCGTGCAGAGCGCCTACTTCCAGACAGAAGCGTGCAGCCCTTTTACGGAACGCTCGAAGCCTTGCGAACTTGGAAACTACTCTCCGTACACCATTGTAGTCTCTTCGGCCAAGGACATCCAGGCCGGTGCTCGATTCGCCCATAAGCAAAATATCCGCTTGGTCATCAAAAACACGGGTCATGAGTGAGTACCACAAGCCCACAGTGTAGAACTCTACTGACACATCTAGCTTCATGGGCAAGAACGTGGGAGCAGGATCACTTGGACTGTGGACCCACAAACTCAAGTCAGTTGAGGTTATCAGCAACTACAGCAGCACGTACTACAGCGGCCCCGCTGTGAGGATGGGTGCTGGAGTCGTTGGCGAGGATGCTCTCCCCGTAGTCTCAAAGGCAGGTCTGCGCATCGTTTCCGGAAGCTGTCCAACCGTCGGACTGGTAGGTGGTTTTGCTCAAGGCGGAGGGCACAGCTCCTTAACCAGCACCTATGGCATGGGCGCCGATCAGGCATTGGAATGGGAAGTTGTACTCGCCAACGGGACGCTGACTACCGCCACCCCGAGAAAGAACCAAGACCTGTATTGGGCCTTGAGTGGTGGTGGACCAGGAACGTACGGTGTGGTGGTATCGCTGACAGTGCGAGCGTTCAAGGACGGTGTCGTGGCTGTTGGTTCTCTCTCATTCTCAGCGGACGCAAAATCCAACGACACATTATGGACTGGTGTTGAAGCGTGGCTCTCAAACATACCCGCACTCGTCGACGGTGGCGCAACAGCCATTGGCATCTTGTCACCCACGTCGTTCAGCGTTTCACCTCTTGTGCTCCCCGACAGAGACGAGGCCGACGTACGAGATCTAATTGCACCAGTCACGACGAAGCTGGACAGTTTGGGACTCGAATACTCAGTAACTGTCACCACATTTCCCACCTTCATGGACTTCTACAACATCTACTTCATCCCGCCAGAGTGGCAGCTGATAGACCGAGTCAGCGGCGGCCGCTTCGTCCCTCGGCTCGTCCTACAGAACAACACGGCAGAATTTGTATCGGTCTTGCGCGACCTCACAGAAACCACTCAAGCAATGATCGCTTTAGTTGGGGTCGGCTCTTCGACCGAAGATGCCATCGCACCCAACGCCGTTGCTCCACAGTGGCGCGAAGCCAATATGAACGTCCTCGCGCAGCTACAGTGGCAGTACAACCGACCTTGGGACTTCAACCTGGCTCAAATCGACGAGATCAACAACGTCATCGTACCCAAACTCGAAGCTGTCACGCCAGGCGCCGGATCATATTTGAACGAGGCCAACTTTGCGAATCCGACGTGGAAAGAGGACTTCTATGGACGCAATTACAACAAGTTGCGCAAGATCAAGAAGGCGTACGATCCAGATGATCTGTTCTATGGCCCCACCATAGTCGGTAGCGATGCATGGAATGTGGCGAGCGACGGGCGCTTATGCAGAGCATAGGTCATGGCCAGGGGAAGACGACGTAGCTGTGCTGGACTGCGGCGCGAGAAGGGATGAATGTGGCGGCGATTAGATCTTTCGGTGTTGGCCAGATTGAGTAGACTTGTTTTAGTTTGTGATAGCAGTTCCAAAACTTTCGTTAATGATAGTATAATATCCATTGGTTGTCGGCTTTAAGAACGTATGGCACGCGTCAGCTTATTACTGAAGTTCTTCCGGTCCTGAGTTTGACCATCTCCTGTGCAATGGCAGGCGACTTTGTTGAGACCGCAGGCGCGCATTTCCATGTTCGTGTCGATTTGTAAATACATAGCTTGGCAACAAGTACCGGTGAGCGTTCGGGGCTGCAAACAAAAGCATGCGCGGCTGAACACCCAGCGAGGTCGATATAAGGCAATCAGCAAAGGCAACCAGCGTGGCGTTCCTAGCGTTCCAGCCCAGCGGAACTCTTCGTAAGTTGCACATCCGAAACGTGAGCGGCCCGTCACATGTATAATGCACTAATCATGCAAGGTCAGCATCCTGTGAAATTGCGGCGTCCGCGCAATAAGCCAACATTTCCGCGACACAAAATTGTCTTTCTATTTGCTGACAGCTCAGCTGCAACTGCTCGCGCTTGCCATTGACCGAGCTGACAAAGACAGAAGCTGTGTTACAGGTGCACAATCCTTCCATTTCAGCTTAATAATTCAGCCAAACATGATCGTAGGTCTACGTTTAAGTAGGCAACTGTGCTAATCACAAGCAAGCCATACATGTCACCATTCTCTTCATTATTCTCCTGCTTCAAGTCCGGCAGCTCCAACACAGATCAACCTACCAGCGCAAAGACTTTGAACTCATCAACTCCCAGTAACAAGTTCTCCAGTATGGCTGGAACAACTTACCTCATCACTGGCGCTGCTAGAGGTACTTCTCACCTACCTTCCCGGCTGATATCCAGCTAACCATTCTCCAGGTCTCGGAAAGGCAATGGTCGAGACTTACCTGGCGCGCCCAAACAACACCGTCATTGCCGTAGCACGTACCACTAGCTCAGCCGAGTCACTCAAATCTCTCCCTGCCGGTAAAGACAGCAAGCTCATTGTCGTGGCCTACGACAGCCGCGACACCGAAGGCCCGAAGAAGGCTGTCGAAGAACTCAAGAGCCAAGGCATCACCACCATCGACACCGTCATCGCCAACGCCGGCATCTCTTCGGACTACGCACCCGTTGCCTCCGTCTCGCTCGACGTGCTCAAGTCGCACGTCGAAGTCAACGCCTACGGACCCCTTCTTCTCTTCCAAGCTGTGCTGCCCCTGCTGCTCAAGTCGTCCAATCCCAAGTTCGCTGCTCTCGGAACTCCCATCGCTAGCATCACCGGTATGGAGAGCCGTCCGTTCCCCATGGCTGCGTATGGAATGTCCAAAGTTATGTTGCACTGGATGGTTTGCAAGGCGCACTTCGATCACCCGGAGCTTACCGCCTTCGTGCTGGATCCTGGATTCGTGCAGACTGACATGGGTAACGAGGGTGCCAAGACTTTTGGTATGGAGAAGGCCTTCATTACTGTTGAGGACAGTGCCAATTTTTTGGTATCAACGGTAAGCTTTTTCACTCGCCTGCTGTGCAGAATTGATGCTGACGATGCGTAGATTGACAAGGCCACGAGGGAGGAGACCTCGGGACACTTTCCGACGATCGAGGGCGGGGACTTCAAGTGGTGATTTGGGGAGCTTTTGTTCACTCGAGATGTTGACTTTTCTAGTCTGCCAACAGGAATGGGAGTGCAGTTTGAGGTGTCTATGTAGACGTAGGCGTAGCACTGGTGCACTGGTTGCGCGATGCCGCTCGTGCTGCCCGCACGACATAATCTTGCCCTGCCAATACAAGCCTTCTCATGATTCCAAGGTTCTTTCCCGCACAGTGATGATGTTTCCGGTCTTTTGAAACGGTAAACTGGGGTAAACGACCAGCATTCCGTACGCGAATCTGATGATGAGTGCTTTCTTGTATTATCAAGTCCATGCTACGACGTGGCGTCTAGAGCGTCATACAAGGACCATATCGAAAGTACTGTAGCCTGGTGTCTATAGTACATAGCCTCGGGGCTGCTTGCTGGACCCACCTTCGCTACCTAGGTACTCATGCTGGGACACCTTATTCAAGATTAAATCTGAACACCCTGGAGCCTACATTGACGTTGGGTGTTCTAATTTTCCCACATTTAATCCAGTGTAGTCTGCGGACCTGCTCAGTTTATTGGTAGTAGAAAGCGGGTAGAAAAAATGGATTACGGAAGGAGCGCCTTGGATGCGAAAGTTCTTTTCGGAGAGTTCCCTTTCGCACGATGTTCATTGCCAAAGTCGTGATTAGCTCGTCGTGGCTTATAGATCCACCCCAGTACCGCTGGATGTACCCAATAGCAACCGAGGTTTATTATCAAGTAGAAGACATGCGTACATAAAACATATCAAGGCAAGTACCTGCAGCAGGATAACACCATCTCTCCTATACTCTCAAATCTCACCAACCCGCCACATGAGCTACCCCGAAGACTTGTGCCGAGAAGGCATGAACGCGCTTGACGAACTGACCGGTGATGCCGCGCCATTCGATCATACTGCCACACCCAAGCTGTCCTCCGAGCTAAAAGATCTCATTCGAGCCACCAAGTGCCAGACTACAGCGGATGGAACCCTCAAGCGCAAATCGGGCAACATGGACTACCTCTTCAAGATCACCGAGCCCATCACGCCTACATTCCTCGCCGCTGCTGCCATCCTCCCCACACAACCCCAAATCTACCAAGGGCAAGGCGAAGACGGCGATGCGCAATTCTGTCAGATCCGCGACATCGACATCCCCCAAATCAAACACTGGCTCGCAACAACCTGCCCCACCATCTCACCAACCTTCATCCCCATCAACAAAGCGCGCAAAACCCTCTCTCCACACTCCGCATACCCAACTCTCGGCTACGACACCACACTACCTCACCGTCGCCCCCAAGACATGACCATGACCGGCTCTGCGAATCTTCCAGCGCAAAACCAACTCCCGGTATGGTACTTTTTCTACGGCACCCTAGCCGACAGCTCGCACCTGGCCCATCTATTCGGCTCGCCGCCAGGCCAACAACACACGCTCTTGCAAGCGATGATACATTCGGGAAAGATTAGGAAGTGGGGTGGCAAGTACAAGGCGCTAATCGACAATCCGGGGACGTGCGTTGAGGGCTGCGCGTACGAGGTTGTGTCGCAGGAGCAAGAAGATGCGCTAAGGGTGTATGAGACGGCAAAGTATGAGGTTGTGAGAGTAGAGATTATGTGTCGGATGGATTTTCGAGCGCGGTTTGTGAAGGGGTTGACGTTTCGTTTTGCGGGAGAGGAGAGGGAGTTGGACGAGGATGAGGATGAGTCGGACAAAGGTGAGTCGGATGAAGATGAGTGAGTTGAAGCAGCACCAGTGGGTTACTTATCAGAGGTGGGGGATGTTGTGAGAACGCAACAGTAGCGATGTAGTAACAGATTAAACATTCGTATTTGGAAACACATATATAAACAAAATGATCAAGGTATAACTCTTCTATATCCTGGGAATGCCATCCCAAAGATACTCCATGCGCACCGCTGTAAATGCAGACAGAAAATGTACACCCCCGCGGGTTGATTATAATTCAAAGTTGTCCAACCAGTGCTTGATGACCACCTTGCCCTCATTGAAGGAAGTCTTGTTCATGCGTACAACAATGGCTGCATGCGAGTGTCGGTGGTTGTGGATGTACACTGGGTGTTTCGTGAAGCCTACGTTGTCCAGCGCTTCAATCATACCGAATTGTTCTTGAGTAAGTGCGAGCGTAGGGAAAGTAGGAGTCGCGGCCTCCTTCTGCTCTTGTATCGAGTCGACGTCGGATTTGGACTCGCCCTTGCGTGTCGAGCGTGGAGAAGCAGACCCTACGTGTTCGTAGCTCTCGCTCAAATATTCTTGGCTCTGAACATGGTTTGCGTTTTCGTACATGCCCTCGGCTTCTCGTCGCACAGCATTGATCATGAGCGGTATGCGATAGCGCGCGTAGTCGATGCCCGACCTGCCTTCCTCATGCAGTCTGATGCGTTGCTGGCTGCGTATCGATTGGAATGCTGAGTTGATAAGGAAAGCTGACACGCCGATCGGTACGAGGACGGTCAAGGCTGCGACAATGCCCGTTCTTCCTAGTATTGTCCATGTGCCCTGTACCAGCCGCTGTGATAACGCTGGGGGCACTTCTGGCTCCTTTTGAGACACTGGGTGCCGACCATCGACAATGACATCTTCGTAGTCTGGGATGTAGTTTATCTTGATATCGTCTGGGTCGACAAAGGGGTCGGTTTGCGAAATGCCGGCGGTGTAGTATGTGACCGTTCGATCGTTAACGACGTTCGCGTATAGACTCCGATGCTTGAATTGGGCGAGGCCTCGAATGAAGATGCTCTCGGGGTCTGCAAGTACGGCTAGAAGTGATCTGTCCGTATTCCTAAACTTGTCGACGCCAAAGAGTTGTCTCCCACTCATGGAGAGTGTACGGGCTCCTAAGACGTTCCATATGTGGCTGTGGTAGCCTTTGAGGGGTGTTCGTACGCCGAGATGTGGTGTCGCAAACGTTGTGAAGTTCTGGTGGTGTCAGTATGATTGACTGGGGAGTTGTGGAGAATCGTGTAGACATACGACTGGTTGTATCTTCTCAAAGATGCCTCTGTGGAACAGCAGGCCGATCGCATAGCGTGCTATCAAGCCTCCTAGCGAATAGCCAACAACACTGATCTTAGTTATGTCATGTCCAGCCTCAGCTAGTTCCTCCAGCTTCCTCTCCACTTCTTCTGCCACTCGCTCGCCACCAGTATCGATGCCATCGTATGTGAAGCTGCCAGCGTTGCGCTTGGCTACGAGGATGTGCAATTTGTCTTCTGAATATCGTTCGCCTAGAGTGGTGCTGACATATTTGAGGTGCTCGGGCTTTCCCCAGAGGCTGGGTGTGGTCAGCGCAAGTGTTCCTTTTCGACGTGATAAGAGGCGATAAGGCGTGCGACGGAGACAGATACGTACCCATGGACGAGGACACAGAGGTGGTCGGCTTTCTTGGGGGTGTTCATAGAGGTAGACATGGCGAGAGGGACGAATCTTGACCAGCCTGGGTATTACGGTGAAAGGCGCAGTACTTGTATATCGCTCGGGCGTCCACAAGTCGTCCGAAAGGCGCAGTATGACCCGAGACGCGCGCGGTCCGAAAAGCAATTCACGGCGACGAGGACACCTGTGATGTCGCGGAAAAGTGGCAAGATTGTCAGGATGCAATGTGTAGATGCGCAGATTTATTCATTCCCAATCGCGCATATATTCATGGGTATTGACGCTGGCTAGAGGGTGAAAGGGAGGCGGCCTTGAGATGCGCACAAGTTGCATCACCGCGTCATGACGGAATTAAGGCGGATCGCCGTCGCAAGTTCGCCCGCGTCCGTGGACCCTGCGTCTAGCGCTAAACATCTACAGGGCTGAGATGCGCATCTCACCTCATCCCTCACTTTCACCATCTAGCCCGCTCTAGCTCTTTCGGGACGGCTGAAGCTCATACTGGAGCTTGCTGGTAATCTTGGTCGCAGCGCATTTCTACAACACCACTCTTGATGAAGCTACAAGGCCGCCGTTGACGCGCAAGCTACCACACCGGCTGCCCTTGCATCTACGTCAATCTTTTTCTGCGCAATGAAATGTTGATTGCTTGACCGTCACTCCCTCACACCGTTGCAATATCGTGCAATCAAGCGTGTGGCTGGTGTCAGACATAAGACCAGTTCTCATACATCGCATCCATTGGCTGTATAGCTCTTCGTCCGTTCTAGCCTGGTAGGTTACAGGCGCATTAAGCTTGTCATTGTATCTACTTACTGGAAAGGATACATTCCAAGCCAATCAATTATGTGGCCTTCGGTACCAGCTTACAGAAGCTTCGCCAACATAGCATGTCCCTCGGGTGCAAAGTGCGAGTTGCCTCACTGCATTTTCAGCCACGAATCTACAAAACCCACTATAGCAAGTCGATCTCCATCGCCAGCTGCAGTAACATATGACTCGGAGCCAATCACAAAAAGACTGAAGCTTGACGACAGTACAAAAGCACCCACTGCCGGCGCGCCTGCATCAGCTCAGAAGAACCCCAATGTTTCGGTCACCGCGGACTTACCCAAGAAAAAGATACCTGCAACAGACAATGGACCTGGACCGGCTAACACCGTCCCTCCAAAAACGCATGTCGGAAGTGTCACCGTTGCTTCTCTCCCGAAATCTGTCACGCGGCCAGTATCACCACCCCCGGCCGCAGCTGCACCGAAGGCTACCGTCAAACCCGATGCTCCTGTTGCTTTGATGCCGCGCAAACTCAACAAAGAACCAGCAACTTTTACCAAACGAGTCGCTTTGCTTAAGGCATTACATTCCTACATGAAGCCGCAGAACGATAAGCTACTCAAAGCAGTCAAGCCTGAGATCAAAGCGCTGCATCTTTCCGCAAACCAACTCAACAAGCTAGCAGTTGACGAAGAGGAAAGAATAGCTACATCGAACCCCTCTGTATACGAGAACATACTCAAGCAGCGGTTGGTCAAGTTGAAAGGCATGTCAGCAGAAGAATGGGTCAGGGAACGACGCGATGCGGTAGCCAAGGAGAAGGGAGAGCCACCGAAGAAAGCACCACCCAAAAGGGTAGATACGGGCCTCACAGCGAAAGAAGAGATGACGTTCCTCCCCAGGCTTGTGTGTCCGCAGGATGGATTAGACCAGCACGGCTATGTAACCAAGGTACCTTCCAGAGCCGATTTTAACGAGACGGAATTGGCGCTCGAAGCAGCTGGCGGGTGGGAACAGTGTGATCGCTGCAACACTCGCTTCCAGGTCTTCTCAGAGCGGCGAGAAGAAGATGGAGCGCTTACAACAGGAGGACAGTGCAAGCATCACTGGGGTAGGCGCATCTTTCCTAGGAAAACAAGAGGCGTCGCCCCAGAACCTACAAAGTTCAGTTGTTGCAATGGGGAGGTAGGGTCGCCGGGCTGCACTACACATCCTACCCATGTATACAACGTCAAGGATCCAAATCGACTGTCACTCATTATGCCATTTATAGAAACACCGGAGAACGACAAGGTCCCGAAGGACACTGCTGTGTGCTTCGACTGTGAGATGGGGTACACCACCAATGGCCTTGAGATGCTTCGTCTCACAGTCATTACATGGCCACAACACAAACCTCTTGTCGACGTGCTAGTCCGCCCTCTTGGACACGTATTGGACTTCAATACCCGTTTCTCTGGCATCACTGCAGATCAGTTTCTGAACGCGAAACCATATGATCCAGAAAACCCAAAACCCGTGCGCAAAGACCTCCGCATCGTCGAATCACCCCACGCAGCAAGAGAACTCTTTCTCTCTCACGTCTCTCCCACCACCCCAGTCCTTGGCCACGCTCTCGAAAACGATCTCAACACCATCCGCCTCGTCCACCCAACCATCATCGACACCGTACTTCTGTACCCAAACCCCAGTGGTCTCCCTTTCCGCTTCGGCCTTCGAAAACTAGCGTCCGATCATCTTGGCGAGCAAATCCAGCAAGGAGGCGCTGCTGGCCACGACAGCTACGAGGACGCGCGCACTACAGGCGAGCTGGTTCGATGCAAGATTAAGGAGAGGTGGAAGCTTTTGAAGATTGATGGTTGGCAGATTAGAGATGATGGTGTGTATCCGCCTATGCCCGCTGAGAAACCGCCAGAGCATGCCCCGGTTGCGCCGTCGATGGTGCCAGAGGCGAAGATGGCGGTTCTTGAGGGGAATCCGGCGCAGAAGAGGAAGTTGGACGATGAAGAGGGAAAAGAAGAGGCTGAGGCGAAGGGGCAGGAGTGAAATATGGTGTCACGCGATGACTGGCGTGCGAAAACAGAAGCAAGGATTCGTGGTATGGCGATATGATGGGGATATGTGTATATGCATGGTATTGCATCATAGCGTACAGGCGTTTGCATGTAGTGAGGAAATACCCACATTAGCCTGCGGTATGGCAAGAAGTATAGTTTTCATGTAAAGATACGAGATGACTTCCTCATCCTGTACCTAGCCCAGAGACCATCTCATGGTCAACACAACTTCGGCCATTGTCCATCCGCGACATGCCTAATTCCTGGCATATCTCTTGGTTTACCCCTGGTGCGTGTGGTGGGCTTTACTCTAATCCTTCTAACAGCCTCTTCAACGCTTATCTCGTCCTCCCTCTCTTCCCAGGCCTTGCGCATCGCACCTCCCAGCTTGCAGACCTGCACATGGAAATTATTGCTTCCTATACCTCTCCTCAGCCCACCTTTTCTTTATCCAACCCCTGCACCCCCTCCAACCCGTCCTTCGTAGCCTCATAAACAACATCCGTATCCAAATCCTTCATCACACCAATCACAACGCCTATGCTCTCTATAAACCCATTTACCGCAACGCGCAACATGCGATTTGTGGTTGCTGCGTAGTTTACTTGTAGGATGTTTTGTTCTGGGGAGTCGGATGACGTGGTGAGCGTAAAGGCGCGGCGGACGAGGGGCGAGAGCTCGGCGTCGACGGAGAGGGCGAGGGAGGCGGTGCGGGCGAGGCGGGGGGTTGGGAAGGGGATGTTGAGCGTGCTGATGTGGTATTAGCAATTCGAACTGCATCTGATATGGACTGAAAACGTACAGGGTGCAAGGAAAGTCCTCTGCTTTCCAGTCTTTTTGGTCTGCCATGTTGGTGATGCTTTCGTTGCGTTGTTTGTGGTGTTGGTCTGTTCCGTTTTGTAACGTGTATGGCGCTCAAGGAACGCGTGGCCAATTATCGTATATCTGGTGGGCTCTTCTGACACTCTTCGATATGAAGTCTGGTACAATAAGTTTCAAGGATGTTGGCCTAGGCCGGCCTTCGCGATGAGGCTGAAATCGCGAAATGTGGGGGAGGGGTAGATGCCATCTCCATTCGGTAAGGCGCGTCCAGTGGAGCTATGACCCGCATGCCGCGAGCCATGCCAGGTACAATTGGAGAGAGCGTCATACATCATCATTGCTAGCTGAAATGTGCAATCGCGTCATGCGTCATTTGCTTTTGCATACCTCGGTCTCTTGTAGACTTCTGTTCCTTTACACCCATCCACCTTGATTCTGAGCATCGAATCGACCCAATTGATACACACATCAGCTCAAGCTCGACCTTCACGACCTACGTTACCCACGGCTTGAAGTTTGTCGAAAGAACCCACCATGTTCCGCAACACTATGATCAGGTCCACGCGGACCCTCCGCCTCACTGCCCCATCCGCACGCCCTTTCTCCCTCTCAGCCTCAAGATGCGTCGAGCAATACCCCAACAACCTGAGCACGAACTCAAAGACCAAGACGGACAAATACGACAGCGATAGTCCGCACGCAGTACAAGATAAGGTCAAGCAGGGCGACACACACAACATTCAGGAGAGCAACGCAAAGGCTGGCATGGAGTAAGTAGTCTCTAGCATTATACATATGGGGATGGAAGGCACCAGGGTGGCTTATCGTAGCATACGGCTAATACCATGAAGCAGCGCACAAAAAGAGGGCACCGGAGGTCATGCAACTGAGGGAAAGGACTCGGCAGGTGGAAAGGAGACGGCGAAGAAGGAGTTCCCTGAGGCGCCGGACCCAGCTATTGGCATGCAGGATGAGAGGGGTGGACGGGGTGGTTAGGTGCGATATGGTCTTTGAGCATCTTGACGATCCCGTGTCAAGACGAGCAGACTTATCGACACACGTAAATGCATACAAAGAGACAGTATTGGAGGACCAGACTAGAACGAAGCCAGAGCGTGTTGCTCGAATTCTAGGAACCAGCATAATACGAAGAGATATTGCCAAGTCTGCGGATCATACCATGGTGGCTTGTTGGTGTGAGATATTGATTAGGTGCAAGATGCTCACCATCACTCAATACAGAATACTGATACTAAAACGGTGATCCTCGCCATGGTATCGGCTGCGTGTTTGTTGCTTCGTACATTCCAAACAGTACGCAAGGGCCGAATAAAGGAAACCACCATGCGACCTACCCAACGACCTCCCCATGAAAGAAAGCCCAAATAACCAACACAGGAAATGCGACTGCAACTCCATCATTCACTGTAGGTAGATAAATACTCGGATCAACGTGCCTGTTGGAATAGTCCAGCACAGCTATCCATCAGCTCCATCAAACCACACTCACTTTTCTCTACACGAGTCCACTCCACTCCACTCCACCTCACAAAGCCCTCAACCAACCACCAGCATCATGAAATTCTCAACCCTCTTCCTCGTAACCCTCACCACCGTCGCAACCGCAACCCCCATCATCTCCCTCGAACTAGAAGAACGACAAATCATGACCGACAACCCAACAGATATCTGTGACGCATGCATCATTTTAGTCAATCTCTACATCAAGGTACGTTTCTTGATTCCAACTCCCAACCATCGATACCACTCCTTGCTTGTAACCCAAATGTTTCAAGACCCTGGGCCTTCCAGCGCACTTACCCCATCCACTACATGACAAACCAACCCCATTCTGACAATCCTTCCATAGGTGAACCTCTGCAGCCCCAGAGAAGTACAGAAGCAAGAAGGTGCTTGTTGGGATAAATCAGTGTGCAAGGCTGTTAAGAAGAGTTTGCTGTGTAAAGGCGCTTGTGGGTTTCCGTGTCAAGAGGTGTGATGGGTTAGTTTATTTGGAGGTTGGCTTAGCTATGGTACAAGGGGTGGTACGTGTACGTTCGGAGTAACTTTTGATGGATAAGCGGAGGAGCTGTTTGTTGCGCTTGGTGTGGTGGTTGGATGGGATGGTATGGGCGGGTGGTTATCTCGGGCGGTGGGTGATAGTGATAGTGATGAGGATGTGATGAAGACGTGTCGACGGATTGTTTGTTGGTTTCTTCCGCTCGCTTGGATATAGCTTTCCCATTACCCTCATATACGCTCTCTACCCCGAAAGTCTACCTCTCTTCAGCTTTCCCATCAAGTCCCCATCGTCATCATAATCATGCATCGTTTCGCATCTTTGACAGCCCTCTTCTTCCTCATCTTCACGACAATCGTCGTCGCACACCCACTCGCCGCAACACCTCCTCTCGGCCAGCCAATTCCAAATCCCCCGTCTTTCCCACCCATATACTACAAAGAAACGGTCGTGCCCGTCCCTAGACATGAGGCGCACATGTGCAAATACAGAGTGAAGTACTGCTAAAGTGAGTCTCAAAGTCTTCCGATGCTCCGCTGAGGATACAGCATGGCGCACTAGAGAGGTAACAATGGGGAATGAGCTGATGTCAATATAGTGATGTTGCGACGATGCTATTCTACGTACTCAGAGACGCAGATTAGGTGGGCTGATATTGGCGATGCTGAACTATAAGATATCGGATCTTTGCTTGACACTGGTTGTTCTGCATTACTATGAAGAGATTACGGAAACGAAAAGACTGTCGACGGCTGTCCTTTTCTTTTGTAGAGCCAACAACTCCCATCACGATACAGGCTTATGGAAATTCGCTTTGCATGATGGAATCTCTGCACGTCCTCCCGATACATTAAGATACCGATCGTCCTGCATAACACCTATATTTCAGTCCTGCAGTACCTTAGTGACCCTCAGATTGACGCCGAAGTTGTAGTTCTTGTCGAAGGCCAGACCGAAGTCTCGATCAGGCGTGATGTTCTCGATGGAGGAATCTACAAGCTCCAGGTCGAAGTTCTGGACCATGGCCGCGATAGTGAGGTACATCTCCGCGTACGCAAGGCTTGATTATGTTAGCATGAACGTCACATACAAAAGACCACGATGGCTTACTTGATACCAAGGCAAGCTCGACTGCCCTTTGCAAAGGTAACTAGATACTTGTCAAGGTATTCTCCGCGGGCTTTGGCTTCGATCCAACGCTCGGGCCGGAAGACGTGGGGATCTGGAAACACATCGGGGTGATTGTTGAGTAAATACGGCGACGCACCGATGATAGTCTTGGGTAGTGTTAGATGTATCGAGCTGTACCATGAGTCGAACACTTACACCCGATGGGATGAGCAAGTCTTTGTAGGCAAGAGGCTCAACGACTACGCGTGGAAAACGCCCTGTGAAGGAACACTGGAAGCGGAGAGACTCGTTTATCACAGCTGTCTAGTCTTTGTTAGGCGTTGCGACGGAGTATGACAAATGACTCACCAGATATGGCAGAGCCTCAAGCTCACTCAAGGTCGGCGTAGAATGGGACTTTAACTCTGCTTGCAGCTTCACCAATATGTTGGGATACGTCATCAAGTAGCAGATGATACAGGTCAGGAATCGAGCTGTAGTATCCACGCCAGCAAACAAGAGAAGTGTACCTTCATCCTTCAACCGTTGGAGCGTCTTTTCTTCTTCGGGGACCCTGGGGCTGACTAGTGCATCGAATACTGTTCTGGGTTTGGTTGGCTCTCCTTCTTCCTGGCTCTTCTTGAGCGCCTCGATGGAGTAGTCCGTAATCCTCTTTTCGAACTCCAAGTAGCTGATTATCGACGGGCTAAGACAGGTGATCAACCAGGTCGGAAGTCGCATCAAAACCGCATCAATGCCCGGGAAGAATTTGCGCACGTTTGAAAGCAACAGTGCACCTCTGACAGTTTCCTCAAGCTCACACGGAAATCCAGGCTTGTCGAGATCTCCGAAGCTCTCACCATACGCGTAGTGCGAGATGACATCGACGGCGAGACTGCCAAACATGAGAGGCCCGATGAGCGTCTCCCCTGTACTGTAGGCTTGTTTCATCCGCATAACTAACTTATCGACTTTTGACTGAATGACATTCTCTAGATCAAAGATAGCCATCTTGGAGAATAGATTAGCAATATAACCGCGGCGGCGTCGTCGGTGTAGGTCGTGGTCTTTGGTGGAGATCACAGACGTAGCTGCGATTTGTGAGAGCTCGGGGTGTTTGTTGGTTTTCTGGCCGCCGCTTGAGTACACCTTGGTGTAAAAGAAGGGATCGTTAAAGGAGAGATGGTCCGGATTGACTCGTACCAGAGGGCCTGCGTGCCATCAGCCAATGCTTTTTGTTTGAATTACGTCTCATCGCTAATGCCTACCGTATTTCTCATGCATTTGAATGACCTTTTTGAGATACTGCCCACCTTGCAGGACGTCATAGTAGAACTCCACCAGATACGTTGCAGTCGCCCACCATGGACCGGGGAATCGTGCCAAAGGGTGAAAGAAGACATTGTAAACAGTCTTGCTGGACCAGTAAGCCAAGGCAATTGCGAACATGCCTGTGGCTATGTTGAGTCGATCAAACTCCATACTTGAGGCCAATCGACAGTCGTTATGGTCGCGTTAGTGTTTGAGGAGGTAAAGAGGACAAACAAAGTGCGTAACGTGCGGGGTCGAAAGAATGGCAGATGACTGCTTGTGAGGGTTACACGACAGCCCCACGGCAAGATTGCGCCATATCCGAGATTGGTAGGGCCCTTTCACTGCTCCTTGCCAGTCCTGCGTTTGCGTATGCGCACGGCAATTTTATCCTTTGGTCGCACCTGTCCAAAAGCCGACTCTCGCAACTCGGGCATGGCTGCATCGATCAAATCTGGATCGCATAGCTGCATCTCGAACTCGCTCAGCAGAACAGTCAAAGTCACTGCTTGCATGGCTTTGATATAATCGCTAGCGAGTCCGAACGCTTGCTTGTCGCCGACTGCAGGAACCAGCAGTTCGAGATTTTGCGCGTCGAATCTCGTCTCTTTTCCACTATCGCGGCCTTTCCGTTGACCTTGTGCCTTTGACGCGTCTTTACTAGGGGCCAGGAAGCGCTCAGCCCAAAACTCTTCGAGTGGTTTCGAGACAGCGTGCGGTGGCGCGTTTGCCCACACTTTCGTGTTGAGGGCGTAATCTTGCGAGAACGAAATTGCATTGGACTCTTTGGGAAGTGTCCATTCGCTGTCAACGGCAACCTTAGCAGTTGGGTTTGTACATATCATGTACTGTGCGATACGAAGACGACTGACTTCGGCTTGTAAAGACTGGAAGAGGGGCCTGGATATTATCCCATTTACATCACACGTGGCCGTCTTTGTTGGTTTGTGTTCGGAGACGATATCAGTGACATGCCCGGCCAGATATGGTTTGCGTAACAATTCGATTATTGACCAGATAGAGGAAGGGATCAGGTCCACATTCGAGCTATAAGCGTGTCAGTACGATTGCATATTACTCGAAATATATAATCGACGAAAGAAACCTACCAGTGCATGATGTCTAACATCTCCGCGGTTCTAGTCTCAAAAGATAACATGGCTTTCGCAACTATGTCGTCACGTTCTTGAATGAACTTCGAACCCCTATGCTCATCCCAATCTGCATCATCGCTGCCAGTCTTCGCGAATTCTGTGCCACTATGGTTGACTCTTAGCCATTTTTCGATGCCCTGGCATAGCCGGTCGAGTGGCTCTTTGTAAGGTCTTGGAGTAGCAAACCATGGTAGTACGGGTAGGAAGCCCTGGATGGCGTCTTCAAACCTCCAGTAGTCTTTGATGAGGCCAGGATACTGCTTGAAGATAGCGGAGCCAAAGAGCGCCTCCATGGAGCACCTCGTAAGGACTTGCTGAAAGAAAGACCAGACGTCTTCTATCTGGGTCCAGCTGCCGACTTGAAACATCTTGTCATTCATGTTACGCGAGAGTAAGTCGGCATACAGGTTGTTCATGTTGGCCAGCGGGCTGCCTTCCAAATACTTCCGCATTGACACGCCACGCATGACTTCGAGTTCTGCCTTGTCGACAGCGGCATCCGCGTATATCTTTGCAACAGCCTCGCTAGAGCCCAGGATAACTTCATGCATATTCCTTCTAGTGACGACTGCATTCTGTTGCTCACATGCGTGCATGGCCTTCTTCATCTGTTCCGGGTCTCGAAGAACGACGAACCACAAGAAGGCGAATGGTGCGAAGTTTCCATATTCCTTACTAACGTATGTTAGTAGCCTTTCTTCGAGCAGCTATTACATAAGGAAAACTTTACAGTAATCTCGCGAAGTACTTCTGCTGTCCATTGGACGCTAGTCCGAAGGCATGGGTAGCACCTGGGACGAAGTAAGGAATCGTTGGTGGTTCTTTCCCTAACGCGGTGCTTTTCGCGGTCTGGTAGAATAGGGTCGTCGAAACGTAGTAAGTCAATGCAGGTGCGATGATCAGCAGGACGAATATGAGGAGCAACATTGCGGGTTCGGTGGGAGATGGGATGAGTCGAGGTACCTTGGTAGGAGCCCTGAAGCTGGTTGGCGAGCGCGCTATCTCAATGGAGTAAAGCCCGATTTCCACGCGTCGCGCTAATCCCCGCGATCCAATGCACATGTCCGCAATGATGGTCATCGCAAATCCACCCAGCACTTTCACAATGGAACGACGCGTGCCAAATGCGAGGTCGAAACAAGGCACTGTCGTTGAGCAGAAGCAAAGATTTCTCCAAACCAGGAAACACATTCTATCGCGTCCAATACCGCCATCAGAACGGTTGCGCACTCTTGCGCAAGATGGTGGCATTGAGCTCAGTGTCATGAAAGGCGTGCTTGATAAAGGTATACAGTCGCCTCGCCCATAATGCTCAGCGAACCAGCACTAATGACTAACAGTCAACCGCGACCTCAAACAACACTCGCGAAAAGTCTACAGCCGCCAAATGATCGAGCACGTCGTCGAGCAAATAGACATACTATACTGGGACTCCGGCGCGCAACACGCCGACGACGACAACGAAGACGCAAACACTTCCTCCGACGCCCCCGAAAACGACGCGCACACCCTCTACCAAAACGACGACCTAACCCTCGACGAGAACATCGCAAAGCTACCACCCACATGGCCCGACCACTCCGCCGAAATCACACAAGACGAATACCTCTCCTCCGTATCCCGCCTCCAAGAACTCTCTGCACATCGACAGACCCTTCAGAACCGGCTCGATACATACCGCACGCTGCTATCGCTGCTAGAACCGTACCGTAACCCCAAAGAGAATATACAGCCGAATCTGGTGTGGAAAGATGCGCCGCTTGCGCCGGAGCTGGCAAAGACGCGCACGCTGGCGATACGTGTTGCGGCGCGTGTCGAGGAGAAGTTTGGGGATGTGCAGGTTCCTTCTACGGCGGAGGGTGACGAGGATGTTGATATGGAGGGGTTGGAGGATGAAGGGAGAAGGAAAGTGGATGCGGTGCTGGCGAGTTGGTAGGACTGTCCAAACTTGCCTGGTTTGCTTTTGGGAGTTTACTTCGGCGTTTGGATATGATACCCCAGGTTCATCACTTCATATATTAGCATACAACGTTTACAAAAGATAGGTATCGCGAAGCTATTGATACGGCCAAGACACTCACACTCGCTTCCAGCAGCCCCACAAAACATCATCACTACCACAAGCCGTCTCTAGGACCTAGGCCTTTACCCCCGTTTTCCCCCTCTCCTCCACCGTCCTCGCCATCTCATCCCCAACCCCCGACCCCATCGCCTTAAACCCCTCAACCACACCCCGCTGATCCCCGACCCCCATCTCCTGACTCATCTTATACTTCCCCCCAATATCCGTAATCTCGATCTGCACCCCAATAATCGCCTTCTTCAATATCTCAATGTACGACGCCGGTGCATCGTCAACCTGCCACGGCTTCTCGTACCCCATAATCTCTTTCTCGGACTGGAGCGAAAGGTCTCGGATCTGTTTGTCGAGGAAAGTGCCTGTAGAACTGGCTTTTGTGTCGTGGAAAATAGTGGCTCGGCCGTAGACTTGGACGGCGGAGTAGTTCCATGTTGGCACTACTTTTCCGGACAAGGGCTTGGTTTCTGTGTAGAATTTGGGGGTCACATAGTGGTGGGCTGGGCCGTTGAAGAGGACCATGATGTCGCGGGAGAGTGTCTGGACCGGCTGCTCGGTGTCGGAGTTGGTTTGGGATTTGAGGTGTTCGATTAGGACTTTGGCTTGGGGGTTGGCTCGGGCGATGTGGCCGCGGAGGACGCCGAGATGGGTTTCGGAGGTTGTTTGGTCGGTATCTAAGACCCAGGGGATGTGACTCGATTGGAGGAAGGGAAATGATTTGGATTCGATGGCTGTGGTGAAGATGCCTAATGGGTTTGCGCGGATGAACTGATGCAGCTTCGCAACATCTGCCTCAGCATGGACGGCGCGGAGGTACATCGTGGGTAGGCTTGAGTTGGCTGGTCTTTTCCAATATCCAAGTGTTGACCGTGTTGATTTGGTCGATGCTCGTTCGTTTTATAATGCAATTCGTTTGAGAGTATCCAAGGTCTGTTTTGCAACATCGATGTGCCGGGCGCTCTATACATAGACATGACTGTGCTATAGGGTGCAGGAAGTACACGGCGTCTACAGCGTGTATTCAAAAGACTTAGCCAATTTTTTTTGTGATAATACGGAATACATGAAGGCTAGAACGCGAAGACGAAAGGACGAAGCGTGTCTATCCGCTCTTTGCCGGGCGAGTGTTCAGCTGTGGTACGGACAACATATCCACGTTGGGAATACATTCCTTTCTGAGGAGTTCGGATGACTGAGACACAACTAGTACGCGATAGCGATGGCCTAAGTCACGTTGTGTACTCAGTACTGCAACTGGTGGAGCATGTACAGGCGTGATCCAGATGACGTCATGCAGCGCTCGTTAGTACAAAGCGGCACGTTATACGGTGTCCTGTCTCGTGGATTGACCGGAGATTATCGAAACTTTATCGCTGAAAGTCTAACAGCTCGATTGGGTCTACGAGATCTGAGTACAACTAGTATCGTAGATGTCGAGAAGCGAAATACCGAGCCGTGTTGTCGGAAATGCTCCGCACATGAGGTGGGGTCATGTCCTGATGCGGTAGGTGTAAGCGACTATCCTGATAAACGTAGTACGTATGAGCATTATCGTTGCCCTTTGGTCCGGCGCCAGTATCTCTACAGGTGTCTTCCCGAATATTAGACAGACTGTAACTCATACCAAACTTCTGTCATCGTCGCAAACAGCGTACGCACATCGACAATGACTTCCAACTGGGAGCAGCTTGCTGCCGACAAACGAAAGCGTATTGCCGACTCGATCCCTTCAGACTGGTCGATCCGAGAGCTTCCGAGCGACAACAATGTGTTCGCATATCCAAAGGAATCAGGCCTGCTTTCTGCAAAAGAGATCGAAATTACCGAATCATCGGCGACTGATCTCGTTGCACAATTGGCGCAGGGGAAGCTGAAATCGGTTGATGTCACGCTTGCATTCTGTAAAAGAGCTGCTATAGCACAGCAACTGGTGAGATTACTTTGATGATAGGTACAGGTGCATCGACTGATTATTGGTCATAGACGAACTGTGTACATGAGTTCTTCTCCGAAGAGGCTCTTGCACAGGCCCATGGTCTAGACGAGTATTATGCTAAGCATAACAAGCCCATTGGGCCTCTCCATGGTCTTCCTATCTCACTGAAGGATCAGCTGCGCATCAAGGTATGAAGCGGTTCTCTTCTTATGTGTGCGGTTTTTGCCTACGTAGGAACTCAGCTCACAACTAACACGACTCGATCAGGGAAAAGAGACATCGATGGGTTACGTTTCGTGGCTAGGAAAGTATGACGACGAAGACTCTGTGCTCACGGCACTTCTTCGTAAAGCCGGTGCTGTCTTTTACGTCAAGACAAGTGTTCCGCAAACGTTGATGGTTTGCGAAACGGTCAACAACATCATCGGAAGAACGACAAACCCACGCAACAAGAACTGGTCGTGCGGTGGAAGTTCAGGTGGTGAAGGAGCTATGATCGGCATTCGTGGCGGCGTCATTGGTGTTGGTACCGACATTGGCGGCTCCATTAGGATTCCATCGGCTTTCAATTTCTTATACGGCATTCGCCCAAGTCATGGCCGCATGCCCTATGGGAAAATGGCAAACAGTATGGAGGGGCAGGAGACTATACACAGTGTCGTTGGACCCATAGCTCACTCGGCAGCCGGTACGTGGATCAAGTCAAGCTCGTGTCCATAGATATACTGACTATCCAGACTTGAGGCTCTTCCTCACTTCGGTGCTCCAACAAGAGCCGTGGAACTACGACTCCAAAGTCGTCCCCATGCCTTGGCGATCTGATCTGGAGGATGCTGTCAAAGCAAAGCTGGGCTCATCTGGCCTTACCATCGGATATTATAATTGTGACGGCAACGTGAGTCTCACAGAACCGCGGCATAATTGTGTTTGCTAAAAGTACAGGTTCTCCCACATCCTCCTGTTCTGCGCGGAATTGAGCAGGTAGTTGATGTCTTGAAGCAAAACAAACATAAAGTCGTGCCGTGGACCCCATACAAGCACGACTTTGCCCATGATCTCGCCAACAAGATCTATGGTGCAGATGGTAGCACGGTAAGATCCACGCAATTAGACTTACGCAGTTCCGCAAGGCTATGTGAGAGTCGCTAACCGTTTTAACAGGATGTGATGAAGAGCATCAACGCCTCGGGAGAGCCGCCAATCCCCAACATCAAAGAACTCCTCAACCCTGATATAAAAAAAGCCGACTTGAACGATGTATGGGATATCCATCTGCAAAAGTGGGATTATCAGATGCAGTATCTATCCAAATGGCGAGAAGTTGAGGCTGAACTGGGTTGCGAGCTTGACTGTATAGTTGGTCCCATCAGTCCAACAGCTGCCATCCGACACAACCAGTTCAAGTACTATGGCTATGCGTCTGCCATCAACTTGCTGGACTTTACTAGCGTCGTCGTTCCTATCACTTTTGCTGATAGCGCGGTCGATGGCAAGCGGGCGGATTATAAGCCGTTGAACGAGTTGGACGCAAGTGTCCAGGCGGAATACGACCCTGATGCTTACCACGGTGCTCCGGTTGCTGTCCAGGTGATTGGAAAGAAGTTGAGCGAGGAGAAGACGTTGGCAATTGCGGAGGAGATTGGGAGGTTGTTGGGTAATGAGGTGACGCCTTGAAGGATGGTCGGACACACAGTTTTACAATTCCGTACTGTTTGACTCGTATGTATTGCGATCAGATCAAGCTACTTCAGAATAGTGCAAGCTATGGGCTTGTGTGATTTGCACATGTGGCAGAAAGCGGATAAGAAGCGGCAGAGAGCTGCGGAGAGACATGAGGGATGAGCTGTCGTGTATTCAAAGTTCGGCCAATTGAGTCAAGCTTGGCGTGCGCCTCAGTGTGGCGCTGGCGCGTAGCTCTTCATAGAAGGTGGGAACAGACTGGCGCGTGCGCGACCTAATACGGCAATACGGAGCGGATTCCTGGTCGAAGAACGTCATAGAGGACGGGGAGGGATGCTCAGATCGGATCCATGCCGGTGCCACAATCTTAATGCTCCTTAGCCACAGACACGGGTCGCGCAAGCCAGGCCATGGTGAAAGAGGTGTTGTTCTGCTACGCGCAACAAAACCAGTGTGTCGCTGTCAGCCTCAAGAAAGAGAAAGAGAGGGTCTAGGCCAAACGGCTGTACGTAGTTTCAGATTAACGACAAAGCCAGCGGTTGTTTGGCTCAAACGGCGGGCGGTTGGCAACGTAGCGCGCCCACCAACGCCAGTGACGCCGCCAAGCCCCCGACTGACCGCGTATCAGGGAATGCGAGGCTTGAAACACGTCGCCGTGTGCGCCATGCCAGTCACCTCGAAATCCATAATGAACCCTCTCTTTGTCGTTTCCATTCACCATTCTTGCGCGACTCTACTACCCTAATAATTTTCCGCAACCGCAAACAACAGCGGCTGCTTCTCCTTGCCCTTCTTCCATGGCCATTAGCGCTTAAGACAGGGGTTCCGATTCACAACCTGACCGCATACGCGACCAGCACCGCACCGCTCTGAGCCATGTCGGACCCCAACAAGCCGTCGCCAGAGTCACGGCGGAACCAGAGCATCGAGAACTTCGCCGCCTCGCTGTCAACTGCCGCCGCTATCTTCGGCATCCAGATTGCTGTTTTCCTGATTCTGAGTGGCAACTGGAAGCTGCACAAGGGAGTCTCCAAGAAGAAGACCGTGGACGATGCAGACCAGGCCGACAAGGCGGCTGCGCGACAGAGCCTGTTCCACAAGATATAGTATGCGATACACGCTTCCCTGCCTACACATGCCCATGTGCTAACATCGCCAGCTACTACAAGACCGCCTTCGTACCCGAAGCCAAGCGCATCGCAGCGCCCACGACCGCCATCGACTCCTTCAGGAATGTCTTCACCATCAGCGACAAAGAGCTCATCCGCGTTGCCGGTGTCGATGGCTACCTCTTCCTCCAGTACCTGCAGCTCCTGCTCCGCATCTTCATACCCATGGCCCTCATTATCCTGCCTGTCCTCCTGCCCATAAACCGAAAGGGCGACGAGCCTGGTGTTTCAGGCCTGGATTCATTCGCGTGGCCCAACGTCGCCTTTCCGAACAAGCGACATCGCCTGTGGGCGCACTGTATCATTGCCGTGTCCGTTGTCTGTTGGGTGTGCTTTAACTTCTACCTCGCGCTGAGGCAATTCGTGCGCCTCAGGCAGACCGTTCTCACCAGGCCCGAGCATCGCATCCGAGCATCTGCCACCACTATTCTCGTGCAGAGCATTCCTGAGAAGTGGCTCACGGTCCCCGCCCTCGACGCCCTCTACGATGTCTTCCCCGGCGGCATCAAGGATATCTGGATTAACCGCAACTATGACGATCTAATGGACAAGGTCAACGAGCGAACCAAAATCGCAAGGAGCCTTGAATCGGCCGAAACAAATCTCATCATCACATGCACCAAAAAGCACAAGAAGATGGAGGAGAAGGCCGCCAAGGAAGCTGGAAAGAAGAAGTCCAAGAAGGAAAAGAAGCACGACGAGGCCATGCAGAACCACGCAATCAACCAAGAGACCCACGAGCAAGGTGTGGACGCCGGTAATCCCCACGAGATCGAGCAACAGCTGCAAAAGGTCCTACAAGAGTCTGCGTCATCATCATCCTCCTCTTCACGGTCGACTTCACCCGATCGCAAGCGCGGCGTGAACATGAACTTTTTGGGAGAAGGCATGCACGCTGTCGGCAAAGGCTTTCGCGATGTCGGCCAGGGTGTGGATCGCTTCAATAAAAATGTCTATGGTGGTATGCGAGGTGTTTTCGGCGGGAAGCCCCGTCAGGCTGGCCAATCTCGGAACACTGAGCAAGCGCAGCCAAATCTCGACGGCAGCGATGAGATTCCAGCATCGTCACCCACATCTGCCGACTTCCACCAAAGGGGCGCTAGCAGCGACACCCATACCCCGTTGGCGGCAAAAGAGAAGTACGATTCTGAAGGTACTGTGACAGAGCCCAACTCTCCTCAGACCAACTTAAAGGCACCCGCAGCCGCGGCGGACCCCGAAGAGCACAAGTCCGTAAAACCTGGATGGAAGCACCCGCTCAACAAGCTGAAGGCCATGTACGTTGGTCAGGGTGACTTTATAAGCCCAAGTCCATTCGTGAAAGAGGGAGAAGAGCTACCATTAGAGGTCAAGGATCCCAGTAAGATCAAGTACGACCTATCAGGCTTGTATGACGAGTCTATGGAAGAGGATGGCGAGGACGCTCTCTGGAGAAAATACATGAAGCCCAAGGACAGAGAGACGATGCGTTTACCCATCTTCAACGTTTCGTGGTGGCCGTCTCTGCCTTTGATGGGCAAGAAGGTGGACACCATCTATCATTGCCGCAAGGAGCTTGCCCGCCTCAACGCTGAGATTGCCGACGACCAGGCTCACCCAGAGCGCTTCCCACTGATGAACTCGGCCTTTATTCAATTCAACCACCAAGTTGCTGCACACATGGCCTGTCAGTCGTTGAGTCACCACATTCCCCGGCAAATGAATCCACGAACCGTCGAGGTCAACCCCAACTACGTCATCTGGGACAACTTGACCATGAAGTGGTGGGAGCGCTACCTACGCATGTTTGGAGTCATTCTACTTATCGTCGGACTCATCATCTTCTGGGGTATTCCCGTCAGTTTCACAGGAGCTCTGTCCCAAGTCGACTCCCTGACCGAAACATTGCCATGGCTTGGTTTCATCAACGATGCGCCCGACTGGGTCGTTAGTCTGATTCAGGGTGTGTTGCCACCAGCCTTCTTGGCCATTCTCTTCGCTATACTGCCCCTACTCCTGCGCTTCCTGGCTGGTCTTACTGGTACAACGACATTCGGCGAACGCGAGTTGCTTGTGCAGAACTTTTACTTCGCTTTCGTCTTTGTCCAACTGTTCCTGGTGGTATCCATCTCTACTGGTATTACTTCGACCATTGACGATCTGCTCAACGATCCACTTAGTGTCCCCCAGACATTGGCGCAGAATCTCCCAAAGGCCGCCAACTACTTCTTCTCTTATATGATTCTGCAAGCGCTCAGTATCAGTTCCGGTACCCTTCTGCAGATCGGTGCTGTCGTTGTCATTATCTTCCTCCGTTTCATGGATACCACACCACGTGAGAAGGTTTCAAGGGTGTTGCAAAGACCGGGTATCAACTGGGGTACTATGATCCCGGTCTATACCAACTTTGCCGCCATTGGTAAGTTTACCTATCGAGAGCTCATTGCAAAAAACTAACAACGTGCAGGTCTCATCTACTCAGTCGTCGCGCCCCTGATCCTAATCATGATGTTAATCACCTTCAGTCTCTTCTGGTTCACTTACCGTTACCAGATGATCTATGTTAGTTACGCCAAGGCCGAAACTAACGGTCTCATCTTCCCGAAGGCGGTCAACCAGCTGTTCACCGGACTCTACTTCCTCGAGCTCTGTATGATCGGCTTGTTTTTCCTGCAGGAAGATGAGCAGGGGAGGCAATCGTGCTTCCCTCAGGCTATTATCATGATTATCATTATGATCTTCACTGTACTTTACCAGGTCGTGCTGAACAGAGCGTTCGGGCCTCTCTTCACGTACTTGCCAATCACATTCGAAGACGAGGCAGTGCTACGAGACGAAGAGTGGCAGCGCGCGCAGGCCAGCAAATGGGAACGAGACGATGAGCATGAAGCTCTTATGTCTCAGCAAGAAGCACAGCGGACAGCCGAGGAGCGCGAACGAGCCCACCTAGATGAACAAAACCGCCTTGAGGAGAGGAAGGAACGTGAGGCAGCCCATGGCCCTGGATCATACGAGCTCAGCAACCTGGATGGTAACATGCCATCCGCCGGTTACGGCCAGTCGCCTCGACCCGACAACCGCCCGCGCAACTCCAGTTGGGCGGACCGCTCCCAACGCTCCCGTCACAGTTCCAAGTCGCGCTCGCAATCACACCACAAGAAGCGCAAGGACCCTCTAGACATGATGACCAACGCACTCAAGAAAGGCCTCGACGATGTCGCAAAGCCCATCCGCGACGCAGAAGCGCAAGTCCTGCCCGCCGGCAACCTTTTCGACGAAGTTGACGACGAGCTCGCCGACATCGAGCCCGAAGCCCGCCAGAAGCTCATCAAGCGCTCTTTCCAACATCCCGCGACGCGAGCCATTCAGCCCGCCGTTTGGATTCCGCATGACGACCTGGGTGTTGCTAAGGACGAGATCCAGCGTACTAGTGCGTTTACCAAGCGAGTGTGGATCACGAGTGTGAATGCAAGGTTGGATGCGAGCGGCAGTGTTATTTACAGGGGATTGCCTCCGGATCGGGATCCGTTTGAGAATATTGAGGTTTAGACGGGTAGTTGTTAAGAAGGATGGGAAGTAGAATTCGTGTATCATCCTTGTGGTGTTGGAGTTATTTTCTTTCCTTTCGTGTTAGCCTTCACGGCACCTTTTAAAGCATACAAGCATAGCGTGGAGTTTCAGGGCTTTGGGGAGAGCATCAGATGCATTGTCTTGTTCTAAGACTACTACTACTACTACTACTACTACTACTTTCCGTACAACTACCTAACTTTAGAGGCATAAGACCTCATCCAACATTCCAAATATTGTATCCTCCTGATTATTCCAGTTCCAGTCACCGAGAAACTCGTCTGTTGCTGCATTCGCAGCCCCGTCGTCTGCCTTAGCTGCTGCCGTGAAGGCATCCAGGAGGTCGCCAGCGGATTCTGTCTCCTCGATCTGTTCTTCTTGAGGTGGCGGGGCGTCCTCCAGCATGCTCTCAGCTGCTGGAGTCACTAAGGAGAACGCAGCCGGGAGGTTCTCAACGGATGCCATGTCCATGATGGCTTCTTCTTGAGATACCGTGGTACCCTCCGCTGCATCGTCTGCTTTGGTTTCATCACCGAACAACGAGGCCATGCCGTTGCCAGCATGCATAGCTACGACGTCATCTTCAAACAACGACTCCATATCATCCTCCTCCCCATTTTCCAGAGGTACACTTGCTACCTCCAGCACACTTTCAACCGCTGGAGACACCTCCGAAAAGTTACCCAGGAGGTCCTCAACGGTTTCTACAGCTTCAGCGCTGTCTTCCTCACGCTCTTGTAGTTGGCAGGGGGTTCCTGCCTCGACGCCTTCGTCGATGGTATCGGCTTCGAAGCCGGCAAGTAGGGCCGCTCCGAACGCATCGTCGTCGTCCTCCTCGTTGTTGGTGGTGTCAGGGGTTGGTTCCTGAACCTCCACCACGGGCTTAGCCTTAGGAGGTCTTCCCCTCCTTTTCGGCACCTTCGGCACTACGTCCTCGTCGTCCCCTGACTGCCTCTTCCTTTTCTTCGACTCCTTCACAGCCTTATCCCCTGACTTATTCTTCTTGGGCACAGGAGCAGAAACAGGAGCAACTCCATCACTCCTCTTTCTCTTCGAAGATACGCTAAGCTCCTTTGAACCTAGCTCTCCATTCAGCTTTCTCCATCTCTCTTCGCTCTCCATCTTCACCCTCTCGGCTTCCTCTTCATACCCCTCTTTCTGCGCTTCTCTTTTACTCTTGCTCTTCTGCCCCTTTGTGTTACCTATCGTATTGTGAAGTTGCGCAAGATGGTCTTTATCCCTTAAATCCTGCAAGACCAATTTACACTCCCCCTTCAATTTCGCAACTACAGCCGCCTTTCTATCTCCAAGCTCGCACTCTGCAGCCCACTTCACAATGGGGTCTTGCATATTTGCTATCTTTTGTTCCTCAGAATGCCAGGATATGCGATTACAATATATAATCGAAGCATTTGGAGATAGATCGGCCATGTCGTGCATATCTTCTAGAGCTTCTTCGTCTGAAGCCCAAAACAGCGCACAGTACTTGCGCTGCCATTTCTTGTCTAGTTTCTCGAAGGAGGCGAGCAGGCGGAAGGCGGATTCGCAGTAATGCGCGGGAAGCGATTTCCGAAGGTGCTGAAGACGCTCTTTGAGGTGGGAGGGCGCGGAGGGGGTGGGTGTCCTTGGTGGTAGGCTATCAGGTGTGGGGAGGTCTACTCCTTGTACTGCCTCTTGTGCGGTCGGCGTAGGCGCGGGCGTAGACGCGGCGGGAAGGGGGACGTCAGGAGTTGCTGGCGGCGTGAGGAACACCTCTCTGTCGTCATTTCGTGTGAGTTCAACACACAGACTATTAGTACTGACATCCATGATGCCTCTCTGCTGCTGACGCCGAGGTGTCAAGTGCCTCGCAGCCTTCTGAGCCCCAAATGATTCAGGCTGGTACCACCTCTGTAGCTTCCGGATGAAAGCAGAAGAAAAGCAATTAGTGGCAGCGATGCCGGCAGGAGGGAGCTGTGGCATGCTCGTTTGTTGGATTTGGACATTTGGCCTTAGACCGGAGATGTTGATCCACTGGCGCAAGCCGGAAATCCACATACGGTTGTGTTCGCTTGTGGTGTAGGTGAAGGAAGACATGTTGGTGGATGTGGAAGGGGTTTGTTGTGTAGAGATGAATGGTCTTGATGTCGTGGATGTAGAGGGTGGTTTTGGTAGTTCAAGATACTTTCAAAAGTTGTGATGGTGAATGTAATCTGAACTGAGAGCTGAGAGGTTAAGAAAGGGACGCAGGAACATCAGCTATTTATTGCAGCACAAGAAAGAAGATATTCGACTGCGATATACTGTAACTATGGTTCATCTGAGGCATTTGTCTACTGTGAATGCTATGGATGTGACAGCGGCGTCGGAGGCCGAGCACATGCGCGCGTTCAGACCAGTAGAGAGCATTGTAATTACCTGAGAATACACGGAAGCGTCCTCCCAGGCAACAATGCGGCATTTGGACCAGAAGAACAAGCCTATCGAGTCGGTGTCCATTACGGGCGACCTCGCACACATGGTTGATATGTGACTCTTTTCAAAATCTCCTCGAGCCGAGCCTCTATGCTAACCGCTTGTGTCGGGGCCACAGCCCGTGATGGTACCAAAATCCCCTCGAGTCCAGCTTCCGGCCCAAGGTTCCCATATCGCGCGGCAAGGCGCGGATATTCTGCTCTTCCATGAGTTCACCCACCCATTTAGCGAACTCCTGGCGCGTCTCCACTTCTTCCTTGGTCATAGACGACTCGGTCATGGAGCTGAAGCTCATGATGAGATCGAACCAGTCGTACACGCGCATATCGGCAATGATCCAGCGCTTTCCCGGCGTAAACTTCCGATGAGTTGCGATTATTGCTCTTGCGACATCTTCGCCGTGGACGAAGTGCACAGCTCCTCGCTTAGCAACATCGTCTTTGGACTGGCCGAGGCGAGGCAGCCATCTCGCGGGCACGCGCTCGCCGCCGTACAGACCCGATAAATTCAGCACACAGCCGTGAAGCGCTAGTAATTCGTCTTCCGCAACGGCCCGCTGATCTTCCTTGTCGTATGGCGCGTCATCGGCGCTCCAGTCGTTGGGCAGTTTGTTGAAGATACTCGTGGCTCCGAGTTGCACCCAATTGTTCTTTGCGCCGTGAACCGAGCGATAGAGGCCTACGATGTTCTTTGACTGGGAGTGCCCCACCAGTGGAAAGGTGATAAGTACCGTTTGCGCTGCTGGAAGGCGCTTGTATGGCTCCGCATCACCAGACTCCGGGTCGAACTTGAACGGTATCGTGTTATCTCTTCCGGTAGTGGTGGTTGCAGCATACGTAATATTGGTCTCCTCCAGCTGCGGAATCAGGAACGTGGACGTCCATCCAGCGCCCAGAATCAGTAGGTCCACCTCTTGCATTTGCTCGCGTAGCATTCTGGGTTGCGGGCGTGGTGATTATTGCCGTAAGATATGTAACATACAAGGAGAGTTTGTTGTTTAGATGTTATAATTTCAAGCGGTTGAGCCAATGGGTGACACAGGGTGGGAACCACAGCTGGTGTTGTCGTTTGAAGTCGTGACGTCTCCACACGAGCCAAATTAGCTTGCTTTCTGCACGGCCCATGTGTTCGGCGCAACCATCCGCACGGGAATTCTAGCTAACTTGCGGGAGGTTGGTGTTAGTTATACGGAAGTCTGTATAATCTACGTACTGTCAGATTCTAGGAGCCCATGCCATGCGTATGCTACATCTCTGAACGGAGCCGGCATCTTATCGAAAGCGACGCAGATACTTTGGGTCTGGCCTCCAGGAACTTAGTTCTAGTGATGTCACTTCAACCATGGAGATCCAGTAAGAAAAATTCGAATGATAATCGAAGCAGGCGCTACCTCAGCTCAGACAACAGTTTCCTGATGAGGTAAGTTGTAGAGATGTGGATTGTAGCAATTCTGCTTTCAATCGGAATCTGGAATTGACGTCATGTGCGGAAGCTGGTTCTCACGTGCCGGCGCGTTATCTGAAACGCGCTCATTGGCTGCTTCCGATTCAAGGGGCCGCGTCTTCGTCATCGCTATGAGCTGCGCATCAGCGCGAGAGCCCAGATAAACTGTCGCAAAGATCACTCTGCCGTCATACGCTGTTCCTGCATCTCAATTGATCATCCAATGCGAACATCACGAGTATCTCGCGACGCGTCCCGCGTGGTCGCAGCGAGCCGCACGCAACGAGCGTTACGCCAGACACGAAGCGCGACCAATGCGCCAGCTCCCGTCAAACGAGAACCAGGTAGCGACGAGAATGCTGGGTCAGAGTCAGACCTCAGCTCAGCGCCAGCGGACTCCGCCTCAGATGGCGAGGCGCGACGAATGCCTATGAAGAGGAAAAGAGGCCAGGACATGCCAATCATTGTAAAGAAGGAGGCAGAGGAGACATCAACCACTGCAATCGCATCCCCGAAGAAAGTCGCCAAAGTCAAGAAAGCGCGTCGTGCGCCTGCGAAGAAGATAAAGACCAGCGATGGAACTGTCACGATGGAGCCACCTGCGAATTGGGAGGAGATATATACTCTGACGAGAGAGATGCGAAATGAGAACCTCGCTCCGGTGGATACTATGGGTTGCGAGAGTCTGGCGAAGGACATCAGGTCGCCTCGCGATCGACGGTTCCAAACGCTCATTGCTTTGATGCTGAGTAGTCAGACCAAGGACACTGTTTTAGCGCCTGTCATGCGAGGCATGCAGGAGAGGATGCCTGGGGTATGTTGGTTCGAAACTATATGGCTATTCCTAGCTAACACAGTGCAGGGATTCAATCTCGAGTCGGTCCTCGCTTTAGAACCCCCCGAACTGAACGCGTTCATCAATAAGGTCGGCTTCCACAACCTCAAGACCAAGTATATCAAGCAAACCGCCGAGATATTGAGAGACAAATTTCAGGGCGATATCCCAGATACTATCGAAGGGCTTGTGTCGCTACCGGGTGTCGGACCTAAGATGGGGTATCTGACGATGAGCGCAGCTTGGGGCAAAACGGAGGGCATTGGTGTCGATGTCCACGTCCACCGCATCACCAACCTATGGGGCTGGCACAAGACTCAACAGCCAGAACAGACGCGTGCAGCGCTGGAGTCATGGCTACCAAGAGACAAGTGGCATGACATTAACAACCTGCTGGTGGGCTTTGGACAGACAATATGCCTACCTGTGGGCAGGAAGTGTGGCGATTGCAAGTTGGCGGAGAGAGGTCTCTGTCCTTCAGCAGTCGTAGCTAAAAGCACGAAAGTCAAGAAAGAAGCTGTTGTGAAAGTAGAAGCACCCAATGGTGACGACGAGGCGGTGGTGAAAGAAGAAAAGGTGGTGGCTGAAATCGATGAGATCAAAGCAGAAGATGTGGAAGGTGCGATAGATATGGAGGATATTGGGCAGGCGCCACGAGCAAGGCCGCAGAGGAAGAAGTAGTAAGTATTCTTAAAGCATATTTACATCAAATCTCGAAGCCGGTGTCTGACCTTCGAATTCAGAAGCACGCATACCTGAAATGCGGTGTCAAGTTTTGGCGCGTCGGTCTGGTGTTCAGCAATCGCTCTAGTACGGTTCTGGAGTGGGCTCTTTCGTTATGCAGACCATATAGCCCTTTCGTCATGCAGACCATATCGCGCCTTCCAGTCTTCACCAGGCAACAGCACGTGGTCGAGCTCTTCATTTCGTAGTCTACTCACTGTGAACCTCTGCGAGCTTCCCGAAACGAGTACTGACAACGCTTCTTTCACATTCTCCTCTAGTCAATTCACTGCATACCAGCCAAGTGCTGCCTGGTCAAGCACGGTCTCTGGTCTCTTGCGACCTCGCCCGTGGTACTCAAATACGCCCCCCCACACCTACTTTAGGATTCGCGATTGGCCCACCCCTCAACCACGCCTGCGAAGCAAAATTCCACCAATCTCACTTTCGCAGACGCGTGCCCACGACGCTGCTGCACTCACACCACGCAATCTAACTACAGCAAGGCCCAACAATCAGCACCAACTACGACACCATCCTCCACTGTGGGAGCCAGCGACATGGCATCTCGATCAGAAGACAAGGTGTCCGCTCGAAGTCAGTCACAACGTGAGGGCCGTTGTACTACATCCAAACCAACAAGGGGCAGCCCTACATACTTCCTCATGCTCCAACACGCCCTTCCGCGCGTCATGATTCTGCTAGCTTGTATCCTCCACCTCAGTGCGTCTTTCATGGCTGTCAACGTCGGGCTCTACGGTATCTCGAACTCCGTATACCCTCGACATAACCTGGCGGTAGACGAATATCTGGTGCATGCAACAGACAAGTACACAGAGGAAGCATTGTACAACAATCTGGATACACTTCTCTCTAGCCAACTAAATCGCGGCTTCATGGAAACACATGAAGACTGTCTTGTCCGCGGCCTAAGGAAGGCTTTCTACAGTCCCCTCAGCCTAGGGTTGCAGTACCCCGACATCCGTGTGCAGGTCATGGACTGGGCAATGGAGAACTGTGGTCGATTGCAGTATACTCCACAGGCGGTGGTCCAGGATCCAACTCCACAACAGGCTGTGCTAATCTACTGGGCGGATGCGAGCTATCGCTCTCGCCGCATGCTTGAGGGAGCTCTCGGAGCTGTGCGACAGCAGGCCCGTCTCTTCTGGAATCGACTTTTGAGCGCGTTCACGGATACGGAAACATCTCCCATCACCGAGCACGTTCCTGTTAGCGCCAATACTAGCGGAACGCTCCCTCCGAGTCGAGCCCTGCCCAAAGTACCGTTTGGCTTCGCTTTACGCTGCGAGCCCACTGAGCCGTGCCGTCTAGCCTACCCGTCTGGCTCTTCAAAGCGTCCAGACAAAATCCACATCTCACGCGAGGCCCTCGCGAAGCTCAAACGCCAGATCAAAGAACTGCGGGCCTTCGATTCTTATGTCAAGAAAGCTCAATGGGCTACGGAGCGCTTAATGTTCCTTTTGGACACCATCTACATCTCTCTCTCGATGGCCCTGTTTGCGAGCATTATTGTTGTGACACCATCTAGCACATCCATCGAGAAGATGGTTGGCCCACCTCGCCCTTCCCGCAAGACGAAACAGATCAAGTTTAGGGTCACATCCCACCATCTCTGTTTCGTGGGGAGACTGTTAAATACCCTCTTTCATATGTACCCAGTGCATCTTCAGTACGGCGATTTGCGGGAAGTTTCCTTTAATTCTTACTTCCTTGTCGTTGGTGTTGCGATGCTTGTTCAATTTTTCACTGCACCCAGCCCAAGGCGGTTTGAGAATGTCAACCTTGCCTATAAGCAGATCAAGGAGCTCTACTTCATCGCCCAAGGGTGGGGGGTACCTAGCGGAGCGTTGCTCAACATGCTCACTTACTACGGATACCATGTGCAAGCGGAGGACCCCAAGCCCAAGCTTACCAAACCTGAGCCTACGGAGGATCTAGACACGAACATCGAAAATATACTTCCTTCATCCGGTCGCCATCAGCAAGCCGATCAGTCGCATGAACCGCACATCCTTCGAGCCTCATGGACCACCACACCCCAAGAAGATATCGAAGCTTCTTCAAGGCAGCTCCTACACGAGCTAGGAATTCAGCAGGCCGTGCACTCCGATTTGGAGACCGTTAGCGACACTGACAGCGAGACCGAGTCTGAGGCCGACCATGGCAGCTTCGTCGACCTGGCCGGTGGCGTTACCCCTCAAGTCAGCGATGCGGAATCTGGCTGGTCTATTGTGGATGCGTAGAAGTGTCGTGAGTATCTAGTGTGGGATGTGCTATGGCTCTTGTCTTACGACATGTAGCCAAGAAGATACCAAGGCGCGATCGAGCATATCAGCGCTATATCTGTTGAGCGTGGCACATGGAGTACAAGTATGGTATATGTACAAGAACATAGTTCTTTCTCCAACGGCTCTCTGTCGGTATCTACTTGGTAGTTAAAATTCAATACAAATGATTAATCTCACGCTCTCCCGCATCTGTGACTACGTGACTATAGGACACGGAAACGTCGAGCATGAAGATGAAGTGGCTGGGAAAGATAAGACGATGTTAGTGGGTTGTTAGGGTTGGGAAATTGCTATAATCTACACCTCTTAGATCACTTGCCTAATCGGGACAGTGTTGATGCCGACCTTAAAGGTAGGAAAGTGGTGATGATCCGGGAGGGTGAATAAAAAACCCACCATAATCCACGGTTCTTCGTCGGGTTACTTGTTTAGGAAGGAATTTGATGTGAAATGGGATGAAACAAACGTGGAAGCCATAGTCTGCCGATGTACCAGTCCAGCGACACCATTAAATTGTACTACCAAAGCAGAAGTTATTCAAAAAAAATAACATTAGAAGTACACTACACTGCCACATCCTAAATCTAACGACCAACTAATCCAAACCACGCTCCAGAACTCCAGCGCTTTTACAAATCATCCTACATCCTCCTTCTATTTCTTCCCATTGCCATTTCCATTCCCATTCCCCACACCAAGACACTTCCCGGCATCTTCCAATTCACCCAACACCCTCATCTCAAGCTCACTCAACGCATCCTCACCCTGTCCCTTCCTGGCACTCAGCATCTCCAACTCGCGCTCATCAACAGCAACGATACGCTCACGTAGCGCACTCTTGCGGCTGAGCCAGCTCTCCACGTCTTCCTTGATATTTTCCTTGTCCCAGTCTAGGAGGGCGACTTCGTTGGCTTGGATACCTAACTTGGGTCCTTGTTTGCGGACGTTTTCTAGGATGCTGGCGATAAGGGATAGAGAGTGAATTTCCGAAGCGACGGTCAGTGTGATCTTTGTGGCTGATGTGCGGGACGAAGGGTTCGAGTTGATGCTTAGAGCTGAACGGGCGAGTTGCTCGGGGAACTGGTTTAAGAAGGATGAGATTTCCGCGGCGATGGGCGGGCCGACTGAGAGCAGGAGGTTGAGGCAGAGAGGAAGGATGCCTTTTGTCCAGATGCTGTACATGCGTGATGGGTTGTCGAAGGGTCCCATGCCGTTGGTGCGCCGGTAGTAGTTCATGATGTTTGCGGTATTGAGTTGGCTGAGTATGCCTTCCACCGCCATGGTCTCAGCGAGGGCTGAAATGCTTGATAGAGAGAGTAGGAAGAGGACGCTGAGCTCGCCATAGATGGGGTCGTCGACGCCGTTGTGGGAGATTGTCAGGCGGTCGGCCCATGAGAATAGACTGGTGGCGTAGCGCACAGTGTTGCTGTTGGCGAAGAGTAGAGCGGCTTGTTGTTGCCACTTCGACATCTCTGGGATCGCAATTATGCGTTGAAGGAGCGCAGTGAGGAGCGCGAAGTCAGATGGCGAGACGGATGCGGGTTCGGCGTGAAGTTGGTTAGCCAGGCTGCGGAAGCCCTTTGCAACCGTGTCTGACAGAATCTCGAGGAGCTGGGTAGAGATGGGTTCCGTGTATTTGTTGTGGCTTGTGGGCATTGTGCCGCGGAAAGAGGAGCGGAAGGATGCGTCGTCTGATGTATCCGTATCTTCAATGAGATGGAAGTGAAGGGCGAGGTAGAGAATTCGTAGCAGAGACCGGTAGTAGTGCACAGCGTCAGTCGAAAATACGTTTTCGAAGTCAGGCGTAGAAGTGCGGATAGCATTCCATACTGGAGCGAGTAGTTGGCGCGCCTCGGTCGTTCGTACCTTGGCCTCCACCAGCTTCTTCAGCAGTGCGAAAGCCAGATCTGCTCGCAAGACCATGAGCTGGCCAAACAACGCTTCCGGAAGATTCGATTGTTGATTTGCGACCATGCACTTCTGGATGACTCCGACAAGGACCTTGACTATCCGCTCATCTTTTGCTACAACTTGGCTCAGCTCAAGAGCCAGTAGCTTCCAGCCTTGGAGCAGTAGGACCTCAGACTCAACGAGCCCAAGGTTGTAATTGGCCTTTTCGACTTCGGCAGCGAAACCCGTGCCTTCTCTAGGGCCTGTCCATTTGCTGTTGAAGCCCAAAAGTTGCTGGGCAAGGTCGATGTCATAGAAGAAGGCGCGTCCGAAAGTCTCCGGGTAAAGTGTGGTTCGCTTGAGATTCCCTAATGAGACACCAGGATACTGTTGCTCGAGGTTTTGTTTAAGATAGCCATGCAGGGATGTACTGTATGACGGTAGCTCCAAAGCAGTGTCTTCCAGATAGGTCAGACTTGGCACAACATCCTTGAGCGCAGTGATGTCGCCCACTTGCCGCGAGCTATGGAGGTACATAGCGATGACTTCGCAAGCTAATGATGCAAACCGGTTCTGGAAAGAGCGCTCCAGCGTCTCACTATTGCTGCTCATTCTTGGTTGTTTAGGTTGCTTGGCCATCCACTTCAGGAAACCAAGCAGCTTCTGGATCAGGTCCTTCCGTTGTCGTAGGTCACCCATTGCCCACGACCAGTTGTTCTGCGCCGACGAAACAAACTCAAGCATGGCAGTGTATAGAGGCCATGAAATCCCACTCGCATCCTTTTCCGGTAAAGCCATGTTGGAAAGCGCGTCGAGCGCTCGCGTGAGGAGAGCTTTGTTTCGTGAGTCATGGGTTGCATTTTTCTTAGAGCGAATCGACTCGCGAGGTGTGCTACCAGTAAGCAGGTACAACGAGAACCATTGCTGCTTGCACGTCACTACAGCCGAAAGCAAGTTCCAGACATTCGTCTGAATGTCCACTATTTGCAATGGCTCGTCTAGTTGTGACAGCACACTCAAGAAGTTTTTTGCAGTCCGTGGTCCGAGGTGACCAAGTAGGGAAGGCGGTTCTTGCTGTTCAATCTGTTTCCGAGCAGTCTGCTTCGGGTCTCCGTCTGGCATTGCTGAGTCTTCTTGTCCAGCGACCCGAACAGCGCCGCGAACAAGAGCTTCCAACAGGAGTACTACTTGCGACTTCCATTTGTCACTAGTCGCGTATAGTCGCGCTAACAATGGCGTAGCTTTGAACAACTGCTGCTCCAAATGTGTCCAGGGCTTGTTTAGTAGTATGGCGACCCGGACGAGGACATCGGCGAAAGCCAGGGTAGTCTGCGTCTGCTGCATCCACAATGCACTCGAGGTCGTTAGCAACGTGATATCACTGGGGCTGACACCAGTAACCAGAGATGTCATCAGTGGATTCGTCGGAAGATCTGCGCCGGATCGCGTGAGGTATAGCTGGGTAAGATACTCAGCGATGGGCGCGATAGACTTGGCAAGTTTGGCAGATAGCTTGGGCTCGTCGTCGACGCTGTACGCAAGGTTCAAGATCGTTGTAAAGACTTCGCAGATAGCGATGTTGATCTCAGGACGATGGTTAGGTTGGGAGTACTTCCAGTTCAAAGAGCTCTCGTATATGCTGGCAAGGGTCCGACCAAATGTAAAGAGGATAGTGCTCATGATCTTATCCGATGTTCCGCTTTCTGAAGGCGCAGATGCGTTGAAGCGGCTGAGTGCTTTCGTCGGGACTTTGCGAGACACCGATCGCTCAACAGCATCCTTGACGAGTCCCTTGTAGAGTCGGATACATCCTATGAGGAAATCGTATCGCCCAAGAACCATCTCGGTTCCGATCAGGATAGTCGCCAAGCTTCCGTTGCCGTCGCCTTCTAGCAACCTGCTCCTAGCGAGCCAGGGCCATACCCTATGTGGAGAGACGACGATCAGGGCCTCTAAGAAGTGGGTGCAGTTGACCAGAAGCTCTAAAGAAGCCTCGTTACTAGGCTCCTGGCAGAGGTGAAGCAGCTCCTCTTCGAAGATGGCAAGCACGATGTTGACGGTATCCTGGCTGCTCTCAGCACCGATGCTAATCGCCTCCAGGAGTTCGGCTGAGCAGATGCCCTCAGACGCATGCAAAGAAGAATGCATCAAGTCGGCGAAGAGTCCGATAATCTCGATGACACTTTCGCGAGATGCGGGTTGTTGCGTGGCGGTTTCGACCTTACTGCTGCCCACAGGGTATGTTGAAAGCAGCTCGACTAGATACGACAGTGTCGAGTGGTGATGATGCCATACCGCCACATAAGGCTGTGAGTTATCATCGACAATAATTCCTTCTGTGCCAGCAGGTATTCCAGACAGGCCGTCAGACTGTGTCGATCTGCCGGAGGTCAATAACCGTCGTTGCCCACGGAAGCTTGACGGAGTTCCAGTCGAGAAGAGTGGAAGATTAGCTGTAAGCTCAACCCAGTTGGCGTTCTCCTCCTCGCGCGTCAACGCATAGTCCCTGAAGCCTTCTGGGAGGCGTTGCATGAGTCGGTTGTGGTTCCCAAGCTTCTCGATAAATGTAGGCATGCCGTTCTGCATGGTCTCGTCCCCGCGCGTCAATGCGCTACAGAATTTGAGGAAGGGTGTCATCTCGTAAGGGTAGCGTAGACGAGCTTCGTTGAGCAGCAGTGGTCGAAGGATATATTCGTCTTCCAGGAAATACGCAACAACCGGATCAGCATGGCGAGAAATCTCCCCATTCTCCCATCTACGAAAGGAGTTGTCGCCAGTCAGGATCGTGTACGTCGTTACTATCAGGTCCGGGCTGTATGCGACGATGTCACTGCCGACAGCGGCGCGAATGAGTTGGAGGAACAGTAGACGAATCCTATCCTGTGATATCTGATCGATCGATGTTCCAAATGCTGGCAGACTGGTCTCGACTAGCTGGTTGATGATAGCTAGTACGCCCACTGCTGAGCTGATATTGGCCAGCTCCTCATAAGGCATCTTGCCGTCGAAGAGCTCATGGTTTTCAAGCCTAGCCACGACTAAAGCAGCCTCTTCGAGTGGTGAAGTCTGAGGTTCCGTATTTCCTGTGTCATTCGATGCTTCGATAAGACGGTCGCGCTCTTGTTCCTCGTAGCTTGCACGAGTTGTGAGCCTCCAAGTCAGGATAGCCCAGGCGAATGTTGGGGGTGTAGCCGGACTTGCGCCCAACAACTTGGCCTCTCCGAAGATGGTGGTAATACTCTCTACAACAGTGCCGTTGAGAATATACGATGAGGAGTCCCAGGCGTTGCAGTTGCCGGATTCGAGGTCATCCATAATTTTGTCCACTTTCAAGATAGTCAGAGACATGAGTGAAGTCAGCAGTTGTATCACGGGAATGAGAGGTTCCTGGCGAGCTGTGACTGCAGGGAATTCGCGGAAAAAGCCGCGGAAACTGAAGGCTTTGAGCCAATCTTCGATGGTGGCCGCAGGTAGGAAGTCCTTGGCGACCAAATCTGCGTGTACTAGGGCCAGATGAAGGATATGCAGCATCTCTGTAGTCTGCGCGACGACCCATTTCTCCGATGCAGGCTCTAGTATCGACTCATCGACGTTCCAGCCATAGCCGGTGTCTAAAGCGTCGCATCTTTTGGAGAATGCTTTGAGCAACTCGTCTAGCGCCTTTCCGCCCGAGGGGCCATCTTGTGCTGCTGCGATAGCCTGTCCAAGTTCTTCAATCCAGCCGGCTCCAATACTAAGGTAGTCGTTGCCGTAGATGGTTTGGCTGCGCAAGTTGGATGCGCAGCCCCATGAGACGAGAAGCTGACTGATACGTATGATGGAGGCGCACGTCGAATGGTAGACGTCGAGGATGTGGAGGCGGCGCTGGTCCTTTGCTTCGAGATGCGCGGTCTTGGAAGCGAGCGGTGAGGCCATGATGGATGAGTTTGGGACGAAAGTCGAGGCGCCTAGATTCCCGACTCCAGCGGCTTCCTGTACGCTGAGGGCCTCCTCTTCAGTGAGTCCACTCAGCAGCTGTGCCGTCGGCCTGCCCTGCCATTCCTGGACGACCAACTGCAGCGCTGCATATTCCGATATCTGCGCCTCTTTGGACAACCACAAGCTGTCGTCCTTGATTTCTGCTACATCGTAGTGTTCGCTCTGGGCGGGTGTGACGCTGATGGGCGCGGACTTTGATTCGAATTTGCTCTTCTCCTGCGACGACGGGTCGGGAAAGGGCTTCCACGGGTGGCTGAGGATGTCTCTGTTGTCGTTGGCGGTGAGGAAGGCGCGTAGGACTTCGCTCTTGGACGCGGTTTCGGGGTCGCAGAGGGCGCGGTATGCGATGTCCCAGGTCCTGCTATCGTCAGCTACGCTGCTGCGCTCGATGCAGGTAAACATACACAAGCTGCTGCTCGCCCTTGAGGCACTTGCCCAGGTCGAACTCGGGGGATTGGATGGGGGCCATGGTTGCGCTGCAGTGCGCGAGTAGGAAATCAGCTAACCAAAGGCCATGAAGGTGCTGGAGAGGCGTGGGGGTGGTGTTGCCGAATGTTTGGCGTCAATGGCTACGAAAGTCGCGAAAGCCAAAGCTCACGCGAAAGTCGAGCTAGTACGTGCAGGGATCATCACAAGGGCTCTTTCTGCGTGACCTCTCACCCAACACCTACCACACACACACGCTTCAATGTTTTGGAAAGAGACCAGATGCGCATAGAGATATCATCGCCGGTTAAGTTCGCTCCTATTGGTTCGCGTCGCAATGGGTTTTCGTCTGATTTTCCAATTACCTTCTGCCAACAATGTAGCAATAATTTGCTCGCGGACTGCTTGGACAAAGAAAAGACTCTCTTTTCTAGTACATACAGTCTGAATCATCTGTTGGACCTTGCATAGGCAAGAAGTCGAGCAATAGCGGCGTTGCTGTACCAAGCATGACGGTACTGTACCGTAGCACTAAGGACTGATTCATGCCACCTCCGTGTTAACTCCGCAGCCTCAATATCTGAATAGTGCATCATTGAGTCACCCCACTACTCTACTAGACAGCCATTTCTTCCCGCCTTCCCGTCCCAAGGTACACTCACATCTCCCGGCGCGCACTCCGTTAATCGGCAGCTAATATATTTCAAACGTTGAGCTCGCCGTCAAAAGGGCCGGACAGGTACTCAGGCGAAGCTATATAACAGCCACCGGCTTCCCAAGGCGACGGCAACGTTGACGCAAAACAACGCCCAAGATGCCTGCCCTCGAACTGATCGACCACTCGCCCAGCAATCCGACACCCTCTCCGCCGATACCCACCGCCTCCAACGTTGTACTCATTGACAATTACGACTCGTTCACCTGGAATGTGTACCAATACCTTGTCTTCGAAGGCGCAAAAGTGACCGTATACCGAAATGACGAGATCACCCTCGAAGATCTCATCGCGAAAAACCCTACACAACTGGTAATCAGCCCAGGTCCAGGACACCCCGAGAAGGATGCAGGCATTAGCAATGCGGCCATCAAGCACTACAGCGGCAAGATCCCGATTTTTGGCGTGTGCATGGGAGAGTGAGTTCTCAGACCTCAGCGGGCGCAAAAGGCGGGGCAGTGCTGACACGACACAGACAGTGCATATTCTACAGCTACGGCGGTACTGTAGACGTCACAGGCCAGGTCCTACACGGAAAAACGTCGCCTCTCAAGCACGACGGCAAGGGTGTCTTTGCAGGCGTCTCACAGAATGTCCCCGTTACGCGCTACCATTCGCTCGCCGGCACCCACGGTACTCTGCCAGATTGTCTCGAGGTGACTGCGACCATACCCGCGAACGAAGATGCCGAAGTCAAGGAAGTTATTATGGGTGTGCGACACAAGGAATACGTCATGGAAGGGGTACAGTTCCACCCTGAGAGCATCTTGACAGAGGATGGTCGCCTCATGGTGAGGAACTTCCTGAAGATGCAGGGAGGTACCTGGGTCGAAAACGAGCGACTACAGAAAGAAGCGCATGCTCAAGCTGTTGGGGCTGGTTCCAACGGCACAGCAAATGGCGCAAAGAAGGACAAGCAGACATCCATACTGGAGAAGATCTACGACCACCGCAGGGCCTGCGTCGCAGAACAGAAGAAGATACCGTCCCAACGACCCAGCGATCTACAGGCTGCATATGATCTCAACCTGGCGCCTCCTCAGATCAACTTTCCAGAACGTCTCAGGCAATCGCCGTTCCGACTGTCGCTCATGGCCGAAATCAAACGTGCGTCTCCCTCCAAAGGCATAATCTCCCTCTCCGCATGCGCCCCCGCTCAAGCAAGGCTGTACGCAAAGGCCGGCGCAAGCACGATATCCGTACTTACTGAACCGGAATGGTTCAAGGGCAGCATCGACGACCTCAAAGCGGTTCGCCAAAGCTTGGAAGGCATGCCGAACCGTCCCGCCGTCCTGCGCAAGGAATTCATCTTCGAGGAATACCAGATCCTGGAAGCTAGGCTCGCGGGTGCCGATACTGTATTGCTGATCGTCAAGATGCTGGACGAAGCAGTTTTGAAGAAACTCTACGACTACTCTCGATCACTTGGAATGGAGCCCCTAGTCGAGGTCCAGAACGCGGACGAGACGGAGATTGCGGTCAAGCTGGGCGCCCAGGTTATTGGTGTGAACAACCGTAATCTTGTGAACTTCGAGGTCGACATGGAGACCACCAACCGTCTAATCAACATGGTTCCAAAAGAGACAATCTTGTGTGCGCTAAGCGGTATTGCCGGACCCAAGGATGTCGAACCGTATATCAAGAGTGGAGTTGGCGCAGTTTTGGTGGGCGAAGCGCTAATGCGCGCATCAGACACCGCTCAGTTCATCGCGGAGCTTCTGGGTGGCTCGTCTACCAAGAAGACGGGAACAACCTCTAGCCCGATGGTGAAGATCTGCGGAACTCGCAGTGCCGAGGCTGCAAGAGCCGCAATCGAGGCAGGAGCTGACCTCATCGGCATGATTCTCGCGCCAGGAACCAAGCGAACAGTCACAGCTGAGACAGCCCTGGAAATCTCGGAAACAGTACACAAGACCAGAAAGCCTGTAGTCTCGAAATCCGGGCTACTTGCTGAATCAAAGTCTGCCACCGATTTCTTTGAGCACGGCGCAGCACGACTGGTGTCAAGTGACAGTCACGCGCTTCTCGTAGGCGTGTTCCGAAATCAGTCACTAGAGTATGTGCTTGAACAGCAGCGATTGCTAAATCTAGACGTCGTGCAATTCCATGGTCAAGAGCCATTAGAGTGGGCAAAGCTTGTTCCTGTCCCTGTCTTGAGAGCCTTCAACCCGCACAATCTTGGCATTGGCTCGAGGGGGTATCACGCCCTACCACTTCTGGATGCAGGATCCGGCGGCTCGGGTCAGCAGTTGGATCTTTCAGATGTGAAGGCAGTATTCGCGAAAGACGATGGTATCAAGGTCATATTAGCGGGAGGACTAAACCCTGAGAACGTCCAACCTACGCTCGCTGGTCTCGATGAGTACCGGGACCGCGTGCATGCTGTAGACGTCAGCAGCGGTGTGGAAGAAGATGGCCAGCAAAGTCCGGATAAGATACGGGCATTCATCAAGGCGGCCAAGAATCAGTAGTGGCTGTTCAGAATACGACTACCAGAGCTGAAGGTTATCTTCGGAATTATCAAATGTAACACAAATGGCCCAGTACCCATCTGATCTTTCTTTGAACACCCTGTTTAGTTCCCCATGTCTTACGCGTCAGGCAGCTCAGTATTTCGATAATAGTGGTTTGTGTCGCCGCACATAGCGGCCTGGAGTCGCGTCTCTTACCTCTTGATCGCAGCCGCACGGCCCCGGCAAACGCTATATCACTTCGACCAGTGCCTACCACCACAAGGTAAGACCGACGTGGGTCTCGCCAGTTTGAGACCCTCGATCTGGGCACAATAAGCCCTCAATTACATCGTCAATCAAGGTTAGACACTATCACTCCTACACTCTACGTTTTGACTACTGCACCTCTACAATGGGTGTGTTGGACAAGCTTACTATTGCCGTTGTCGGTACCCATCCCCACGATGCCAAGCAAATCAAAGTCTGGATCGAACGAAACGGTGGCAAGTTCTCTGCGAAGATCAACAAGAGCGTCACGCACCTCATCGCCAGTAAAGAAGCATACAAGAAACCCGCCGACGCTGTACAACAGGCCACCGATGTCAACATCCATGTAGTCAGCTATGACTGGTTTGACGACTCCTTGCAAGCGAGAAAGAAGTTGGGTATTAGGAAGTACACGTGGGAAGTGCTCATGAAAGAGAGGAGGAAAAAGAAGGAGCTCAAGAGGCTGGGTACACAAACGGATGGCAGTAAGTTCAGGACGGGGTGTGAGAAGATCAAAGGGTTGACTGGATCAGGTACGTCGAAGACATCTCCCATTCGTGTGAGAAAACCGAGGAAGAGCAAGAGCTTCTTCTTCGCCACATCCGCCCCAGCAGTTCCTTCCGTTCCTTTCATTTCCGCGAAAGAAGACCTCTTACGTAGGAGGGCGGAAAGAGAGGCTGCATTAGCTGAGGGGGCTGGGGCTGGGGCTTCTGAGGGCCAGGCGAAGAACCTCATTGAAGTCATGGATGACACTCCAAGCCCGGCCAGACAATCTGCGGGCTCTTTCGTTCCAAAGCTTATCACTTTTACCAATAAGCCCAAGCCCGTCCCTGTTACCTCCAAGAAAGAACCACAAGCTAAGATGTCTCACTGGAAAGAGGACTATCACTACTATCAAGACGTCGACGGCTTCGAGTACAAGATCGTTCTTGTACGCGGCGACAATTATCCCGATGGATATGCGCATGTAAGTTCTGACAATACGAGTTGTATGTGAGATATATACTGACTTCGCACGTCTACCTCTACAGTATCATCTTGGGCTATTGGAGAGTCATACAAAGCCGCATGTGTACTGGGCACTTGTGCAGTACAAGCCCGCTAAAATCGTGCCATCCACAGAGAAAGAAGAGAAGGGAGATGTAAAGCATCAGGTATCTCTCAGCGACGACACCACACAGCATCCTGAAGCGAATCGTCTGCTTTCCATCGTCACCAAACCAACCCCAACACCAGAGGCTCCGTACAACGGCGAGCTATGCCCCCGCCACAGTGACTTCGCCGCTGCCTCTCGCTCCTTCCGCCACGCCTTCCGCGATCTAACTCTCCTCTCCTGGGAGGAACGCTTCGACGACAAGACGCTCCAAAAAGCGCGCGCCCAAATCCTCAACATAGAGCCCTTCTGGTACGGAAAACCGAAAATGGGCATGCCAATGGGCAAGTAGCATCCATGTACAGCCCGAACCGCTATGAGACACGTACTGACTTCTACCCCCCAATTCTTAGGCCTCTTACCCCAAGCACCAAGCATATACACAGGTACAACAACCGGCCTCGAAGTCTGCGGCGACATAGCCGACTCCTACACCCGTGGCACCTCTCTCTTGCCCTCGATCTCGCACCCCCTCATGCGCCACGGCATGATCGGCGGTCCCATCCACCGCGACGCCGAAGATACCCGCAAGCGCGAAGAAGCGCGTCTCCAGAAGATCGTCGACGATGAGGAGCTTGAGAAGAGGAAGGCAGGTCTATTGCGCGCGAGGGATATGAAGGTCAATCATAATCGACCTATGTTTAATGGGCCGATGGGTAGGCCGACGGTGGATGCGTATGGCCAGCATATCAGTTATAGGGGGGATGGCGGGGTTAATAAGTACTCTGTGCCCATGCCGGTGGGGGGTGCTGGGAATGCTAACAGGGGGTTTGTGGCGCCGGAGTTTGCACATTTGTTAGCGGGGGCGAAGAGAGAGAGGAGGGCTTGGCCGAATCAGAGGGATGATTGAGGTGGGAAGATTGAGTGGGCGAAGGGGTTGGCGTTGGGTGGACTTGGGGTTTGATGTGTGGTGGATGAGGAGGTTCGAGAGAGAGACTATGGTTCTGGGGCGTTGGGAGCCAGCGGTCACATCTGACTGGTGGTATCCTGTACCTTATACAGCATAGTTCCAGAACTTGGCACCCTATCTTTCCTCTGACGATCGAAAAAGTACGTTGCGAATGGCAACTTGCAACGCAGTTGCTCGATGGATGGGGTTCACTCGATGAGGCAATGCATGACCTTCCTGTACTGTACGGCGAGGTAGCAACTTCCGTGGCGGTGGTGGCAGTTCTTTTAGTCAGAGAGGTACATGGGACCACTTCCAACAAGACCTGTATGCAAATCGACAAGAATTCCCCTGTATCTGGTGTGGAGGTTTCTATCATTGCTTGCTTGATTGCCCTGGCCAGCAAACGACTTGGCGCGCTCTGTTGCATTCTCAGGTCAGAGCGGCTACGAGAGCCAAGCAGCCTTTTTCGTCGCGAATCTACAGGCACGTCATAGACCGGAAGAGGTTGTGTCTTTCATGACTTGACAGCGCAGACCTTATTACAGCCGTACGGAAAACCCAAACTCTTTAATAGGAAGAGGGCGAGGACGTGGAGGCCGCATTTAAGGATCGGTCACCTCTGGTCGTCAGGTTGGAAATCATCAGCCTGGTAATGATAGCTGGCTCCTCCAATATTGCATTTAACGTAGACTGCTTTCGATGAACGGCGCTCACCCCAGTATAAAAACGATTAGGTTGACACTGACATGCATTAATATGAGCAGCACATGGCTGCCATGACGGATTACTGATCTCACCACGATGGGTACTGATCCCACGGAGGCTGGAACAATCTGGCCGGTCCCAGATGACATCCATAAGCGCGTCAGTACGACTCCAGAATACTGACGAGGATGACTGGGAGGTACGTGCAGCTTTTCTTCTCATAATGTATCTAGGTGATGTAGTAGACCATTGTTCATGTTGGCCCAATCCTTGGTATCCGTGTCTGAGAGACACGATGTTCTGGATGTGAAGGCTGAGGGTGGAATTTAATCAACGCATCGTGACAGCTGGTGCATCTTTCGTTTCCCTGTATGACTAGTTTTGCTATCTGCTTTCTGGCTTTTGGGTACTTCCTTGCTGTCTTGATTTTGCAGTTGCCTTTTTCTCCTCCTTTTCGTTTCTATTGTACTTGCTCTCGCGATAGACCAAAACTTTTCTACTGTGTATACACCCGGCCATATAACATCAGAGTGGCTGACTGGGTAGAGAAGTTTTTAGTCGCCAATCGACCATAAGCTGCTTCACCAAATAACATGTTCTCGCCTTAGTCTACATCAGCTGAACAACATCGAGTAAGAAACAATGTCGACAGACGAAAAGGGTGGTACTTGCGAGTGGGTGGCTTAAAACATTGGCTTATGCTGTAGGTGCTGGTACTGTGATAGAGTTGTGGGCGCAGTCGTGCTCCCCAGTTCGCACGGTTGTCTTTGAGTATCACTCCGCACTTGAACATAACCAGTCAAAGATCGCGGCAGGGCGGGATCGATATCGCATCGGACACTACCTCTTTCGGGTTATCACCGTGGGCGACAGGATCTAGACCTGAGTACGCTGCAGGCCTTGTACTTCTACTAAAGGTCAATCGCGCGAACAACGCACAATATTGAAAAGACGAGAGTATACAATGAGGTCCTTCATAACGATGTTGCCTTGTCGTGATGATGGAGACGGTGGTGCTGCGCCTCGCACGGAACTGCACACTACGCCCGGGCGATCGCCACTAGAGATGACTAAGGGCGTGCCTTGCCCGTTCTTGTGCGATTGGTGACGTGCGTCTTCGCGGCTCAGAGCTCGCTGATTCAACAGGGTCCCATCATTTAATTTCCCTCGCAGCCCACATCAAAACAAGGCCACGGCAAGGTTCAATTAATCGATTTTGAGCACTGCCAGTCCCAGCGACCCAGCATCCGCTGTTCATTTTACCAAGACTAGTCTTGTTGCGCGGAACAATTGTTGGACTAATCGCCGCGCTCACGTCCGTCAGTCAGCGCAAGATTCCGTAGCTTCCGCGGCTCATCTCAAGCTCCACTGCGGCATCCCGAAACCATCGCTCCAACGCTGTCAATCCATCCCAGCCAACACCAAACATGTCGCAAAACTATCAGCAATACGGCGGCAACCCGTATGGCCAGGCCGAGGCTGGATACGGCGCGCAATCGAACCCATATGGCGGCACCGGCTACGGCTCAGCCAACCCCTATGACGGAGGAGTAAGCAGTCGCGACCACGCGGCCTGAACTCAAAAGACTGACGCGACGAAACAGTATGACGGCCAGGCTCAGCAGCTCAGCCCGCCGGCGCCCCTCCAACGTCATGGCGATTCCAACTATTCGCAGCCATCGCAATATTCGCAACCCGGCGCAAACACACAACCACCCAACGTACCGCATACCGACGTGCCGATGAACAACACGCCTGCGTACGGCGAGCCGACTGGAAACTACGGCATGGAGGCGCCAGGACCGCAGCCCCTCAGCCGCGAGGACTTCTTCGCGCGCATCGAAGGCGCAAAGTCGCGCATTGGCCAGCTCACATCCGACATCCAAGCCATTGCAAGTGTCCACCAGCGCATGCTATCCTCGCCCGACAACCGGTCCACCGCCGAGCTCGAGAGCATCGTAACCGCCACGCAGATCAGGAATACCCAAATCAAGGACGAGATCAAGTTCCTGGAGAGGGATGCCGTGCGCGACCCCAACGACCGGACGAAGAGGACGCAGGTTGAGGCCTTGAAGAGGACCTTCAAGACGCAGCTAGAGGACTTCCAGAGGGAGGAGGCAGATTACTCCAAGAGGTATCGCGAGGCTGTTGGGCGCCAATACCGCATCATCAACCCGGATGCGACGGATGCCGAGGTCAATGAGATTGCCAACTCGGATCTGGGTGACGAGGGCATCTTCACACAAGCTGTAAGTTGACACAGACCGCACGAAACAAGACCTACGTCACTAACAACCCGCAGCTCAAGTCGAACCGTAGCGGCCAAGCCTCGAGCGTCCTTGGCGCTGTCCGCGCCCGCCACAACGACATCCAGCGCATCGAGAAGACCATGGGCGAGCTTGCCCTCCTCTTCACCCAGCTCAACGAGCAGGTCATTTACCAAGAACCCATCATTCAACGGACCGAGGAGCAGACCGTACAAGTCAAGGACGATACCGAGAATGCGAACAAGCAGCTGGACGAAGGCATCAAGTCGGCCAGGCGCGCGCGTAGGCTCAAGTGGTGGATCCTCTTGACAGTCATCCTGATTCTGTGTGTTATCGCGCTGGTACTTGGATTATACTTTGGATTGAAGAACAAGGACAACAAATAGAGGATGTAATGATTATGTAGCGGTGTGACAAGGGGAGGATGCGATATCATGTTGGGACTATGTTTCTGTCTAGAGAAGTGAATGACTTCTCGTTGCTTTCTTATTATTAGTAATGATCCGGGCTGCACTCCGCAGTAACGAATGTGTATACAAAGGAGGTTTTTCTAGGATATATCTGAACGTATGCGCGTGGTTCTATTGAGATGTAAACACAATGCAAGATAAAGTCTACTTTTAGAACACCCGTTTGTGAGATACGGTTCCAGAAACACGAGCGCCTTCGCAAACGGAAGTCGGCAGGGAAGAGGTGTTAGCGCTGGTGGTATGATGGCAAAAAGCCCGTAAAACAAAGACTACGTCCCCAACATCTCAAGTCTCGACCGCTAACGGGATTCTGGACCGGCTGGCGCATGTACAATCGATAGAGCTGCGGCAAGGCAGTGGGAGACCCGGTCCGGGGAGAGGGCGTGCTCTTGAAATCGATTCCAGATGTGATGGCCGGATATGTTGTGTTGAGAAGGCTGGCCGGGGCTCTAATAATACGACGGCAAACTAGCCTGGCAGGACAGAAAACCGCCTCCCAGCATTTGAAATACGGAGGCTGATGATTTGCCGGTGACATGCCAATGAAATGCCTCACCAAAATCCACAGCTCGTGATGTCAAAACAGTGCCAGGCGCGGACCGACTACCTCGTTTCACAGCACAGCGAAGGCAGTATCGCCGTTTCGGAAGCGACCAGCGACCAGCCAGCCATGCGATGCAACAGCAGCCCACGATGCCTCCACATGTCGTCATCTATCCAATCTTAGCCGTGGGCCGTCATTTCGGCATCACGCCTGCGCGACATGGGCAGCGGCATGCTTGGATAGCTTTGATACCGATCGCCAGCGTCTGCGCAACAGAAAACAGTGAATGATTGACGGCCGACGCGTGTTTCAGCGCTCTTGACGGCCGTCCACCCAAGCATGATCGCCACGGCGAGCCAGTCTGCTTAGCTAGGCTTGACGGTGGGCTCATGCGCGTTGGCGGCTGCTTGGATGTGGGCTTGGTGCGGCTTGTTCAGGGGTTGGCGCTGCTTGCATGCTTGTCTCCCAGCCAGGACCGATCCCCACCGGGGTCGCAGCCTATCACAAGCGGAAGGTGCAGTGCACTAGGGAATTGGACGCGTCGCCTCCCTCGCAGTCGACTGCTTAACCTGCTGCTTTTCCCGTGGAATCCTTCTTTCTTCAATCTCACGACCTCAAGTGCTTCTTGCTACTTACAACCTTTATTCTAATCGCAACTTCTAACACTCGTTTCACGGGAGTTGCTCTTTACTTCGGATTCAAAGTATTTTACTTGTTTACTTCGGCCCACCAGTCGCTATAACAATCGCTCAACTGTAATTATCATAAACACCCACACGACCATCATGAAGACCTTTGCCATTGCCGCCGTCCTTGCGGCCTCCGCTGCGGCCACCCCCGCGGCCACCCAGAAGCGGGCCAACATCACCCCCGTCACTGTCAAGGGAAATGGTATGTGAACTTGCCAATCCGGACCCCAGTCGTATACTAACATCTTCAGCTTTCTTTGCTGGCAACGAGCGTTTCTACATCCGCGGTGTCGACTACCAGCCCGGTGGCGCCTCCGATGCGAAGGACCCCATCGCCGACGAGGCTGGCTGCAAGCGCGACATTGAGAAGTTCAAGGAGCTCGGCATCAACACCGTCCGCATCTACACTGTCGACAACAGCGCCAACCACGACGCGTGCATGGGTCTCCTCGCCGATGCCGGTATCTACCTCGCTCTCGACCTGAACACCCCCAAGTACTCCATCAACCGTGCCGAGCCCCAGAAGTCTTACAACAAGGTCTACCTCCAGAGCATCTTCGCTACCGTCGAGATGTTCGCAAAGTACGACAACACACTGTTGTTCTTCTCCGCCAACGAGGTCATCAACGACGACAAGACCACCAACTGCGCTCCCTACGTCAAGGCTGTCACCCGTGACATCAAGTCTTACATGAACGCTCGCGGTCTCCGCAAGATCCCCGTCGGTTACTCTGCCGCTGACGTCGAGAGCAACCGCTACGAGATGGCCGACTACATGAACTGCGGTGACGATGCCGCCCGCAGCGATTTCTTCGGTTTCAACGACTACTCCTGGTGCGACCCGTCTTCCTACACCGTCTCTGGTTGGGACCAGAAGGTCAAGAAGTTTGCCAACTACAGCATCCCCATTTTGTAAGTCTCTCACCTTCACACCACATATCTATTAGCTAACATGCCCAGCCTCTCCGAGTACGGCTGCAACAAGGGTACCCGAAAGTTCGAGGAGGTCAAGTCGCTCTACAGCACCGACATGACCGGCGTCTACTCCGGCGGTCTCGTCTACGAATACTCCCAGGAAGACTCCAACTACGGTCTTGTCGAGATCAACGGCGACTCCGTCAAGGAGCTTGCTGACTTCACCGCCCTCAAGGATGCTTTCTCCGCCACCAAGAACCCCAGCGGCGACGGCGGCTACAAGTCCGACGGCCAGCCCGCAACCTGCCCCGACCAGTCCAAGACCTGGGACGTCACCATGAAGAGCGACGAGCTCCCCGCTGTCCCCTCCGGTGCTCTCGACCTCATGAAGAAGGGTGCTGGTGACGGCCCTGGTCTCGCTGGCTCCGGCTCCCAGCAGGCTGGTTCTTCCGACGAGAACCTCGCTCCTGCCAACTCTGGTGCTGTCACCTCAGGTGGCAAGGTTCCCACTGCCACTGGCGGCAGCAGCCCCTCTGGCTCCGAGGGCGCCGCTGCTTCCATCCGCCCTGAGTTCAGCTTCGCTCCCCTCGTCTGCGGTGCCGTTGTCCTCGCCTCCTCGCTCTTCGGCGGTGCTCTTATCTTGTAAGAGGATCACCAGAGCTTTTGAGTGTGTTTTCTTTCCGCTTCAATTTCTGATACCACATCTTGAGGTGGTCGGATCGATGTAATGCAACGAACGACCCAGCGCGGGCAACGTTATTGGGAATAGAGTTGGTTCTGTTATCCCAGTCGCATTGGCTTTGAACTGCCTCTTGTGACGGGAGTTGGTCGATCTTGTTGTCGGCCAGGCGTCTTTTTTTCTTGTTGTTCTCTTTGTTTGAAGTATCTCAGTATATATCAGGAAATACAAACACATTGAAAAATTCACTTTGGATTCATGTGACCGTGGTTAAGATGATTGATGACCTGGTACTGTGATGTTGATGTACAGGAGGCTTGCGGTATCGACTGGCGCTCTGACCTGTTGGTATGCATATAAAATCCCTGACTGCCACTCCTCTTCCTTTCTACATCCACGAGCTCACCTCGGTTTCCAAAATACCTGCGCTAATAGTGTCACGTTTTCTGCTTTTGTTGAAACCTGCAAACCTGGACCTGATGTGTGCGTCCCTTTCTTGGACTGCCATCGCCCCAACACATGCGTTACCGACTCTTCAAAATAGCCTTTCCCAAAAGACATGTTCGCATCTTACATGGCCGCCGCCATCTCTCATTGCGTTTCTCGAGATCGGCAATCAAATGTGACATGAGAGTTGTGCCTGAAACCACATTTTGACGTTTTACTTCCAAATTACTCGGTATGCAAACCTCATGGCTTTGCGCTTTCTTCCAAAACTAGACATACTCTTTGACATGAGTGTGCGGTGCGTTTCCAAAACTACAGCGTAGATTCGTGGATGTGTGCCGTCTGTCGGACTCTGCGGACTTTATCAAAATAACGTGCGGCGCGAGAAGACTGGGAGATGGGAGTTTGAAAGCTAGCTTCCTCATGCTGGAGTTGCTGTCTTCTTATCTACATATCCCCACTCCTTTTTACCAAGGCAAAGGTGCAAGTCTCGCATGGGTATCTGTCTCCTTCCGAAAATGCCAAAGTCGCAGAGCTATGGGCCTGTCTCTTTTCCAAAACACTGAAGTGGACCGCCATGTGCGGTGGAAGGAGCCAAACAATCAGTACCTACTTCCGAGCGATCAAGCCGTATAAAGTCTTCGCTTTCTGGGCTTTGTCTCTTCTACACCACTCTACTTCTTCATTACTCGAAAAAAAAAGGGCATTAAAACTGACATGAGTCTCCTCTGCCCTTTCTTCCAAAATCCAGATGCCAACAACCCATGGTCCTTTCGCTCCGACACTCAAAACATGGAACATGTTCTCATGTGCGCGGTCTGCTGCTTCGCTCCGAGTTTCAAAATGGGCGACTATGCCGCGATGCTCTGAGACTGAGTTGAGTAGGTACATGAGCTCGCTCGAAGATGCTGAGGAAAAGATGGAAAATTGCTATGCGGCACTGTCGTGCTGTGAAGCAAGCCCAGAAAAGAACACAAGCAAAAACCATGTGTCTAGGGCGCGCTCGCGGTGCACCGACAAGTTCACCGCCGAGAGTATAAAGTCTTCCATTCGGCTTCTTCTCCTCTCCTCCTTCTCTATCACACATTCCGCTTCTATTTCCAAAAAAAACACTAAGCCAGCGCACCGATGTGTCTGTTCTCTAAAACGATTTGTTAGATCGCAACATGAGCAGCGAGACTCACTCCCTCTAAAACAAGCAGTTCGTTAATCTGATGTCTTCGCATCGCCTCCGAGCTACACAACAAATCCAGTACCAACAAGTGGGATGCAACCAAAATATCAACCCCATTGTTACATGCTTACCCGGACGCCTCGCTGCGGTAGTCATATGCAAAACGCATTCCTCCCGGCCGTCGCTTTGCATCGTTCTTCTCTCTACCCACTTAAAGAATGGCACACAAAAACATCCACTTCGTGTTCATGTTGGCTTGCTCTGCTCTTCTTCAAAACATCCTAAACACCCGTCATGGCTGTCTCTGCCTCGAGCAACAAGAAAAAGGATTCTTCATAGTCTACTTGGTCTTTCCCTTCTGCGCTGGGATTCCTAAAAGAAGTTTATTGTTGCCCTGTGTCGCAAAAAGCGGTGTTGGGATCTGTACATGAGTGTCGCGCTGCCTGAGAAATATTGCAAGTACCACAAGTCATGGCGTTCCTGGCCTCCGTTCTCTGATCTACTATATAAGTCGTCTTTTGTGCTTTACTCCCTCTCCAACACTTGCTCCATATTGAACCAAAACGTATAGCAAAACAATTCATGGCTGCCTCTCTCCAAAAAAAAAAAAAACACAAGAGACAGCGATGTCTCTTCTCGTTTTCGAAAGTGGCTACAAAAGCCTTTCCACCGAACAGTATGTGTGGCACACAGAATCAATCTCGCATACACGATATACATGCGTTCCGGCCGTTGCCCCGCTATCAGACGATGAGGTATTTAAGACTTTCACGAGTGACTCTCTCCAAGCCTCTCACTACACACTTTCTACTACAATTTACCAAAAGCATCGAATCTGCTGTCCATGACTTGCTTCGTCAGAAATATTGAAATCACCGCTGCCTAGAATTATGCCCGTTCCGCCACTTGGTATTCTCTCGTTTATAAAGTCCAAGGACTGCGAGCTATTACTTCCTTCCACCTCTGCGTGTCTTCTACCTTTCGAAAAAAGACAATATTCAGCAATAACGTTCTAGAACTAGAAGATTTGCTCCCATGTTCTGGCTCTCTGAGATTCCACAACTTTCCAATACGAAACGCGTAGCTTTTTTGCCAACCCAACCCAAAAACAGAAGGAGCACCTAATTATGTCTTTCCGCTGCACCAGAAAACAACATGGTGTTTTGCGATGTTGTGGACCTGCCAAAACTTCCATGTATTCACCGAATGACTGGTTCCTGCCGAGTTGGCAGAGTCGAAATTCTTTAAAACACGAAAGGAAACTCCCATGAGCACCAGCATTTGCTGACTGTCGTATAAAATCCCACTCCAGAACCGGGATGCTTCTTTATCTCCACTTACTTCATAGTAACAACAAAATCCGAGACGAAGGCTTCTATGGGTGTGGTGTCGAGAACAAAGATGATAAGGGGCAACCCAATGTCCAGTTCTTTGCTCGTATCAAAAATGCTACAGACCACCCCATGTTGTTGAGGTCTTCGAGAAATGGGCTGGGTTCACATATTCAGAATGAGTGTACCGTACTCTGCCATGAGGATGATCAAACTCAGGCTCCTTTCTCCAAAGCTTCGTGTCGTCATATCCGATGGTAGAAGCAATCCCATATTGCTGCGTAAAACATCGAACATGCCATTTGTATGTGGGTCATGGACTTGCTGGAATCAGGTGAAAGAACTTTCGATGATTCGACGTTGGCGCGAAGAGCCTGAGAAGTATAAAAGGGTATGAATCGAACGTCAACGAGGTTATGCAGGTCGAGTGTCCTTCATTCTTAGGCTTTTCAAAGTCGCGTTAGACAAAAAGATGTGTCCTTCCCTCCTGGAAACCAAAGACGGCAATAGTGGCTCTCATGGAGTCAGAGGGGCCTGTCAGCTGCGGATAATGCTAGTGCGTCGAGGGCCGGTCTCATAGCTTCTCAAGACAAGTTTATTTCCGTGTGCTTCTGACATGCGTGGCAGAAGTCGTCATCTATACTATGAACATACATAACTACAAACATCTTCCTTTCGAACTGCAGTGACCTAGAACGCGACAGTCTATCGCCCCATCTACTCAACAACCCCCATGATCTTAACATCATCCGCCCTCCACTTCCTCATCGGCACCTTCCCCAACTCCCCCCTCAGCCTCTCCTGATCACCCCAAACCTCCTCCCCAACCTCTTCCCTACTTACCCAAGCCCAATCTCCCTTTAGCACACCCACCCCATACCTCCCATACTCTTCTCCCACCTTCAATAACCTGGTATCTGACCCCCAAATCCCCGCTTCCTCTGGATCAGTTATTAAGGTATAACTCCTCTCATGAACTGTTTCGCTGTCTTCGAAAACGAGCGCTTCAGTCTCGTTGGGCGGGAAAGGATCGGTTTCACCCTCTACGTCTGCGTCTGGCGGACTGTAGCCTGTCATTGGGCCTCGCTTCTTTCCGGTTTTGAGGTCGCGAAGTTCAACGCTGGCTTTGTTGCGGCCGTGGGGTATAGAGCGTAGGACGGCGATGCCTTGTGTGCTCGCGATGTTGTCGCGAGTAGTGTCTAGACGCCATGCAAGTGTGATGGTGCAGGGTGGGTTGCCTGAGACGGATATCGTGTCGGTGGAGGTGTGTATGGTTGCGCGGATAGGCAGAGGTTTAGGGACTGTGGCGAGGGCTTTGAAAGTGTAGCTAGGAATTGGTGGAGATGGCTGCGGTATGCTCTCTGTTTCCGGCTCGGGCAAGTTGGCTGGGTCACTATGCTCACCAGCGTACCATGTCGTAATGCCGTGAGACCGGAGACGGATGGTGTACATTCTCCCCGCTACGAGCGATGATGGATCGAAATAGAGGGGCATGGGATGCGAAACTGTAGTACCTGGACGAGTCGACCACATGATATAACTGTCGAGCTTGTCGGGGTCTAGTACAAGAAGTCGTTCAACCCCTTGAGTAGAAGTGCCGGATGGCACGTAGTCCACGCTTTCACCCGTCACTGCGTCGACGATTTCGAACAAGCCTTTTGCAAAAGCCGCTTCGGGATCAAAGATGGTGTTTTTGGTGTCGATGGTGAGTTTCGAGTGGTAATCGACATTGCGTACAAGGCTGATATCGAAAGTATCGGTGCAGTCAATGTAGCAGAATGGACTGGTGTATACCGTGAAAGATATGGAAGGAGCCATGGCGAGAATTGCAGTAACAGAACCACGCTATTAGACTTATCGGTTTGTCGGTGCAGCAGCGATGAATATAAAGAATCATGTGTCGGTGATTTGTCTACCCATGGTAGTGTGACGTCAACGGCGCTAGTCCCTGGTCGGGTGTCACCAAACCGCCCCAGGGCTTGTTCCCGTTCGCATCGAACATGCGCAGTAGTTCTTTGCATTTCGCCCCCCAAATGAAGCATCTTCGAGGGAACAAGGCATGGTTGAGATGCCTCCGGGGCGGAGTAACGACACAGCCATCGTGAACCGTCACCTCTCCACGCGCCATACTGGAGTCATGGCTGTGCGTAACCACATGGACTCGTGCCGCTTGTTCCCTGACGACATTTTGGGCCGAGTATTGAGGCTACATGGTAATCCATAACACAAGCCACCCCAGAACGAAACCACCTCGTTGTACAGCTGGGGCGATAGTTCCTTGATTCTGCCTTGGACACCTTGTTCTTTTGCGATCGGGATGAGACAATGATGCCTGGTTGTACCGAACGACTACTGCGGGATCGAGTTCGAAGATGACCCTTTTGGAGTCCATGCCACAGCCACTTAGCCCCAAGAGAAGGACTAGACAGATCGATATGACGTTACATCCTCTCTGTTCCCTCATCTCGATCAATCATCTTCTCCAGCCCCACGGCCTATGTCTCGATCAATCGTCATGCCAGTGTTTCAGTAGAAGTCATTCAAGACACTTCAGGTCCTTTCGCCTTTATGGAGAGCCTGAAAGACCAACAATGGCCCCAAGATTCCGATGCAAGGCGGTGTTATCCCGTGGAATCAGGCATGCTATAATGTTTATGAAGGTTGTATGTTGTCGATGTACTGTATCTGCCTGATTCGAGATGGCCCCAATGATTATGTATAAAGCACTGATAGTCTGGACACTGGAATCTTGATCATACCACAGACCTTTTACCTACCTTAACTACCTCCTAAAACCAAGAGCATGTACCTCAATCCGAGCATTCTTGCCATAGCGCTCTCAATCAATGGGCTTACCTCTGCTAAGCCCATCGATAGGTTAGTCGAACTTCTATCATATCTAGTGGTCATGCCAAACTGACTCTCGTAGGACGTTCCACGCTGTGAAGCGAGAAGATCCTGTGTCCTATCCCTACGGCGATGCACTCCCCAACGAATTTCAGTGGCTCGGCTGGGACCCCGAAGATGAAACCCAAAAGTCAGAAGGCCAAAAGATACACGAAGCGTTCAAACAATGGGTACATAGTTCATGCAAAGGGAACCTTGGAAATCTCTGATGTTTCTCTCCGTTCCGAAACGATCGTTTTGCTGACAAGTTTTCGACTATCTAGGCAGACCTAGCCAAAGCAGGCATTACGGCAGCCTCAGGCGCTCCCGACAATGTGCACTTCAAACGCTTCTTTGGCACCCAAGACGCGGACGATACCAAGGCCATTCAAAACACCATGGCAAACATGTTCGACAACACAGCAGATTCGGCTACAGAAACCATAAAGAAGATGGTCCTTGAGCGTTCCGACTTTGGCGACCATTGTGAGAAAGATGGTTGGTTCGCCTACACGACTCCTACAGATGGGCACTTTCACCTGTGTCCCAAGGCCATTGCTCTGAAGCAAAATTCCGAGACCCAATGTTCGGATTTCAAGCGCGACTACATCGACAACACGGCCAGGACGCTGTCTTTTGTGATGCTACACGAGTTCACGCACTACGACTTTGTAGCCGATGACCGGATTGGCGCGATCATAGATAACGCCATACTGTCTACTGATTGCTTCAAACTGGACGATGACGATAAGCTTGAAAATGCCCAGAGCTATGCGTTCAATGCTGCAGTAAGTCTTAGTTTCCAGCGACACAATACACGCTAAGAGAGACTCCTAGGACCAATACTGGTCCGATAAATGTCCAGACAAAGACTTCAAGGACCCGGTTAAACCCACACCAACTCCCACACCGACGCCAACACCGACTCCCACCCCAACTCCCGAACCCGTAGCCCCTTACGCCGACCAACCCGGCCAATGCCACATCCACGTCAACGAATACGAAACCTGCGACTCGCACGACGACAATCTCAGCGTCGAAATAACCATGTGGGACGTTTCCGGCGCGCAAATCGGCTACGTCGATAAGACCAAAGCCGGAGCTGGAAACACGCTGATGATGAAGAGCAAGCTGGAAAACACCCTCGAAGTCACGCCGGAGAACCAGCACGACTACATCCAATTCACCTTAGGCGGGCAGTCTTGGGCGACGAATAAAGACAACGACGAGAGTGCGCCGGTGTATTGTAAAGTCGGGGGCTGGGACCCAAAGGCTGGTCCGGTGTGTAATGAGTTTGATAGTGGGACAGCTCAAGAGTCTAAGAGGCAGATGGATTGTTATTTTCAGTGCCCTTGGGGTGGTGGAGCGACGTCTGATGGGTCGTAAGCCTTTGTAGCAAGGGCAGAATACAGCAGCAATGTGCGTGAAGGCGGATAGCGACTCCGCTCGGATACGAGTTAAGAACACTCTTTTTGTATGACGTGGAGGACAAGAACTTGGGTTGGTAAGAGCACACAATCATGGAGTAACGGAATGTACAATATATCGTGGAATTCTCACACGTCTCACATAACGCATCTCTCATCTGCTCATCACCGCCCGATCTATCGACTAAGCATACAAAAGCAGACGAAAACGCTCGAAAAAACAAGAGAACAAACAAACAGGGGTATCTCAAGGCTCAGACGATATGTAACAAGGACGTTAAAACGCGTCGCTCCCACCGACCGTAACGCCTTGTGTCAGTCATGGTCGTCTTCTCACGAGCCGGTGAAGAGATGCCAGACAGCTGTAAAACAGGTAGCAGAACTCCGCAGAACGCCTCAAATGCCGCATGCAAAACAAGTAGAAGAGAATCATATCATCACCAGCCACCTGGCATGTTGAGTGCCATCAATCGGCAGACCTAGACTTGGGGGCTTTTAGCAAGGACGGCGTACGGAGAAGATGCAGGGAGCTCAAAGCTCCATCCTCTCGATGATGCCCTCGCTCATCGTCCGTATCTTACTCACGACCCTCTCTCGGTCTACGAGTGACTCAACGTCGCTGTCGTCATCGCTCTCGTAGTAATCGGCGTCCATGCTCATGTCTCTGGCTGGCAGGTAGCGCTGTTGTTCTGCATCGACGACATCGCCGGGGTGATCAATGACCATGTTGTCGAGCTCATCACTGTCTCCGTATGCTTCAAGTCCCTTCCTAGCACGATCACCAAGCCAGTATTCCGCGCGCTTCCTACTGCCCGCATTCGCACTGGACTCGTATTTTGATGCTTTGAATTTCGACATGAGCGACATGGCGACACTGGGAGAGTTCGACAAAGCCGATATCCCGCGGAGGTAGAAGTATGCAACTCGCTTACGCTCCTTGTTGTACAGGAAGAAGTGGTGACTCCAAATCGCGCCGTCATCGGCGAATGGGTCATCTGATGGCTCCCATGCGTAGTATTCGCAGCTCGACATGTCCATCTCGCTATCGACCAGGTGCCAACTTCGCGGACTCCATATCGGTGAGCCAAGCGGTGTGACTGCGCCTGCTGGTAATCCAGCAGAGTACACTTGTGGGCGGAGATAGTACATTGTAGTGTCGATCTTGTGCATGAAGCTGTGGATGGTCTCGCGACGGAATTCGTCAGGATTCAGGGTATTCGCGAAGTCGTAATCGATGTGTGTGGCATTGAGCGTCGCGATGAGGTATGCGAAGGTGTGACGGTTTGCTGCTTCGCTGAAGGATCCAAAAGGCGTGTCTCGGGAGATGTCAAGTTGGTCTGCGAACTGAGCTGCAGACTGCTCGGAGAGCCCCGCGACTGCGGATAGCAGATCCTTGTGTCGCTCCTCGAGCGTCCTCTCGATGCGCTTATACAACTTCTTGTCGCTTCCCGCTGCTTTGATGGTCCATAGATCGCATCCGCCGATGATCGCTGTATCCTGCGTATCGAAGTTGAGGGCGAGGTTCACCTCGTGGAGGGCGCACAAATCGAGGTACTACGGTCCCACCGGGTCAGCTATGTCGTCATTCTGGCCTTATCGCATCGAGCACTTACCTTCATTGCGCTTAATGTGGACTCGTTTGGGCTGAGTGATTATTTGAGAATATATCGCGTATGATCCCGGAAGTTGGAGATACGGTATGGTTCAGCGCGCCGTGGCTGCTGGGTGTGGCTGTGGCTGTGGTCGGGAGGGGGTAGCCTGCGCGAACCGATACAACAAGTAAACACGACTCTAGGCTGGCTGCGGAGAGGAGAGGGTACTGTCGTTCGGCCAGACGATCGTCTAGCAGGCAGTGGACATATGTATGGCTTGGGCGTGGTAGTGGTGTGAGATGTCGGTGTCGCTGTAACGACGTGGTCGCGATTGCGGAGAAGGTCAGCTTGGCGGTGTCGCCGAGCTAACAGCGGCATGTGTGTCGGGTCGTCCTTCCTGATTGGTCGATACGCAACCTGCCTCTCAACCAACAACAGCTGCCGATAAGAGTGGATGCGTAGGCGACTGGCGTTGAGTGTTGATGTTAGTTGTCTGTGGCCATGCCGGGTGTGTCTGGTGCGCGGGGCATGTCATCTGATGATCGAACACGTGAAGGACAGAGATGCCTGAAGATGAATTCACATGAATTCGGCAACGTATCATTTGATGTATGCATGTCAAGGCTCTGGATGAAGGACCAAACGCTGATCCGAACCAATCGCTGTCACGAAGTGCAGGTGCGCAGCGTCTCTGCGGTGTGGAGACCTGTAGCTAGATGAATAAGGTAAGTGAACCAGCGTAAGGAAAAAGAAAAGAGAGAGAGAGAGAGAGAGTTGTCAAGTCTATCAGGGTGAAGTCTCGATGTCATGATGTGTGATCACGTTCGAGCCCATGAACCGCTTGTGTCAAACCTAGCTGTGTCGAGCAAGCCCGCCAGTCCGAGGTGTATGAATTGTAGTAGATAGAGTACAGCTACCGCCATCCGCTCTACAAGGCAGGATGGCAGGTAGTGCGTTCTCCAGATGATCCAACCCCTGCGCCGTGTGATATCGTTTCGCTCTTGACGCCTGCCCTTAGGAAGTTGTTTAGCATGAGCCGTGTTGCAACGGACGACTGTGTGTGTGTGTGCCGTAGCCCTACTCCAAACTCCAATAACGCCGTACAATGTGTGTTCGCATGCGGATGTCGGATCGGGTCTATAAGATGCCGCTCTCTCGAAGCCGGCCTTTGAATTCGTCCGCGTTCTGGAAGCCATCAGGCGCGGTCAGTTGGGACTCTTGGGACGGCGGTGACGAAGGGCCAGAAGGTGAGATGCAGTAGTGCGTTCCGTACACGTTTACATAATCTTGGTAACGATATCGTCCTCAGCCTGACGACAGGGCGCGTCAGCCAGCTGGCGCTATGGGTGCGTGCGGCGAAACAGACCCGAAAGTCATCACACCTCACTCACCTCCATATCTTCGAGGCTGTCTTGCTGTCCTATACACCGGAGCACATTCTTTTTACTGCTCTCTTGCATCTCACCCGCGAGCAGTAGCTCGTCCAGGATGAAGTATGCCTTTTGGAAGTTGAAGATGATGTCGAGCTCGCATACGTTGCCGTAGTACTTGTCCATCTGCTCGACGTAGCGGTGGACGATTTCGAGGGTGATCAGCTCATTGTCGGTCGAGTCACAGCCGGCGATGAAGAAGAGCGAGGCATATCGGCGATATACGATCTTGGTGTCTGGAGAATGTGTGAGCTAGCGAAGCTCTTGCCCCTGCGGAGCCCACTGACCTTTGTACTCTAGGAAGTTGCACATGCGGGTGCGGCGGGCGAGGACGAGTTGCGAGACGTCTTTGACAATCTTGGCCTTGTCTTTGGGGGCGAGGGTGGTGAACCACTTGGCTAGGCGCTGCGAGCTTCAGCAAGGGACTTGAGATTCTAGGGTGAGGGACCAACCACTTTGCCCTGCCGGGACAGCAAGATGAGGTACCTGAGCTGTTAGTGACTGCAGTCTGTTGTAGGCGATGTGTTAGAGGGCTCCTTACTTGATCGTCATGGTGTCGTGTGAGGAGAAGATGCCAGTAGCTCGTGTCTGGCGCAATGGGGAAAGATGTTAGGTTCGGCGATCGGCGGTCACAGGCCAGCCCCGCGACTTTGAGACGTCAATGCGCCTTCATATCCCCGCTATCACCATCTCAGTCTGGACAGTAAATACTTGCGCGCAAGCAATTCTGCTCTTAGCCCATTCCTACTCATCATTGCCCAAAGCCTTGCGATTCAAAATATCTGCGCTACTGCACATCCGACGCGACTGCTATCCTAAGACGACCCACCCGCTGACAAACGTTCACCCTTCATACGGCAACTCGAATACCCCCGAAGAGTCACCACCACACAATATAGGAGCATCTTTCGTCAGAACTGTCCTTTCTCGCGTGATCATTCCGCGACGCTACCAATCGAAATCATGAAGCTCGTACTGTCTACCTCGTATGTCTCTCCATCTCTCCAAATGCCTTGCCTAACAACCCAGAAATACCATGTCCGGTGGTCCTTCCGTGATAAGACGACCCTTCTTCGAGAAATCAAACACTGAACTCACCTCCTCCCTGCGCGCAAACTTCGCCGCCCACCAACCCTCTCCGGCACCCTCAAAACCCGACTACACAACATGGACCACCAAGACCGACTCCGCGCTATACGTACCCACGCACACGCCCTCACCTCTTACCGAACCGCGAGAATCCTACGATATCACAGTAAAACTGTTCTACCTTCCCAACATACCCACCGACAGACGCTGCGCACAAACACGAGAAGCGATAGAACTAGTGCTGAAAGAGCTGGGCACATCATCGATAGACCTCCTCATCGTCAGTTTCCCAGGCGTATCCTTCGATGCCGACGATGAAGATTCCGATCTCGACGACGACGACGAGCCGCCCTCGCCCCCCTCCGCAACACAATCCACAACCGAAAACACCACGGGCGACTGTCCCGACGCTGGCGCACCACCAGAAGACATAGAAACCATGGTAACAACATGGCGGTCACTCGAGAAACTGCATGCAGAAGGCCTTGTATCGAAACTGGGGATCGCAGAATTCGGCGTCGCGCGCTTGACAAAGTTCCTCGAACAGACCAAGATAAAACCAAGTGTGAATCAGATCAACGTGAGGGACTGCTGTGTCGTACCTAAGCCGTTGATACTGTATGCGAAGCAACAGCAGATCGAGCTGCTGACACATAATGATTGTACTAACATCTTACCGCGAGGCACGCTACGGCAAATACTTGGTTCAGGAGAGAATGGGTCCGGTGTGTTGGCAGGAGATGGGAATCAGGACGGGCTCAAGGGCGATGTAGAGCCGCAGTGGGTAGTCAAATACACGGCCGTTGTCAAAGATAGAGGTGTGGTGGAAAGTAAAGGGTACTTCGCTGTTGCGGAACTGAGGGACTCGTAAGGATATGAAGACACGGAATCACTCAAATCGAATACAACGTTCCGATGTCTCTGGCCATGACAATTTAATTACACATACATCAGGTGTCCATAGACTACCCCATTCTCGCACATAAGTAACCATCAACTGAGTTCTGTCTCTATCATGGAAAAGGCGCAAGCGCTCCGCAGACTTTGCAGTTCAGCAATTCTCCGAAGCTTCCCAAGTTTGCAGCCACCAGTGGCTTACCACACTTCTGACATTTTGTCAGGTCGACGCCACTGTTGTCTACCTTGGGGTATGTTGGTGGCGATTGGATTGGTGCGCCTGCGCTGGCCTTACCCTTTGGTTCAGTAGAGTTATTCATCGCGATTTGTTTTGGTGTTGGTACTAGACTTGGTGGTCGTTCGGGTGTTTGGTAGGTGTTGTGGATGTTTGCTTGTATGTGTATGTGTATCTCTGGTAGTCAGCGTTTGATTGGGTCGACTTCGTGTGTAATAATTCGGGTGGTGGTGGTAGAGGGTTTGGTGGGTATGTAGTATATAGAACATATGAATCCACTGTGTGTGAAGGAAGTAAACATGTTGTATACTTCACTACTGGAATTCTACTGCGTTGTGGAACATCAATATGAATCTCCTGGAAGACTCTTGATTTGACATCGTCGATTGATGGATGGAGTTTGTTCATGGAATGAAGGTGCCCCCGGGTTCTATTACAGTACAGGGTTCGTCGACAGACTGAGATCCTACGTAAACACCTGGGGAATACTTCTCGATAATGGAGGTGAAGATACAGTTGTTCGCTGGACGCTCAGCTTCACGGCGCCTCCACTGTGAATACATGAGTCCATCACCTAGTTCCACATACATAACCCTTTCTATGGCTCGTCATGCCCACTCCATATCTCCAATCTTCCCTAACACATATCCCGTATCGCAAGTGGACACAGCCTCCAATGATGATCCAAACAACCCCTTCAAACAAGCGGTCTGCCAACACCAAATCAGATACCTCATCCAAACACGAACAAATCTCCAAATCAGAAACCGAACTCCTCATCCCTTACGTCTCCGACGACGAAGAAGACGAAGAAGACTCCGACAACAAACCTGGTTCTTTCAGCAACTGCTGGCACTGTGACACCCCCTTACCTCTGCCCACCTCGGATGAAACCAGCGTCGACTGTCTCGATTGTCAGTTTCCCAACTAATCCCTCGCGGCGGATGTACCACTAATTTGGCCAGGCGACAGATCTCGACGTTGATCCAAGGTATTTATGACGGGATGTAGTAAGCGGGAAGCGACATGAAGATATTGAGCTCCTACTACTACAGCAAAATGTCACGATGTATGTGCGGCGAAGGACGCATTATAGAATAAATATGCACCTGTTACGGTTGTAGCTTCGCAATAAGTCATGCCCCTCTTAAGTTACGTGTATTGGTTTGTAGCTTTTTCTATATGGTAGTCTATGAGCTAGGTTACTCCTGTTATGATATCCAGTTATGATTTTCTTTTCACGACGAAAGCGTCTTGATAGTCTTGTTCATCTAGTCCAACTAACAAAAAATCCTTACCGAATCTGTGTGGATACTCAAGTGAGAGCGTGAAATGGCATTCACTCCTATTGCACGTATCCGCGCACGGTCGATCTCGAACGATAGTAGCATTGCACATTCACTATTCCACATCGTCAGCGAACCGTGTTTGACCCCAACACACACCGAAGACCCCCGGAAACTCTCTTGCTATGCCATTAACCTATATGAACGTGTTGCTCTGGGGTTCTTCGCAACCCAGCTCAAGCATATGCTTGCGAGGTCCAATAGCTCCATCACCAAGATCAAAAGCACATCATGTCCATTCAAAGCAAACCCAAGCCGCATGAGGTTTACTTCTCAGTCTACGGCTCTGCCCATACAAACCCAGTTATACCCGGCGTCTCGGGTACAACATGTCCAACTCCTACCTCCACTTCCACCCGCACCCCGACTTCCAGGTACACATCTCCACCCTTACCCTCATCCAAACCCTCACTACTGACACCAAT